GAAAACATGGATGCTTCACACACAGAAGATCTATACAATCAGCACAGTTTCAAGATTAGAGTCACCAATTCAGTATCTGACCAAATGTCTCCCCTTCTGTTCCTGAGATATGACGTTAAAACATGATGATGTCACAGTCAAGCTGACCTTTGACCTTTTGACCTTCATTATTTTATCCTGTTAGACATTTGTGTCAAGTTTGGTCAGAATTGGTTAAAGAATTCTCGAGTTATGGCCAAAAACGCATTTTGTGACGTCACACTGACCTTTGACCTTCAACCACCATATTCTTATCAGTTCATCCTTGAGTTCAAGTGCATGTTTATGTAAGTTCCCTTAAGGTGTTCTTGAGATATCACATTCATGATAATGAGACAGACAAGGTCACAGTGACCTTTACCTTTGACCTATGGCCACCAAAATCTTATCAGTTCATCGCTGAGTCCATTGACTTGAGGCGTTTGTGGCAAATTTGAGGAAATTCCTTCATGGTGTTCTTGACATATCCCGTTCATGATAAACGAGACAGATGAGGTCACGGTGACCTTTACCTTTGACCTATGACCCCCAAGTCTAAACACTTTATCATTAAGTCCATTGAGTTGAGACTTTGTGTCAAATTTGAGGAAATTCCCTCAAGGTGTTCTTTAGAAATTTTGTTTTGTGAAAATGGGACAGAAATCAATTCACCACTGAGTCCAAGGGGACGTTTGTGCCAAATCTGAAAAAAATAAAAAAATCCCTTCTTCACAGACAGGGTCACAGTGACCTAACCACTGACCTGTGACCCTAAAATGTAATCAGTTTATCGTTGTGTCTGAATGGACGTTTCTGTCAAATTTGTAGAAATTCTCTCAAGGCATTTTTTTTAGAAATCATGTTAGCGAGAATGAGACGGACACAAGGACACAATGATATTGACCTGTGACTACAAAATTCATAAATTGGCTCATCCTTGAGTCCAAATAAACGTTTGTGCCAAATTAAAAAAATAAAATAAAATCCCTGAAGAGATTCTTGAGATATGGCATTCATGATAACAAGACAGACAAGGTCACTGTGACCTTATCTTTCACCCGTGACACCCAAAGTCTATCAATATATCACTGCGTCTGAGTGAACGTTTGTGCCAGATTTGAAGAAATTCCCTCAAGGTGTTCTTTCGAAATTATGTTTGCAGAAATGAGACAGACACAAGGTCACAACGATCTTGACCTTTGACGATGAAAATCTAATCGGAACATTGTTGAGTCCAAGTGGCTGTTGCGTCAAATTTGAAAAAAAATTCCCTCAGGTTGTTCTTGAGGTATCACGTGCATGATAACGAAACAGGGGCGTCGGTGGCTTAGCAGATAGAGCAGGCGCCCCATGTACAAGGCTGTTGCTGCAGCGGCCCGGGTTCGACTGCAGCCTGTGGCCCTTTGCTGCATGTCACTCCCTCTCTCTCCCCCCTTCATGCTCATCTGTCCTATCGATTAAAGGCTAAAATGCTCCAAAAAATATCTTAAAAAAAAAAAGATAACTAAACAGACAAGTACACAGTGACCTTTACCTTTGACCTATGACCACCACAAATTTTTTTTTAAAAAGTTGGTTGTGACCAAAAACAAAGTCAGAAATTCATCAGGTGGACACAAACACAAAGACTATTTCTCTTTGTCTAACAAGTTCAGCACATGAAGATACAAACTGGTGCCAGAGACGTGTTTACAGTTTGTTTCCATGTGGATTAGACTCAGTAACTGCAGGTGTGAATGTGAAATTATTACCTTTCCTCTTGAGTGGAGTTAACGCAGGCCATCTGACCGTGGCACTGACTGCTGGTCTGTCGGACAGTGAACACATCATGTATGTCAGTAGACTGATACAGACTGAAGCTTCCAATAAAGACACAACGTGAACAGGGTACCTGAACCTCCTGGTGGGACTCGGGGAGGAGTTGGGTGTGACGCCACTGTCCTGTGACTGAAACCACTGAAGAAGAAAAGGTGAAAAAACAGCCAGTCAGAACCCTCTAATCTGGATTTAGTTTATTACCACTAATCTGGATTCAGACATAACCTCTAGACTGGATTAAGTCTGATCTGGATTCAGACAATAATCCAGATCAGTGACCGACATTATTATTGTAATGTTAAAAATGTTTCATCTGTGTTTCCTGACATCTCTCCCTCTGATTGGTGGATGGGATTGCTCTGAATACTACATTACCCATGAGCCTCAGCATTTCAGGTAAACATCCTGACTGACAGGAAGCACCACCTTCAAAATAAGAGCCTGGTCGTTAAAAGCTGGTGTGGAGATGCTCACCACTGACGTGTGGTTGTGCCACTGACTGACTGGAGGAACTGGGATCAGACTGGAAGCACTGGGAGGGAGAGCACAGACGTTAATCCCACTGGATTAAACTTCAGAGACATGAACGGTGTCGTGTCTGTGACGTACCTGAGTCTCTGCAGACTTCCTCTGAGCGTCATCTCCATGTTCTCCTCCTGCAGAAAACACAAACAGCTCTGACCTTTGACCTTTGACCCTATCACCTGTTCGTCTCCACTGTTAAACCAAAGTGCCTCAAATAAAACCAACAAATCTCCACATATCACCTGAAACTCAGTCGAGCTTCACAGACAGGTTTTTGTTACGACTATTTAAATTTCTGAGTGATTCAAAAAGAAGAAAAACAACAACAAGCCACGAAACATAAAATGTTTATATAAATATAACAAAATAAAGTCCCACGTTACTCACATGAATATTTATTTGTCATTGTTCAAATTTCAACCATATTTTTATTTTTTTTATTTTAGATTCTTGCAGTTGTCTTCAGCTCGTGGCTGATGGATGAAGTTTCTGCTTTGTGGAGCATTTTGTAATTTAATTAAATAAAGATTATTTAATCTTTAATTTTCCAAACAGAATTTCAGGTGTTTTAAAACTATTACACGAACTGCAGACACGTAAAATACGATACAATTTTTAATTTGAAAAAGATAACGAAGGGACACTAAATGAAATGAATATGTTTTCAGTAACAGAGGCCTCCATATGTTCGATTTGTGGTTAAAACTTTTTTATTTGCAAAATAAAGACTGGAAATATACAAATCCACTGAAATTGGGAGCAGCTCATGTTGAAGAGAATTTGGATCATTTATGTCGCTTTGTGTTTTGGAAATAAATTACATTTAAGGTTATAAGCTGTTTTGTACATTATTTCTGAAGACAACTTATATTTTAAGGATATATAACGACTCATTTGGGCGCTAACAGATATCGATATATCCATATATTATAGAAAATTATCCAACTCTCTTCCCTGAATCCTCTGACTGAATATTTACCTCTTTATTGTTTTTATTTATATCTCCTTTCATTTATTTTTGTTATTATCATATTTAGTATTATTTCATTTTATTTTTTATCATGACTGTGAGTATCTCTGTATCTTTCCATGTATAGAGGGATCTATCTCTGTACAGTGACACTTTTACACTGAAATACTAACTCATGTTAAAAAAGAAAACAAACCTAATCAGAGTAAACACAAACAAACAGACGTGTCAGTAATAGTGTCTCTAATGACTGTGAGGACACCACAGAGAGGACGTCCCTGTGTTGTTGTGATCTGTCGGACCAGCAGAGTGAAAAGAGAAGAAGAAGAAGTGTGACGTCCTCACCTGCCTCTTGTGGTCGAGTCTGTCTCCGGTCAGAGAGAAAGGAGAAAGAGGGACGAGCTGAGGAAGAGGAGGAGATGATGCATGAAGGTCAGCAGGTGGTGACGAGTCCGTGCGTCAAATACATCATCACTGTGAGTCAAACACTGACCTGTGAGGGACAGCTGGGGTTGATGGACACACTGCTGCGTCTGTACCGAGCCGAGGACACCGGACTGAAGACGGTCATCCCATCGCTGAGACAGACACCACAACAACAACAACAACAACATTATTTCACTAACAGAGACATTTAGTTTATTTATATATATGTGTGTTTATACAGAGACACTCTTTAAAGACGTGTCGACTTTTCAGCTGTCTGAGCCGTCCGCTTGTTCTCTTCACAACAAAAACACACCGTGTCACATCCTTGTTAATCAATCTGATGGTTAATTACAGACGCCACAGTAAGGTGTAGTCTATTGATGGGCATGTATGTGTGTAATTGTATGTTTGTAAATTGAACGTGTTTACAGCTGCCAAGCACTGAATGTCCAAGACAAATTTCCTCCTGGAGGACAATAAAGTTTATTCAGATTCTGATCTTGTGGGAACAAATTATTATCTAGTGCATAAAAGTTAATAGTCTTGTGGGAACAAGTTGTCATTGTGGAACAAGTTATTTTTGTTTGGACAAGTCAATAACTTGTTATTCATCCTGCAGGAACAATTCATTATCTAGTGCGGAAAGTTAAAAGCCTTGTGGGAACAAGTTATTATGTGCACACAAGTCAATAATTAGTTGACTATCTTGTGGGAACAAGGAATGATCTAGTGCGCAAAAATGAATAATCTTGTGGGAACAAGTTAACTTGTTTATCATCTTGTGGGAAAACTTGTCATTTTGGCAGCAAGTTATTTTCTTATGCGCACAACTTAATTATTTATTAATCATCTTGTGGGAACAAGTTGTTATTTTATTCGCACAAGTAAAGAACTTGTTCATCATCACGTAGGAACAAGTTCTCATCTTCTGTGCACAAATTAATAACCTTGTGGGAACAAGTTATTATAATTAATTAATTAACTTGTGCACACACGATGCAAACGTTAGCCTACTGTCTTGTGCGCACAAAATCACAAACTGCATTTTCGGCGCTTTAGTGGCTCCGTAGGAAACTGCGTACATCAATAAGAACCAGAACGATTTGTCGGCAGAATATTTGACACCAAATAAAAACGTTAAATTTATCTGTACAAAAAAATGTAACGGTGTAGCTGAATTAGATCGAGCTGCTTTTATTCACTACTTTAATAAATGTTTTAAAATAAATCATGAGAATTTACAGACTGATCATGTTTCGATTTGAGCCAGTAAAGTAAAAACTAACTTCAGCTGTAGATGTCGTGGAGTCAAAAGGATATTTCCCTCTGAAATATAAAGTACAAACAAAAACTAGCTATTGCACTATTTTTTATTAAGTTAACAAAAGCAGCCATATACATCTAACGTCTTTTAGATTCAATGTTTAATTGTACATTCAACATTATAATTATTCGTCAATGTGCAGATTTCTTATAAAACATTGTACTTAAATTATTATTTCTCTACGTCTATATACAGTTTAAAGGCAACTGTATCATGTCTCAGTTCCCTCCCAGGGTTCAATGCAGTATTTTAAATTCTGATTTCTGACACAGAATTCCAAAAAATCCTTTTGTGCAAAGGAAAACGGAGGACTGCAGTTATAATTCCATAATTCATTTATTACATTATAACTGAGGATTAGAGACTCATTAGAGAACAATCATTCTTTTTGGAACACTGTACAATAATTGGTGAAATTATTAAACTCTGCAATATTCTTTTCGGTGTCCTAATTTATTCTTAGCAACATCTTTCCTGAATGTATATTTAACATATGATCCACACACTACACATATTTGTTATTTCTATTTATATATGTGCGTATATATATATATATATATATATATATATAGTATTGTAAATTGCAGCCTCATATATCTTTTTTATCTTTAAAACTATACATACGACTTCAATAGGTAAGGATCATATTTTGTACTTTTTTAGCACACTTAACAGACTAAGCATATTTAAGATATTTTATATTTTCAAATATTTTACACTGTTAAAAATTGTAGTATAATGTACTTTTTTTTTTCCCTTAAGATTGTTCTTATTTCGATTAACTCATAATTCTCTACGCGTTACTATTACTACGTTATCACCATTTCCCCCCCGCCGGGGATCAATAAGCTTTTTCTGATCCTGATTATACCAAATCAGAATCAGAATCAGAAATACTTTATTGATCCCCGAGGGGAAATTATTTTCGTTACAAGTGCTCCTTGCAAGAGTGGAAAGATAAGTGAAAATATAAGAAATTTAACAAGAGTATTTACAAATATATAGTTCAAATAAACAGGATTATTAACAAGAAAGTATATAAATATATAGATATATATGTGTGTGTATGTATGTTAACCTAAACAAGATTATTTACACAATATATATACTAACCTAAATAGATAATACATAATTATTACTTACGTTTAAATATTATTGTCCTACGTGATGCTTGTAGTATTTTAAGTATGCCGAATTAAAGAGTGACTTCTTTACCTAAAATCCATGTGTTACGTCATTGTTAATAAATGTCTGTGGCGCTCTGTGAACAAGACAAAAATAAATGTGCTGTTCTTTAATGGAGTTTGGTGCTGCACATCTAGCTGTAGTACCACTGACCTGACACTGGTGATCATGGGGGCGCTGTTCGATCTGCGGAGTGCCCCGCCTCCTGCCCCACCAGCTGCGCCTGCGCACTGGTCCACTTCCATCCGTTCCATAACTCGGACCGCAGGCCCGGCGGTGGCAGCGCCGACTGCCGGCCTCCGACCTCTCGACGTCGGCGTCGGGCTCTACTCAAGCCCGGTGGAAGCCCGACCCGCAGGCCTCACGAGCAGCAAACCCAGAGCCGCCAAGTCAGCGGGCTGAACACCGAGGCGGTGTCCTCTCTACCGCATTTCCCTCCGAAGGAAACACCTTATCCGTGTCCGGTTGCGGGTCTCACCGTCATCTAAAACCCGCAGCTACGCTTCACTTGCTGCTGTCTCCAACGCAATTTTTATGGCTGCGCAAAAGCGAGATAAAATACGAACCCGGCGCAAAAACACCCGAGACAAAGTTTTGTACGGTCACACAGTCAAAAGTGACCCGGCTGTCCCGGCTCCACCGGGAAACTTTTAATTCGAGTCCGCACAGGTGACGTGACTTTTAGGATTAGCTGTTGAGCTAACTTGGTTTGCAGTAAAAAACCTCCAGTCAGAGATCAGAAAACCGCTAAGCAGCTGCCCGAAACAGCCGCACCCGGGCTGCGCACACAGTCCACCGGGAGAGTCGGTCACACGGGCCCCCTAACCCACCGAGCAGACGTCCAGAAGAGCCCCGTAATCACGGAAAACCAACACTTTGAAAGATTTTCACAACATAGTCCTTCAGCAAATACACACTGTAGTTCAGCAACTGAGAAACAGCGCCGCCGCCTCGGGCCGGCCGCACAGGGAACTGCAACACAAACACAAGCAGTGACAAAGTCAAGCAGCAATAATTCACTTTAATTAATTGAGTTTAATTATTTTTAGTTTGTCCTGTGGGGACTGCAAGATAATAAGAATATATAAAACTATTATAATTTCTTAATTTTAAAAAATATTTGTAATTTGTTGTAATTGTTTTAATTTATCCCCGTGACTGTTTTTTACCAGCATAAAACTATTATAATTTCTTAATTTATTTTCTAACTGTTTGTAATTTGTTTTAATTCTTGTCATTCTTCAATTTATTTTTTCCTTTTAATTTGTAATGTGTTAAACCTCTTGTCACTGTTTTATCCCTGTAACTCTGCTTTACCAATATTAATGTAAATAAGTAAAAGTTATTGATATAGTGCTTTTATACAGCAAGAAAGAAAACACAGAGGACAGAGTTACTGCGTGAGCCACGTAGTTAAAAGTGCACAACTAGCAAAACCGTTAAAAAATAAAAAAACTAAAACTATTATAATCAATTGATTTATTTTTAAACTATTACATTTTATTACTTAAAAAAAAAAAAGTTTTAAACTGGGGTATAAAGCTGAAAAATGTCCAGAAACAGGTGGCGGCAAAGGACGGCGTTCCTGCACAGTAAAAAGATGCAAAGCTACAGAATGAGTGTTTTATTATACATATAAACTTTTTACTGATAGTAATATGTTCAGGCATTATCCCTTTGTAATCACCAATATTTTAATTAGTAACTGTAATTTAATTACAAATATTCTCAGTAACTGATTACAATTATATTTATTTTGAATTTTAATTATTCGTAACTAGTTACTCCTCAACGCTGATTATTTATCATTATAATTATTTTTCCTATTTATAATTTGTTGTAATTGTTGTATTAAGATTTAGACATATTTTTTATTTCTTTGGAATTTGTTCATCCCAAACTGTTTAACGTCTTGCCACTGTTTTATCCTTGAAACACTACTTTTAGAAAGTGCTATAAGTAAAATAATGGAAAATATTTGTCTTGTATCGTCTGAGTAATACCTGCATGGAAACTAAATACACAAAAATAATAGTAATTTATGCTGAATGCATATGAAACAATATGGTGTTTAGTATATTTGTCAAAATAAAAAAAATAAAAAAAATCCCATGTAATTTTTTTTTTTCTGCATAAATCAACATAATTATTCCTTGCCTAGAAATATGGACTCATCCATTCATTTCCTGATTTTTTTTTATCTATTGTTAAATTTATAATTTCACTGTAAATTCTCAGGAGACGATGGAGCTGTCCATCCCAGTCCATCAGGGATAAAGATGACTTTTTCAAATGTTTCTTTTAGTCCAATCAGCACTCCAAAAGGTGCAGATTAAATTTTTGTCAATCGACTTATCAATTAGTCGACTTAGTGTTCATCATCTCTAGATAAGAGAAATAACTTGAGTAATGTCTGAAGAGTAGACGTCCCCTCCTGAGAATGAGAACTGACTGAACATATTTGGTGGCGATAAGAGCTCTAAAGATATTAAAGGAAATAAACTCACAATAAAGTAAAATAACGTCAGCATAGATGATGTCATGGGTCACAGTGATACAGTGAAAGCACAAGTTCAGTATAAATAAAACTACAAACACACAACAGGAACATTTATAAGAACATTATTCAGTTCTGTGAAGTCACAAACATGTTAGAGGAACATTATAAGAACGTTACGGGGATGTTATGGGAATGTTGTGGTGTTTTCTTTGTTGTTGTGATACTGAACCGTCTGCTGTTCTCCCAGAATCCCCAAATCCTCCATCTGCTTTGAGTCGTCATCTCCAAAAAATGGTGAAACAGGACACCGGGAGGCTCGGCCTTTAACCCCTTCACTGCCGGCCAGACAGACCAGATTCCACAGAACAAGAGAGCAGACCAGAGACCTGAACCACCGTCAGACAAAAACAAACAAACAAACAAACAAGGAGATATGACTCTAAAAAACATATTTGATTTTCAGAAAGGCTTTTGTTGATGTATTTAAACAGTGCACAGAGGGAACACGGCGAAGCTTTAAAAAGCCACACTGCCCTGTTTGTGTTTCCACAATGAAAAACACACTGTGACCAGAGTTGGAATGTAACTAAGTACATTTACTCAAGTACTGTACACAAGTACATTATTGTTATTCATACTTTATTAGACTCCACTAATACCATCTGGTAATCTTTTATTCAACATCTGGAAAAGATAACAGTGTGATGTGATTTGGATCCTTCACATTTGTTTTGGGTGCTTTATCTTTTTTTTCTTTCTCATTTTTAGATGTTCTAAAAGAGAACGCTGTCTGGATCAGTTTTGTAAATGCACTACTCATTCTGTAACCGCTTATCCTCTTGAGGGTCGCGTGGGGGTGGAGCCTATCCCAGCTGACACTGGGTGAGAGGCAGGGTTCACCCTGGACAGGTCACCAGACTATCACAGGACTGACACATAGAGACAAACAACCATTCACACTCACATTCACACCTACGGACAATTTAGAGTCACCAATTAACCTGCATGTCTTTGGACTGTGGGAGGAAGCTGGAGCACCTGGAGGAAACCCACGCTGACACAGGGAGAACATGTCGGAGCACCTGGAGGAAACCCACGCTGACACAGGGAGAACATGTCAGAGCACCTGGAGGAAACCCACGCTGACACAGGGAGAACATGCAAACTCCACACAGAAGGGCTCCCTCCTGGGATTAAACCAGGACCCCTCTTGTTGTAAGGTGACAGTGTAAATGCACCAATTATCTCTATATTGCATTTGTATATTTACCAATAATTTCTTTTTTATATATATTTACTGTAGAAATATACAGAACTTTGTACTGTTGAACAGTGACTTCATGAAGTTATCTTTTTTTTTTAACAGTGCAATAATTGGTGCAGTTATTGAGCTGTGAAATATTCTTCAATATACGACTTAATTCTCACCAACACCTCCTGAATTTATATATTTATTCAACATATAATGAACATAACTTAACATATTTCTTATGTTTATTCTTGTTTTTATTCTACTGATGTATATACTGCAGTGAACATATAACACATTACATATTTTATATTTGGGAGAACATGTAAACGCTATATATCAGTTTTCCATCTATCATATATTCCTACAGCCTGGGGGGGGGCATGGTCTCCTGACGTCAGTGTGTACGGCCCTGGATCTGGCCTCTTATTTCTTTCCTTATGCTTCCATTATTTTTTGGTGGCGGGAAAGACGACATGTTGTCACCTTCATGTCGTCACACTGTGCTGTCACAGTTTGTACAAACGGTCCGGTACACACGGTACAGCCAGGGTAACTCCCGCCGGCCGCGGGCTCCGGTCTCTCGGTGCTGCCTTCACCGCTCAAACCCTCCGTTACTCGGCCGAGGTTAAAGTGGGAAGAGCGGAAGGAGGAGGGAGGAGGAGGAGGAAGAGGAAGATCCTGCCTTCCGTCAGACGGAGTTCAGACACTTTGAGAAAACTTTTTTTTTTTACCAAACTTTCTGTGATGTTTGTGTAAAAAGCTCCGCAGCCTCGCGCCGCGGTCAGGACACACAGCGAGGCCGGCGGGCTGCAGCGAGCCGCGGGGTGACATGTCGGAAGGATCCGGGGCTCCGGGGCCGTCTGGATGTGACTGAAGGTGGGTGAAACCCTCCGAGAGTCCCGCTGCTGGTAAACAACTGCGGGCAGACACACGGAGCTCCAACCGGACACTTTAAATAACTTTAACCGAGATGATTTAGTTAAAGATGGAAACAGAACAAATTAAAGTTATTTAACATGAAGCTGTGAAGAGAAGACACATAACACACATCTGACAGTTTATTTAAATATGATTTAAACGTCATCATCATCTGTGTCCACTAACATGTAAAACATATTGTTTTATGATGATATTTCATAGTCTCATGATTATGTGTGTGTGTGTGTGTGTGTGTGTGTGTGGGCCTCAATAGTCAGGATAAATGTGTTTGTCATGTTTAACCTGAAACTATCTGCACCGCACATCAACCTGTTATTAAATATTGTTAATACTAACAGTTAACATCATAACACTGTTCATAAAGGATCAACGTCAAAGTAAAAATTAAGGACAATTAAATGAGAAATTAATGTGTTTTAGTTTGTGGTGTAACTTAAATTCTTAAATTAAAGTATATACACTAACCAGCCACTTTATTAGGTACACCTGCTCAACAGCTTATCAATGTAAACAGCTAATCAGCCAATCAGGTGTCAGCAGCTCATTAACATTTAGTCATGTAGACATGGTGAAGACGAGCTGCTGAAGTTCAAACGGAGCATCAGAATGATGAAGAAAGGTGATTGAAGTGACTTTGAACGTGGCATGGTTGTTGGTGCCAGACGGGCTGGTCTGAGTATTTACTGGGATTTTCAGCACAACCATCTCTAGGGTTTACAGAGGATGGTCCCAAAAAGAGCAAATATCCAGTGAGCCAAAATGCCTTGTTGATGCCAGAGGTCAGAGGAGAATGGCCAGACTGGTTCAAGATGATAGAAAGGCAACAGGAAGTCAAATAAGCACTGGTTCCAACCAAGGTGTGCAGAAGAGCATCTCTGAAGCAACAACACCTTGTCCAACCTTGAAGCAGATGGGCTACAGCAGCAGAAGACCACACCAGGTGCCACTCCTGTCAGCTAACAACAGGAAACTGAGGCTACAATTCACACGGGTTTTCTCACCAAAACTGGACAATAGAAGATTGGAAAAACCACATTCAGATGGAAGCATGGATCCATCCTGCCTTGTATCAACGCTTCAGGCTGCTGCTGGTGGTGTAATGGTGTGGGGGAGATTTTCTTAGTACCAACTGAGCATGGTTTAAACACCACAGCCTACCTGAGTATTGTTGCTGAGCGTGTCCATCCCTTTATGACCACAGTGTACCCATCTTCTGATGGCTACTTCCAGCAGGATAACGCACCATGTCACAAAGCTCACATCATCTCAAACATGACAATGAGTTCACTGTACTCCAATGGCCTCCACAGTCACCAGATCTCAGTCCAATAGAGCACCTTTGGGATGTGCTGGAACGGGAGATTCTCATCATGGATCAACTGTGTGATGTCATCATGTCAATATGGACCAACATCTCTGAGGAATGTTTCCAGCACCTTGTTGAGTCTGTGACACCAAGAATTAAAAAGAGGTCCAACCTGGAACCAACAAGGTGTACCTAATAAAGTGGCCGCTGAGTGTATATTGATTATCCCTTTGATGGGATGGTGTGCACAGCGAACTCATATTATTGATCATTTAATCGATTAGTCACATTTGAGACTTTGGAATTGTTTTATTGCATGTTTTTTTTTTTTTTGCAACACGTCAAGTATCAATTTTTTATTATATGAATTATTAATACTGCAAATATAAATAAAACCTTTAGTAGCTACTAGATAATAATGTCAGCGAGAGATGAACAGACTGAAATTTTTATTTCATCAGATAAAACAAATGTTCATAATATCGAGACATCAGTTGAAAAATGTAATAAATTGGAATATATGTTTTTTCAATGCTCATCATGTCCCATCATGTTTTAGATCACAATAATATGAGGAGATATTATTAATAAACTGTACTCATACATTTATACTTTATTTACAGAGGACTTTTCCTGTTAATGAAATATTTCTAAGTTAAAAGCCAAATACCTTTGATTCTTCACTGCACACAGGAAACTGCCTTCAGAAATGAATTTATAAGATCACTCAATTATTTGCAACTGCAATCGTTATATTTATAGAAATAAAACTTATTGTGGAATCATCTAAACTTGTATATATATATATATATATATATATATATATATAAAGAGTGTAAACAAACTAAATTAACCTTTTCTATAAAGTTTGACCTCAACATGTNAACAAACTAAATTAACCTTTTCTATAAAGTTTGACCTCAACATGTCAGAAGATCAGATCAGATCAGATCATCCTGTATTCATCCCACAGCGAGGACATTTGCCTTAAAAAATATTATTATGTTGTTGTAGTTTGATTTCAGTATATTTAGGAGCATTTTTCTTCCTGTGAATTTTTTGTGTGCAGACAGGAGGATGGAGGAAGAGAAAGAGACGTCCGAGGAGAAGGAGGAGGAGGAGGAGGAGGAAGAGCTTCATCATCATCACATTGCAGCAGCAGCGGCGGCGTCCTCCGTGGACTACCAGGGCCTTCCCATCATGCACTGGGAGGACCTGAGCCAGCGGATAGCAGAGCTGGAGAAACAGGAGCAGGAGAGGAGGGAGAGGTCAAAGGTCAGCCACCAAGACAAGCGTCTCTGTTATGTAGCTGTCAGTGGGACTTCACTTCCCATGATGCCTGGTGTCCTCCTCTGTGTGTGCAGTGTGCTGGATGTTTGAGCCTCAGACAATAACTGAGTCTGCGTCTGATGACATTCCTCGCAGGGTGACGTCACGTTTGTCCAAACAGTTTATAATTCACGCCGAGGAGCCGCAGCTAAACTGACAAAACCACAACGACGTTACAGACACGCCCACAGCTGCAGAGCTGCTGTAATCATAACGTTTCAGCTTCCTGTTGGTTCCAGTCGACAGACTCAGATCTGATTATAATTCAGATCCAGCTGTGCTTCACAACATAATTATTATTAATTACAGTTTTATTTACAGATGGAAACATTGGCTTTGTTTCCTTTTATATATAATTTAATGTTTTTCCTATTTGTCCTACTGTTTTCTATTTTTACTACTTTTTCAAAAAAGCTTTCCTAAAGTTTTTTTTCTACATTTTTTTAATTTTTCCCTTTTGCTTTTTTCTGTTTTCCTGTTTTTTATTTTTCCCATAGTTTTTCTTATTTTTTCCTATTTTTTCTTTATTCATATTTTTTGAACATCTTACTATTTTTCAATTTTTCCTGCTGTTTTTTTTGTTCTATTTTTATTTTTTATTTTTCTATTTTTTCTCTACTTTTTCTTTATTAGTAGTTTTTTTAAGTGTTTCCTCCTTTTTTCTTATTCTTTTATTTTTCCTACTTTCTTTTTATTTTTTTTTATTTTCCTTTTATTTTCCTTTTTATTTTTCGCATTGTTTTTTCTACATTTTTCTTTTTCAGATTTTTTTGAAATGTTCCTAATGTGTTTTATTTTTACTGCCTTTTTTCAAATGTTCCTTTTTTTAAATCAATTTTTCATTTTATGTTTTTTCAGTTGTATCTTTATGTGTTATGGATAAGAATGTTAACCAAATTAACAAAACCTCAGCTGACAGTATTGATTGTGATGGTTAAAGTGAATCAGGACAAATTAGAATAAAAGGATAAATACTCTTCATATTTTATTTGAAACATTTTATTTCCACAGAAGTCGTCAGAAAACTGTCAAGAAACCAGATTAGTAGATAATTACTGTGTGGGGGTAATATGTGTGTGATCACTGTGTGTTCCTGCAGAGGGGGACGGGGCTGAGGATGGAGGACGGTCGGGGGGGAGTGTGGAGAGACATGTGGGAGGAAGAGGACGAAGACTTCAGGAGGTGTCGAGTCTCCGTCGTCACGTCACGGTAACACAGAGCTGCACAGTCTGAAGCTTTTCAAATGTTCAGTTTTTAATTTGTGGTTCTTCTCTGTGATCTGAAGTTAAATGTGACCGTCGAGGTTCAGTTTTTATTGAAATGGACAGAAAAAGTTATGTCTGACAGTTTCTGATAACACTTTAATGTTAGTGTTTGTAGCGTTAAAACGAGCTCCGCTGACGTTTGACAGTTCAAAAATGTGCGGTCAAAATAAACAACAGTTTCAGGTCAGAGTGTAAATATGTGTAAATATTCTTCGAGGCATCAGGATACTTTCCTCAAACATTTTGTCTCAATGCAGAAAAGTCAATAATCATGAATTTACAGCCTGGTGTGATGAACCGACTGTTTGTTCCTCACAGCTGAACCAATCAGATCGTGAAACAAAACGGACGTAAATGTACACCGTGTTTACGTTCTGACTCTCTACGGTTGTATCAATGAAAGATAACGGGGGTACATTCATCCGTTCATTCATTAAAAACAAATACTCTGTTTTAAAGTGTTCACATCAGGACACATCGATAGTTAAGCTCATCACAGCCGTCTGGTCGGAGTCATGAGGAGCAGAGAAACTGTCAGTACTCGCAGAGCTTCAGCGTCGTCCTGTCGGAGCTTCAGGATGTTTATTATCTGTTTACAGATTTCACAACCACAGAAACCTGCAGCTGTGCTTCATCAACAACAGCGACAGCGAAGACGAGGACGAAGGAACCAACAAAAAGGTCACTGTCTGTCTCCTAACACAAATACACTCATTAATACAGAGTCCCTGAAGTCCTGACAGGTTATTTATCTTGACCTTTGATCTTTGACTGCCAAAATCTAATCAGTTCATCACTGAGTCCAGAGCCCTGTCTCCACCAAACCCTTTCAGTCCAGTTCCTCTGGAACCAGCAGTAAGCCTTCAGACATGGTACCTAGACCCTCTGTGTGTTCAGTCAGTCCTCTTAAATGTGGGCGGGGTTGTTGTCACTCACTGCTCCGTCCAGCACTCGCTGTATTTCCTCATCAGCGGTGACACAGATGGAAGTCTGCACCTGGTTTATCGTCCACAGAACGAGGCTGCACGCCCACATTTTCACAACAAAATAGAACAGGCTGCAGTGAGAGTCTCTCTCCATGGGATATTTAAAAATATGAAGATCCACTCATTACTAAAGTTTATGACCAGCGGACTTCACTACAAGCTGATTGGCTGTTGAAACAGGCGATGCCAGTTCACACCTCTGACACTTTTCTCTGTAAGGTATAAAAACGGTTTCATCTCATCGTGAATCTTTGGTCTGAACTGGACTTTATAAACAACAGAACAAAAACACTCTTTCAGTTCACTGACCTTACATCTCCATCAGGTTTCCATGGGAACGGGGCACAATGGTTGCCATGCCACCGGGCTGAAACAGGAAGTGGCCACGGCTCTGAGGACACTGCGAGACAAACTGCTGGCTGAACAGAGAGAGAAGGAGGTGAAAGAGATTTAAGAAAGAGAAGAAGAAATGTTATTAACATCGACAGAGTGGACTGACTCTGTGTGTGTGTGTGTGTGTGTTGCAGCGTCTGGCCGGCAGCAGCTGTGTCACTGAGAGGAAACATCTGGAGCATTGGGAGCTGCAGGAGCGTTCAGTGCAGCAGCTCAACAGCCTGAAAGCATCACTGCAACAGGAAGTCCACGGTACACACACACACACACACACGCACACACACAGTCAAAAGAACACGTCACTTAACATACACACATGTTTTCAGTATCAGTGTTTCTGTTGTTTCAGCAGTTTGAACTGATTCTAATGGAAACACAGTCAAAGCTTCGGACTGCCGCTTTCATTATTTTAAATTTGTTTCCTCTGAGGACTACAGTACCCATGTGTCTCTGCTGTCACAGATGTCACACATTAAACACACATTAACACATATTAAACACACATTGAACACACACTAAACACACATTAAATACACTAAACATACTTTAAACACACATTAAAAACACTAAACACACATTAAATACAATAAACACACATTAACACACACTGAACACACACATTAACACACATTAAACACACACTAAACACACATTTACCACACACTGAAAACACTAAACACACATTAAATACAATAAACATACATTAAACACTTTAAACACACATTAAACACACATTAAACACATATTTACCACACATTAAATACAATAAACACACATTAACACATATTAAACACACATTAACACACATTAAATACACTAAACACACAAACACTTTAAACACACATTAAACATACATTAAATACAATAAACATACATTAAACACTTTAAACACACATTAAACACATATTTACCACACATTAAATACACTAAACACACATTAAACACACACTAAACACACATTTAACACAATAAACACACTAAACACACATTAAATACACTAAACAAACACACATTTAACACACAGCTTAAAAACAACACAAGGACAGCTCCGCCCCTTCAGCTGCGGTGCCAAACCCAGGACACAGGGAGACATTTCGTAAAACAAAGGTAATGTGGACAAAAAATATCAGTTTCAAAAATATGCGTTTGCTTTTGTTGCAGCCCTGAGCTCGGAGCTGGTGGCCCACCTGTTGGTACGAGACCAGCTGAGGACGAAGCAGGACGCCATGCTGCTGGATGTCCAGGACCTGACCTAACACCGTGACCACAGACTTGGGCATTGTGGGACCAAGCTGGACCACTCGTCTACGTCAGCCCAGGTGTCACTAACTTCAACTTAACGTCCGCTGAGCTGCTACTTTATTTAAATCTCCAGCGTATAGGACAATACGACTGGATGGTCAGGTTCAAAGGAAACTGAATCACCTGGAAACCTTAAAGGTGGTACAGCGTCGCTTTGAGGTCAAATTGACAGACTTCAGACTAACAGACAGGAAGTGACATCATTACACGTCCAAAGGAAACATGAGTCGGTACACGGCAGCAGGTCTATATGTAACGACGAGCAGGTGCAATCTCGAAAGTCACAGTTTGAACTCAACAAAAGATCAAAGATTTCAGTGGATCAAAGCCAAATCCAAATCTCCAATCAGCTGCAGGCTGGTGAGGACAAACCAGCCAGGACGACAAGGCCTGTAAAACATTTGGAGGAAAGACAAACACACGCCAGCTCCTGGATTCTGTCGTAATTTCTCCAAAACTTTTGATCCATGTCGTGGTTTTTGGACGACCCATCAATAAACTCAGGATCTGTTTTCAAATTTGGGTCCAGTTTCAGTCGTGTTGTTCCTGGAAACGTCCTCCCTGATGACACCAGGATACACAAGAAATTTAAGCTAAAGATGAGGGGTAGTAGACAGGGTGGCCAGTTTTCATGCATGGATTAGCAGATGACATTTTCTCGCCCACGAATAGGAAGCAGATAATAGATGGATGGTTTTATAATGCTAACAAACAAAGAGGGAGTAACATAATTCGAAGATGTGACGGGCTGATATAACGTGTTACAGGTTAAAAAACAATCACTGAACGACTATCTTAAGTTTTTAAAGATGGTGGTGTGATCGAATCGTGAATCACAAGGCCCTGGAAACCTTTTTCCTCCATCAGCTTCTTACTATAAACAACACCATCACGGACATATTTCCTGCTGCAGTTTGTTGATATAATATTCGATAAACCGAAATATAACAACTCATTTGACCGATAATCAACGTATCCACTTTTTCTCCGCCTAATTTTAGTGATCATCAAGTCTCCTCTGTAGTGGAATTATTATCATATTATACATGTATACTCTTATGGTGACGGCCCAGCAGCAGATGGAGACATGAAACACTGTTCGGTGTCTGTAATATTCATTCTTTGTGCTAAGTAAGTAAAAGCATGTTGGCTGATACCGATAATGTGCCGATATTATCGTACATCCCTACAAAAATTACCTCAATATTCCGTCCTGTGTGCTGCAGTCAGCTCCCGAGGATGGACGGCCTGGGATGTGGGCGGCTTGCTGGTGGATTTAAGAATCGGAGGATGAAGTTGTTGGAGGGTAAAACTACAAACAATGAACATTTTGGCTCGTCAGGGGTTGGTAAGCTAACGACTATCAGAACTATCAGAACTGAGCCTCTTTCACTCCACGCCAATATCGACTGATACCGATGGCGTGCCGATATTATTGTGCAGCCCTTACATACATATATATATATATAGAGAGAGAGAGAGAGAGAGAGAGGGAGAGAGAGATGGAAGAAAAATTAAGATGTCAAAGCAGGTTTTCAGGGATTTAAGATGGAGACTGTTCTGACGGCCCAAAATTCAGAAACCACATTGAGACCGAGGACCCATTTCTCAAACAGCCTCTTATCCCAGAAACAAATCCCCGTCTTTACGTAGTCTCATTTCTTCGTACATGTACGCTGCCTGCAGTTAGACAAGCTAATTACCATAAAACATTTTTTTAGCATTGTATGTTTCTGTAAAACATGAATACATTACGTTTGTCAACAGCACTGTGGTTAATTAGTGGTTGTGTTTAGGCACAAAAACCACCTGGTTATGTTTAGGAAAAGGTCACGTTTTGACTTAAAATACCCACGTTAGGTGGCACAAAAGTTGCTGGAAAAGCAAGGATGGGTCGGTGGAAAACAAACGGGATCGTTTGCTCAAATGCTGCTGAGAAACTGAAACCAACTGTTTATTTTCGGAGAAACTGAACTGGATATTTGGTTTTGTTACAATGGACTGTTGGAGAAATGGGCTTTTGGTCCAGCGGAACATTTTATAAACTGATGGGGTAGTAAAAATGATAGAGCATAGTATCACAATATTTTGCGTGGTAATATCATATCATCACACAGTACCAAGTATCAGTTTTGTCATTCTATAAATTATTAATATTACAAATAGAAATTAAACTTAAGGTATCCTACTCGAGTACAATATAATCGATTGCTTTATTAGTCCACTAGATACATTTTGCTGCAAATATAATGTCTGAAGTGAGATGAAGTTTTCTTTTGGGGACATAATTTACAGTTAAAAAAAGGTAATAAAACACAATGTATTCTATCTTAATACTCAGCATATCGCAACATATTTAAAATCACAATAATATTGTACGATGACTTCAGTATGGTGATAATATCGTATCGTGGAGCCTCTGGTGATTCACACCTCTATAAAGGGTCGTCAGAAGAACTATGGGCTGTTGGAACAATATCATGGCACCTTTAACCCTCTGAAGCCTGACTCAACTTCAGTTTTCTCATGCTGCGTTCAGATGCTTTTCACAAGCTATTTAACTCCTTGAAACCTGAAATTGGTTTTAATTTCTCCAGGAAACATGGGGAAAAGGCAATGAGAAACCTGGCAAGAAATATCCACCAAAATGCAAGAATTTACTAAAAGGTCACAAGAAAATGACCTGAAAATTAGTTTAAAAAAGGGAAGGATAATGAGAAAATTATTTACTTATTTTCAGGTAATTTTCTTGTTTGTTTTTTTTTTGTTAGTTTTTTCGCTAATTTTGGGGCCATTTCTTGTGGTGCTGCTCGTTGCCTTCACCCCATGTTTTAAAGACAAATCAAAACAGTTTGCTCAGATTTTAAAGGGTTGAAATACACTTCAGAAACAATTCTGGTAAAGAAAAAATCAATCAGGTATGAAAAAGAAAACTTCAGACATGTGGAAACAGGATGTGGAGTTTAGGATAAAAAAGCCTTCTTGAGCTACATGTTGGTGATGTAGAAAATGTTGTGAGATCTTTATGAGCGTCTGATAATTGCTCTTTAGTTTTTAGTTAAATAAGTTTGTTTTAACAATCATTTTTATTGAATTTGAATGTAAGAGACAAACATGTTGTGAAGTTCGTGAAAATACGATTTGTTTCTCAGGAAGGACGACCGGCAGCAGGTTTATTCGGGGAATTCGAACCAGTCGAGCACTTTGACGGCTCTCAGATTGGGAGGTCCAAATGACTAAACAAAAACATTTTGGCAATCAACTTTTATGCAAAGCTCATATTCATAAATCATCCAGATGTAACTTGTTTTGACTTTAAGCCTCAACATCTGTGTTGTGTTTGTGAGTCAGAGGAAGGATTTGGCTTCTTGGACTGGTGACGTAAAAACATACGTTTACGTTCAAATGATTCTAACTTATCTTATTTAAGTTTTATTGTGTTTATAACTTTTGCCTGTCATTACGAGGGAACATTACGCTCATACAGCATGTGTAGCAAGACAAGCTCAACTTAACTCATATATTGTATCCTGTTATTTTTATGTAAAAAACAAAAACAAACAAAAGGGGAATTTCACCAACATTTGTTTTGCTGAAAGAATTTCAAGGGCAGAAATTAGATGGGCATTTATTTTGAATTTTGATGTATGTCGTTACTCAGACACTCCTCTGTAAGATTAAAAAAAAACAATATAAAGGAAATAGTTTATGTTTGCTAAGAGATGCAGGAACATGGCCGTCCTTCAGTGTTCAAAGCAATTTATGTCACCAAGATGCCTTTTAAGATTATTTTACAATTTATAACAGATTAATATTACCTTAATGCATAAGACAAGATTTTTATTATTTTAATTTTGGTAGCATGCCTCTCTAACTGATGCTAAACACTCCAGGTACAGTCGGAGATTATTATTGTTTATGCATAAGAAATAAAAGGGAAAAACCCACTTAAAATAGCTGAGTATATGTGACGGTGCCTTGTTTTAATTTTTGTTCTTTTAACCTGATGTTTACGTCTACACATAAACATCATGATATTTTTATTTTTCTATTTTTTAAGTTTTATTCTGACTGCAGTAATTTACTTTTGGTTTAAGCACCAGCCAATAAGAACGATAAGTTTTAAAACATCCTCTAGTGCCTTACAAAACATTATATTTTGATACTGATTCTTAATAAAGAGCTGAATGTCATATTCATGGAAGGCAGTGTACTGTCAATGACGTGTCTTTTTTAATTCGTATATATATAAATGTATTTAAAGTCACACTGAAATGACGTTTTGAGAGTGTCAAAGTAACGATGTGATGGAGAATTCGAAAGAATTGTAAGAGTAATATTTTGTGCTTCTCATGGTCCTGGAAAATATGAACTGATTGTTTTTCATTTCATTGTGACTTTAAGAATATTTAGAAATGTATTTAAAAATGTAAATAAAATTAATTACATTTTTTAAAATGTAAAACAATAATTCTGAAATATATTTTGATGGTCTGTAACAGTTATACTTTGGTGTCTCATTTATTGCATCAGTGTTTTGTGTTCTTAATCAGAAATCAAATGAAGCTATAAAGTTTGAATGTACATAATCTGCATCACTGTCCATGTGCCTGTTTTTTGTTTGAACATATTTATTTGACTGTGATTTTAATGTACTGATCACAGTCGGCACTGCAGGTCATGTGAAACACACTTTTCTAAAAACACTAGTTGTCTTTTAGCCCATTTTCTTAATAATAAATAATATCAATACATTTATTTATGTAGCATGTTTCAAAACCAATTTTACAAAGTGCTTCACAAAATAAAAACGATAAATAAAGCAAAAAATAAAAACAGTACAGATCACTATCTAGTTAATTAGTAATAAACAAGGTGATAAAACATAAATGAATGCACTGACGTACTACTGACGTTAGTATTTATGACGTTAGCTAATTTGCATTTAGCAAGTTAAGCTAGTTTACAGAGTACAGTGGTTATTGAGAAAACATGTTAATACAAAGATTATTTTCTGGTTTATCTCTGCAAAGTGATATTGTAAAATAATGGTGAGGCAGAGTCTTTGTGTTTGGTGTTTCATTTTAAGTCCCAACAACATTAACTACTGTTAATAAAATGTATTTTATCAGCAAGAAAAAAATAAATAAAATATCCGTAGTCCAAAATCATGATTTTTTTGTCAAAATATTTTACAATGTGTACAACATATGACTGTACCCTTAAAAGTAGTTTAAAAGTAAAGGATAAAAAGTAAGAACACCAGTTGTAGCAAGCGGCAGCTCAACTGTTGATTAATATAAAAGCCAAGTTTGTTTTGCAAAAAGCCTTCGATTGCCTTAAAGGTTTTGTGAGTGCTAAGCTAATACTAAAGCTAGCTTCTTTGGTGTAGCGACACGACAAAGCAGTTTGTGTTACTTTTGGTGATGGCCTGTCAGGCTGGCTAGACTTGACAATATTCAAACGTTTGCTAGCTCAGTGAGCTAACCTGTTAGCTGCTATTCTTTCTTGTCAGCTGTTTTCTAATGTTTTCAGGGTTTTCTTTGAGAAAATTGTGGTAAAGATTAGTTGTTAAAACTTGCAGGGAAATAGGTGGGTTTGGATAGAAGCATCCAGGTTAGCTAACGTAACTTACTAGATAAGGAAACTCTCCCTTCTGCAACAAAATTTGAGACGTAGGCGTCGATCCAGGAGCCTGGGTAATGGCCTTTACACACCAGGGACAAAAACAAAAAATGAAAATAGATATTTGTCTACGATATTTTGCGTTTAAACCCTTCACACATGGACCAACATGAATGTCGGCGCTCCGTGCATTCCATTGAAAATTAATGATTTGCACTGTCACACAACCGTCAAACGACTGTGTGTAACAGAAATGACTGATGTAACACCATCACTCATGCTGCAAGTCAGTATTCCCAACTTCCAATCTAGATGTTTCCCAGTGCTTTTGCTCAGAAAAAACGTGGACACAGATAAACAGAGATCTGTGTGGGTACATGAGACCCTAAAAAAGAGGATGGATCATGGGGAGTACCACCAGTTGGTCCAGGAGCTTCTCCTCCATCATGGACGTTTACAGGTAGATTTTAGGATGACTCAGGGGCAGTTTGACAACCTGCTGTCTATCATCAGGCCTTATAGCTCTGGGTATCCAGCAACCACTACCACCAGTTTCTCCTCCATTGTTTACCATCTGTAAACTGGTTGTAGTGAACACCACAGAAGTCCCGCCTCTCAAATCATCTGATTGGACAATGGGAAAAAAGCAACGCAAAAACATTCTCATTAAAGACTTTCACAAAAAACGCCTCCAGCTGCTGAAATACTTCCTGTGTGATCAGGGCCTAAAGATGAGACAACTCTGTCCGCACATCCTGGGATTATACCGTTTATACAGAACGGCGAGGCGACATAATGGCGCAACATTCCCGCCTAAAACTGGTGGTGTAAAAGCGACTTCTGACAACAAAGTATCTTTACTCCTCTTTTTTAGGCGACTCGCCATCTTGTGATGACAAGTTCAGCTGCGTCTTTTCCTAATTTATGTTCGTCATCTTGTTTATTTTGTTTGTCGCTGTGTTGTATAACTAAATGGATCAGCTGATCGATACCTGCTGTGTGTGACAGGATGAATGACGAAATCATGACACAAAATTCTCATAAATCAAACCAGCTGTGGAAAAAACGCACCACAAAATATAAATGTTTTAGATCTGCTCGTAGAAAGAGGATTTTTTTTAAGTGATTTATTTGCGTAATAAGACTGTTGGTTTGATCAATTCACAACATGAACAGGACATGTTTTTTTTAATGTTTAATAAATGTCAGAAAGATGTGACGTCCCCACCCGGCTTTATTTATTCATACCTGTGCTACCTGCGCGCTGTTTGACCTCCAATTGTGTTGCAGTGTTTGATTACACTCACACACCATCACATGTTCAAACACACAGCTCTCTGACTGTGTGTTCACTGTCACACTGTATTTACTGTATGAATCACAGTGATGATGATGATGGTGGTGATGATGAAGGGCTGGAGCTGGAGGAGGAGGAGGGGCTGATGTGTTTACTGGATTCACTTTGCTTTCCAATTAAAGCCTCAGATAACGAGAAGCAGCGAGAGCAGGACGAAGCTTCATCAGAGGAAGGTGAGTGATTTATTACTTTCACAGAAACAGCTTCATTTTGCTTTTTGTGTCGGTGATCAGAGCAGTTACTGATCACTGTTCACACTGCAATATTGATTTAAAAAACAAAATAGCACTACACATAATATTTGTTCATCTTGCTCTGATGATATATTTAAGATTTTTTAATGCAATATTTTCGGAAAATAAACTTTTTTTGGTTTCTTGTTTAAAATGAGTTTCATATTAGCAACGTTTAAAGAGTGTGTAATTATTTTGCAAAAACTGATGTGCATTTATTCGTTATTTGGTGGGCGTCAGGACAGCTAACACAGTTAATGATCGGGACGTACGCACGCTGCAGCAAAACTAACGCACACACATGTTAATTAAATCGCGTTAATTTGAGAAACATTGAGCAGCTGTGAGATTTAAATATAAATGATCTTTGTATTTTTAATTATTTTATCCTCAGTTGCTATAAAGAGCCAGTGTGTCCTATTAAAAGCCAGCAGCTCGCAGCGCCTCCTCCTCCTCCTCCTCCTCCTCCTCCTCCTCCTCCTCCTCTGCAGTCCTGTATTGGGTTTCATTCCTGCAGTTCTGACTGAATGAACGCTGATCAATTATTTACAGAGAAGCTGAAGGTCAGGCGAGAAACCCCGAGAGACCCTTCGGCCCCGAAACAGACACTTCTCAGCCACAACTCCACCAAAGACACGGGACAGGACGAGACGGAGGGGACGCTCAGGACGAGGAGGACAGCTGGAGGTACGTCTGATCCACTTCACACTGATGAATCCAGATCGAGTCTTTACAGTTTAAATGCTTCAAACTGGTTTAAGTGGACTGATTTTCATGTTGCGTTCAGGTGTAAGCAACCAATGAGGCACAAATCCAGCAGTGATGCGTTTATGTCTGTTTTTTAACGTGTGAAAGTAGAAGAGCTGAGATAAACTCAATCAACAGAAAATCAACAGTTATTATAATAATGGAGTCGTTGTGTTTCTGGCTGTTTATTAGAATCAACTCCATTTAAAATCTGACAAAATGATCTTACTTAAAAAAATCTAGTGAACTGATTGTCTTGAAAAACTAAATGTAAGTCTTATGTTTACTTTAATTGCTGTGTGGGTTTTTTAATTTAGGTATACTTACATCTTTTTGTGAAGTTGTTGCAACTTAAAAATGTCTTGTTCTTTTAGAGTAAATTAAGTTGGTCTGACTTAACGGAACAGTTGTGTTTACTCAGCAGAATTAACCAAACCAATTGCATTGGGTCCCGTAATCCTCAATCGCTGGAATTACAGGAATTAGAGGCCTGTCCCAAATATGGGCCTGTTGATTTCAGTGATTTAAGCAAATAATAGCCCGGGCTACTAATTGAAGTTTTACGGTATTCAAGCTTAGTCTTTCTCTCTGTATTAAGATTTCAACATGGCTCCAGTTTTATTTCAAATCAAGCTTCAGCCAATGTACAAGCAAATGAAACATTTCATCAAACTTTGCATGTTATGTTTTAAACTTTAATAAACAAAACAACACTGGTAAATATCTGTATTCTGCTGGCTGCAAACTGGTCAGTAACATTTATAAATTCTTAAACATGTAAAGAAAAAACACATATATAGAGCAACTCTATTAAATTCTCGATCCTCTTTCTTAGTCCTGTCTTGCGTGCGTTACGTAGCCACAATATATGTGGTTTTTTCTTTACACGTTTGTACTTTTGCCACAGTACCAGCACCGTGACTTCAGCTGTGCATGGTCATTTTTCTATTTTTAAATTCTTAAACATGTTAATAAAACAGAACTCTAAAGAAACAATTCATGGAGTCAGTTAAAAACGCTTAAACGCTTAAAAATAAATAAGTTTGTAAGCATAAAGAAAATATGCTTGTTACATGAACCTGTTTTAGTCCGTTGACAACTTATTTCAAGAAGTTGGTCAAAAGCAAAAAAAAAACATTTTTGACATTTTGAGTAGGATGGAATTAAATTAGTTAGAATATAATTTCAAGGTCAAAGTGAATCATGTTGGAGGTACTGAATTAATTGAGTTTGTCAGATTATAAAAGACTTACTCAATAATGCCAGAGTTGATACATGCAAACTGTTACCTTCATTTTTTATAGTGGACCCAGAGGACTAAACCCTAAATTCATCACATGTAAGTTTAGTTGATAATTTGGGCGTTTGCTTTGTAGTTGTTGATTAATTTGATTAATTAAACAAAAAAAAACAAAAAACAAAAAAAAAAGTTCCTGTAGTTCCCTTGTTTCGGCCAACCAGCAGTCTAAAACCTGTGTGTAAAATATTTTTCATTTTTTAAATGAAAAATAATTAATTAATTAATTTAAATACAATGCCAAATATATGTATATTTAAGAAAAAAAAAAAAACTCTTATATTTATTATTAGCTAATGATCAGTAATCACAGCGTCCAGCAGTTCCAGTTGGAGGTTCATTAATATAAGTTTGTGACATTAATAGTATGTATGATACGTTCACTGACACTGTGTCGGAGTCACGGTTCTGTTCAGGCCACTTGTTAAAGCCATGAATATATTTGACCCTGTCCTTCCAAAACATGGGCTTGAATTTAAACCCTGAACCAAACGCTTCAACAGCCAGAGGAGACCACCTACCTGCGGCACAGAGAGGCGACATGAATAAAAAGGTTTCCGGAACGCTTCGTTAATGATTGAGGGGCTAATTGAGTGAAACAAAGTCTACATCAGCAAAACGCCGGCGGTACATTGTGAACGAGCTTTTCCAAACTAATGACTGTGTGTTTTCTTTCCCCTCTTTGTCACAGAAACTCCTTCCACATACCGGAGACATGGGTCAGACCCTGCCGTACGCAGACAGAGGTTAGACGGATCAAGAGACGGATCAATCGATCAGAGGAAGGACAAATGAAGTAAACCTCAGGGAGTGAGAAGACTTGAAACCGGTGAAGGAGCTGAGATGACGCCAGAGGAACCTGAACTGATCCAGCTCTGCCAAAAATAACCTTCAGGGGTTCATCATGGGACTGAGCCAAGTCTCCAACGTCACTCCAGACATCGGTTTGGTGGCGGCGAGCAACACTTCCGGCACCTCATCCCTCCCTCAGTCGTCCTGCAGCATTGATGAATCCTACAAGTACGTCTTCCTGCCCGTCTGCTACTCCCTGACCTTCCTCTTCAGCCTCACCCTCAACTCAGTGGTGCTGCTGCGCTCTTGCCGCCATCAGAGCGGCTGCTGCGGAGGCGGTGGTAGCAGTGGCGGTGGGCGACGCTGGAACACCTCGCTGATCTACATGGTGAACCTAGCCACCACTGATCTGATGTACGGCCTGTCGCTGCCCTTCCTGGTGGCGAGCTACGTGCTGAGGGACCGCTGGGTGTTCGGGGACTTCATGTGCCGCCTCGTTCGCTTCCTCTTTTACTTCAACCTCTATTGCTCCATCTTCTTCCTCACCTGCATCTCTGTGCACAGGTAAGACGGCCCAGAAACCAGTTACCACAGATGCTGTTAGCTGGTTCTTCTGATGACAACACTGCTTTCACCTCTAAGTAGGGGTTTTCTGAACGTTCCATTTGGCTAAAATGTCACCTCGTTTGCACAAAGCAGAGAGTTCAGGTGCTTAGACATCACCAAAACCTAACAACTCTCACACAGTGTAGTGTGACATATACTCAACTTACGAACTGCACCTGTTAACTTCCTGTTAGCTCTACAGTAACGTTAGCAACGACCTTAATGATAAAACTGCTTTTTCATCCTGAAGTTACTAACTTAACTTTTCAGACTTAGCTTTGATTGTAAATAGTATTTACCAACAGTTTTTGTATGAAGCATTTATGATCATTTTAATAGTGAGGTTAGCCAGTCAGCTAGCCTAGCTAGCTACTTAAATGAGGAAATGCACCGCTAAGTTTATGAAGAGGACGGTCAGCTCCACAGAGCTTTACTGCTCGCTGTTACAAGATGGTGTTCATCAGTCACTTTAATATTTTTTGCAGCTCTTCAAAGCACAGAGTGTAAAAAAGGGCCACAGCAACCTAACGTTAATAAGGCTAATGTGCGTGCTACGCTGAGTGACTAACAGTAGCTAGTTACCTTTCAAGACATCGAGGTGATTATTAAACTGATTAAAACCATTATATATACAAAACAAACGTTAAATACTGTTGAGAATATGGACAAGGCTAACTGCGAAATGTTTTAAGGTTTGTTTTAATAGTTTTGATCAGTTTCTTAATCACCTCGGTGTCTTAAAATGTTACTAACTAACGTTAGTCACTCAGCGTAGCACTAACATTAGCCTTAATTTAAGAGCTAACGTTAGGTTGCTATGGCTGTTTTCTTCACTTGGAACTTTGAAGAGCTGCAAAAAAAATTACTGACAAACACCGTCTTGTAACAGCGAGCAGTAAAGCTCTGTAGAGCTAACGGTCATCTTCATAAACTCGGTGCTTTCCCTCATCTTAGTAACTAGCTAGGCTAGCTGACTGGTCAACCTCGCTATTTAAGGACTGATATGATTATGAAATTTATCAGTAACACTACACACAAACATTAACGGTAAATACAATATGTACAAAGCTAGTTCTGTGAAAAATATCGTCTTCCTGCAGTGTGACGTTTATCAGTTTTCCAAACTTAGTGTCTGTTTACTTCCTGTCACCTCAACAGTAAGGTTATATTTGCCCTCCGACCTCAGTGAAAAGGCCTACTGTTTCTTTTTCAGATTCATTTACTTAAAGATTAAACATGAATGTCTTTGTTGTTGTTTGATAACCACCAATAAATGAAATATTGTTTTGTGGGGGCAAATAAAAATGTACTTAAGGCAAGTAGACATTTGACCCGGGCAAGTGAAAAAACAATAAGGTTGAACCCCAAATGGCCTGTAACTAATGTACCTACCACTAGATGAGGATCTTCTGACCCCAGAACTTCTGAGGTCACCACAGTGTCTCTGAGAATGGCTACTCATATCTTTTCCTTGTATCGTTAATTTTTGATAGCTCCTCACGTTTGGCATTTGAACTTTGACTTGCTTATGGGAAAGCAACATGCTACCGAGGCTAATGTAGCAAGCTAGCAGATTCTCCTGACCTTTGAGCCGGTAAATGTTTGGAAAAGGGCCAAGTTAGCTTATGGGTTTGACCTCTGAGACAAGAGAGACGGGTTGAAGTTACAGACCTTTCTACAAACTCAGTCATGTTGATGTTTTTGTGGTTTGTAGTCGTCCATGTGTTAGACTTTTCTGAGTTCAAAATAATTTAAAAAACCCTCAGCTGAGTCTGTTTATGTCCTCAGGTGTTAAGACTTTTTAAAATTGTACCTAGAATGAGATTAAAACTACGGATTCAGACTCACCTGTGGCTGTCCGTCCACAGGTACCTGGGGATCTGCCATCCGATGAGGACCATCACCCTTGAGAGCAAGCGGGTGGTGAAGGGCACCTGTGCATTGGTGTGGGTGGTGGTCTTCATCCTCACCTGCCCCATCTTTAGGTTCGCCCAGACAGGATACCTCACACGAGGAGTTGGCGGCATTGTGGGACCTGAAGGGGAGAGGGAAGGCGGGAACAGCACTGGACCTCAGGACGAGGGGGGATACTTGAACTGCTGGGATGACGCCATCGATAAGGAGTTTGCTGACTATGTCCCGTACGGCATCGTTCTTCATCTGCTGGGCTTCTTTGTGCCCTTCGTCATCATCGCCTGGTGCTACTCTCAGGTGGTCAGGACGATATTTCAGACCCTGCGCTCTCCTCCCAGTTCAATAGAGGGTGGGGAGGACGGTCCAGTAGGAGACGGGGTGTCAGAAGGAGTTAGAGAGCGGGAGAGAACCTCGGTCTCCATCTCTGGATCGCAGTACTCACACTACATCCGGCGGCGACGGAAATCCATTAAAACAATTGTAACCATCACATTGCTGTTTGCGCTCTGCTTCTTGCCCTTTCACGTGACGCGGACTTTGTTCCTGCTCATGCGGCGGGGACAGCTCGGTGGCTGCGAAGTCATGAAGACCGTGTCCATCTGCTACAAGGTCACCCGGCCGCTGGCCTCCTGCAACGCCTGGCTCAATGCCCTCCTCTACTTCCTGACAGGGGACAAGGGTGCTCCATGCTGCTGGCCGGCAGAACACACCGTCCGCCGAGACCACCGGAGCGGCTCCCTCTGGTGGCCGCTGAAGATTCTGAAAAAAGAGGGCATTGGAGAGGAAGACCAGGAAGCGGCTGAGAAGATCGAAAGGGTGGTCCACATGGAAAACGAGTCCAAGTCTTCACGTGTCATCTTCTAGACAGTGTCAGTGCTGGTTTCTCTATAAAAGACTTCAAACAGCGTGTGTAGCAGTTAAACAGAGAACTGTTCAGTAGCGCTCGGTATTGTTTGGAATTTTCTGATACTAGTGTTCGAAAATGCAATACCTGGGTTTGAATACTTCTCAAGTTTCCATCTAAATTTAGAGCAAATTTTAAACAAATTTTCAGATAATCAGCAAAAGAAAATGGAAATGAATCCTGGAGCGTGTCTCAAATCACATACTTTTGTTAGTACACTTCAGTGTAGTGCAATATATACACTATGCACTGCTTGCGTGGTGCACTAATTTCAACATGGCGGTGTTGTCTGAAATCACCCACTGCCATTTTGCTCTAACTGGAAGTGACGATGGCTTCTTTTTTTTTTTTTTAAATAAAAAGATAAAAATTTAACCGCCTCTCCTGCTTTGTCGTCTTCTTTTTAAACAGTGGAGTATTACCACCAACATTTGACCGCTATCTCCGCCCACACCTAAACCAAACTCACGTCACATCGTCAGTGCTGATTAAAATGCAGTTAGCTCTGGTGAATGCTAACATTAGCACTTGCATGGTTGTTGGTGGTACCAAACCATTACAGACCCAACAAACATTACTGACGGCTTCTTTTCGACAACAGTTTTGGTACTTAAACACGAAAAACATCTAAAACATGTATAGCTTCAACTACGTCACATAGTTGGCGACTGTTGAGGGTGAGAAGTGTCCGTCATTCCACGCTCAACTTTTGGACCGTGTTGAGTGCGTCAGTAGTACACTGTATTTTCCTGTACTATGCAGTGTGAACACACTGAGCGCACTGGTGCACTCAGAATATTAAGTGTTTATTACAGAAGTATGTGATCTGAGACACACTGCTGGTTTCCATCCACTCACTGGCTGATGGAGATAAACAGCTGGTGGAGCAATTTTCCAGTCGGTGCCATTAAACCACTGCAGAAGAAGAAGAAGGGGAGCTCAAACGATGGAAATTCATGTGGAAGAAAACATGATGGAAATATGACATTTCTGTTAGTTTCACATGTTAATGTGAGGAAGATTACAGCCTCCTCATCGACCCACTTACATCTGATAACTTACATGTCGAACTTTTTTTTTGCAATCCTTAAACTATTTATCAAACCCAGGCATCTCCAGATATTTAAAAGTGACATTTGAGCCTGATAGAGGGGACAAACTTTACTTAATTAACTGCCCTCACATTACAAATCATGTCGTCAAATCACTAAATAACTCAATAACTCAGTTTTTGTTTTCTTGATTTAATTCAGAATACTAAATTGTGCCCTTGATTGAATTAATTTCCTTAAATTAGTTATGATCACTTTCATCTGCACTCGGTATGAACCATAGTTTTATTTTAAATTTTTTAGATATGTGGATATTCTTGTGGTTTTGGCTGTTAGATGTACACCATGTCCCAGATCCATACTGCACTCATTCTAAGCAGGTTCTAAGCACATAATACATATAAAACATGGATAAATTAAGTATACTTTGGACACCATGCAAAAAAAAAAATTACAGTCGATGAGTGTCCCGTCTGTGGACACTGATGTCTCACAATGCATTCAAAAAAATAAAGACATGCTATTCTAAGACGTTTTTCCATGATTCTTGACAACAATCTTAGAGACATTTAGCAGCTGTGTCTGTATTTCCATATATTGCAATGAGTGTAAGTATGCACAAAATGCATCTCTTTACAGAAGGATAAAAACAGCAAAGTAAAAAGTGGATTTTGAGTGTCCAGTCTTGTAGAAAAGGCACATGGAACAGTACAGAGACACAAACAGGATTAATAATATATTGTGAAGAATAACTTTCAGGTTTGTCACTAGTTTTATGAAATATTTTGTTAAAAGACGTCACTATAAATAAACTCTCTATGTTACACAGCTAGCATGATATCAATGTTAGCTAGCTAAACACAGAGTAAAACTTTTCACATAGAAAAACAGAATAAATATTAAAAAATAAAAATAAATAGAGCTGTATTACATTCACTAATCTGGCTCAGTGTGTACGGCCTGTCCAAAATCTGCCGCAAAAGCTCAATTTTGTTTTAACGCACTTGAGACAAATTACAGATGGTACTCTGAAAAAACGGAAGGAGGAGTTTTGCAAACACATCAGAGATCACAAAGGTTTTCAGAGGGATGAATGGACCTCTGGAATAAGGTTATGTGTATTAAGGGTTATCATGTCCACCTCATCAGAAACTGGGGAGGGATTAAGAGGAATATTGGATTTCTCTGGAACGCTAACTTTTTAGCACATTAGCTAACGTTAGCTTCCATAGCAAAACAAACAAGTGTGGTCCTCCTTTGTAAGATTGGCTTCCTGTGACATCATCCATCCACTGAGTGAGAGCATACGGGTCGGCCAGTCTGGTCCCGTTGGTCAGTGTTTACTTATTCCAGTAACACTGGCGGTCCCGGAGAGTGAGTGACCTGACATGGTGCGTTGGTAAATTCAGTCTGACGCTCTACACTAAAATGAGAGCCCTGTTGGTGGAAGAAACGCAGCGTTATATTTCTACATGAATGAACCAACGTTTAAGTTAATCACACATTCACTCCGCTCGGCGCTCTGCTGCTCCGTCTCCACAGACAGAGTGTCCAGAGTGCGCTCTGCCACTCTGAGAGTGCGCTGCTCTGGATAACCCAACTCTACATTCAGACAGCGCTCCCAGTTTATCAACGCTCCAGTTTGTGTCAGAGTGCGCTCCCACACTCACAATGAGTGTTTCTGAACGCACCACTCACATCTTCTTCCTCCATCGTCTAAAACAAGACTACACAACTTGTTAGCTAGCGCTAGCTAATGTCTGTGGAGAACTGTTTTGCCTCCAGCTAAGCCCCGCCCACCAACAAACATCACACTGTTCACTAACAGTAAAGGGTCTATATGTTTTTTTGTATAACTGTTAAAACTAGAAAGTATTCTGTACAGAATTAGAATATACTGCAGTGTTGTCCAAATCCACAACAGCTAATTCAGTTCAGTTCACATAGATTAATTTATTAAATTCATATTAATTCATCATTTGTCACTGACGCTCTGACCTGATTTTCAGACCCAGCCAGCACAGTTTGTTTAAAGATGTGAGATATTTTTCTGTTACAATCTATAACTGATTTGTTTCTAAATCTCCTTCAAATATTCATATGAAGTGCTTCAGCAGCTGTGCTGTCTGAATTGCTGGTTTCACTAGCCGTGTCAAAGTTTGTTCCCCCATTGAATGGTGTTTGCTTGCCGTTAAAATGCGTAGCGCCCCCCTCCGTGGTTGTAGGTAAAGGTAAAGGTTTGGTTCAGATGTAGGATGGGGAAACATCTTGACAGTGAAGATGTCTTCAACACAACACTGGTGTGCCGGGTGCCATTATAGTGTCATTAACTCTTCCCACCATTGGTCGCTCACATTATGCTCATTAGTTGCAAATGAAAACATTCAATTCACCACTCACCCAACACATGAGTACGTTCATGCACAACACTGATGTACGACAGTATGGATCTGGGACATGCTGAATGTTTCTTGTGTTTTATTTTAGGGAAAAAATAAAAGAATATTTTAATTATCAATTAATCTTTTGATTTATAAAATGATATTCTTAATGTTCTATATAAACCAAAATGCCAAAAACTAGTGGACGTCCACTAGTAGAGTCCAAGGTGACGTCTTCAGATGTTTCATTTTGTCTGACCAGAGGTCCAAACCACAAACGTTCAGTTCACTGATACAAAACAGAAAATCATTTTAGAAGCTTCAACTAAAGAGAGTTTGACACACTCAGCAGATAAATTCAATGCACATTACCTCATCACCTTTATTCTGCCTCCCACAGAGGACAGGGGGTGGAACTGCATATTGTTGAAGGCACGAATTTAAAAGATTCAGTAGAAAACATTAAATGAAACTCACTTCTGCCCACATGACATTATTGCCACCTGAGGGGTTTAAAGGGCAGTGACACCCATTTTAACTTGTGAACATGACCTCCTCTTGCCATTACGGAGCTGACCTTTGACCCTGTGACGGAAGATCTGACGCTGCTCTGTGGAGCATTAACGGGCTGCTGACTAAGACTTTTTCCTCCTCGTGTTAGTAAAGACAAACCTTCAGTCAATCAGTCCTGGAACATGTAATCAATACATTTAAATGTCATGTAAATCACTGAGCGGCAGCCATGTTACTGTCTGAATGTATTTCCTCCACAGAGGACACTCTGCATGACGGACGTTCACTGCTTCATGTGTTGTTGTTGTTGTTGTTGTTGTTGTTGTTGTTGTTGTTTTTGAGCTCAGGTCAGTCTGTGACGTCACACTTCTTTTTTGTGTGTATTTTGACGTTTTGTGGCAAAATATGTGGATTAAAGTCTGTTGTTGACATCAGCTCTCTGTATCCCCGGCCTCGTTCATGGTTAACGTGTGGATCCGCTCGCTCTCAGGAATGATTAATCACACATCTGCTGCTCAGACTGTTGAACTGAAACACTGAAGGAAACCGCACATCACAACTCACACTCATCTGGGAATTAATTCTGACACCGACTAACATCTGTGTCATCAGTCCGAACCCTCCACCTGCACTTTAAACATTTTCTGCAGAGGATATCGTTGTTTGATCGAACACTGAAACAGTTTCTTCATTTATATTTCTACATTTATTCATAATTTCACTTTTCTCAAATAAATAATTCAAAGGCAATATTTGCCCTCTGACACAGAAATACCTTAAACCTTTTTAGAAATATTCTTATGACCTAAAACGAGACAAACTGAGTCTAAACATCACTAAGAGTCAACATGCTAGCAGCTCTATTATGCTAACATGCTGGTGTTTGACAGGAATAATGTTTACAATGTTCACCGTCTTAGTTTAGTATGTTTTTAGTTTAATATTTTTAGTAGTTTATTTTTGCATTTTTTCCTGTTTGATATTAACCTTTAAATAGTCAGCTAGCCTAGCTAGCTACAAAAAAGAGGAAAAGCACCGTCAAGTTCATGAAGAGGACGGTCAGCTGTATGGAGCTTTACTGCTCGCTGTTACAAGACGATACACGTCAGTCACTTGAGTATTTTTTGTAGCTCTTCAAAGCACAGAGTGTAGATAAGAGCCATAGCGTAGGCTGACCAAACGTCCTCTTTTGCCCGGACATGTCCACTTTTCACGTCCTGTCTGGGGGGTGTTTATAAATTGATGATGTCCGGTTTTCCTTGTGTGTGTGTGTGTGTGTGTGTGTGTGTGTGTGTGTTAGAGTGCAGCACGGCCACATATTTCTGTCTGAACCAGACAGTCATTATGTTTTGTTATGTCCGAAACCGAACCAAGCCCGACATTATTTAATGACTAAAGCACTGAGTTTGTGTCACACAGTTGTTATGGTTACAAGCTATTTAACAGGCTGGGCGTGTGCCGTGGGTGCTCCACGGAGAGGGAGACCTCCGTGTTTGAGACGGGAGCGGGCGGCGGGAGGTCCGAGGCTTCCAGCGAGGGGTGAGGTAGAAACAAACAGCCAATGTGTGCGTGTGTGATCTGTTCAGGTGTTGTCACGTAAATGACAGTGCCCAAGCAATAAACAGGACAGACAATAGGATTTTATTTATTTTTACACTAAATTTTCACTGAAAGCTGACCGAATCCGACCCGAGCCCGAATACAATTTATACATTTTTGACCAAACCCGAACAACCCGTCGGGTAGGCCTACCGTCGGTGCCATTGGACTCGAATCAGGTAGCCACACTCTGTGTGTATGTGTCCCCTATCTATTGGGGCCTATCTGAATTTCTGTCTTTGAGAGATATTATTTTGTAATATAACTGAATTTTCTATCCATACATATAAACTTTAAATATATTAAAATTATAAGGCATCTTTGAGTAAACTGCGAGTATCATTTAAGTAGGCTATGTCGTGGCCGGGCCGAGTGTCCTCATTTTTTGGAAATCAAAATATGGTCACCCTACCATAGCGACCGAACGTTAGCTCTTAAAATAAGGCTAAGGTTGGTGCTACACTGAGTGACTAATGCTAGCTAGTCACCTTGAACTGATCAAAACCACTAACGTATATACAAAACAAACATTAAATACTATTAACAATATGTATAAAGCTAACTGTGCAAAGTTAACTTAGTAACTTTACTTTGCAGTTAGCTTTGTACATATTGTTAACAGCATTTGCTGATTGTTTTTGTAAACGTCGTTTTTGATCATTGTGACAGCGAGGTTAGCCAGTCAGCTAGCCTAGCAAGCTACTGAAATGAAGAAAATCACTGTCAAGTTTATGAAGAGGATGGTCAGCTCTATGGACCTATACTGCTCGCTTTCACCAGAAGGTGTACGTCAGTCACATTAATAGTTTTTGCAGCTCTTTCAAGTACCGAATGTAAAAAAGAGCTATGGCGCCCTAACGTTAGATAAGCTCTTGAAATGTTGGTCCGACACTAAGTGACTAGCTAATGTCACTACCAGTTATCTAAATAAATTTTTGCAAAGACACATTTTAATAAAACTTTTGGTACCAGAATAATAAATTCAGTTGCTCTTTCGGTCCACTAGATGGTGCTGATGTTTTTTTCCTGATGAGGTTAGCAGAGGTCTCAGTCAGCAGTATTTGGCAGGAAGTTCATCAAAACAAAGATGGAGGCACTGGAGAATGAAATCAGAAATGTGCCGTTAGCGTTAAAATCAAACATCTGGACTTATTTTGGATATATCACAATATATTGCATCGCAATACTCAGCATATTGCAATAATATAACAGCATGTCCTCTGGTGATTCCCACCCCTAGTTAGCAGTGTCAGCAAGACTAATAGTGCTAACATAGTTAACAATGCTAAAGGGGGTTTATGGGTCAAACTTACTCACCGGGGCAACCTGGGGGGAGACGGGAGGGTGGGTGCGGTTTTCCACAGCAACATCCTCCCTTCATCGAGACAGTGTTACCAAAAGTATTCGCAAAGGATTGCCACCTCTAGCTAGTTCCCACCCGACCTGGCTGGTACGCAGTGCAGAGCAGCCAAGGCTAACATTAGCAAACCAGTGGAGACCGGAGTGTGGGCAGTAGGTGCTATGTTTCCACATGTTACCACAGCTATCCTTCTGTCTGTCAGACTTTTAAAAGCAATATTAACCCTTACTGACAGTTAGCACGTTGACCAGCAGTAAACACAGAGTGCAGCTGTCCACAGAGCTGGGAGATTAGTAATGGGGCACTTTTGCTGTAAATGGAAATATTAGCATGCTAATACGCCCGTGATGACAACACTAAAATGCTAATATTTAGCATGTGTAATATTTACCATTTTAGTTTGATATGTTAGCATGCTAACATTAGCTGATTATCAGTAAATACAGTTAAGGCTGATGTTAATATCATTAGTTCTGCAGGTACTGAACACATCAACATGTTGACCTGATGATGGCGCTAGATGAAAAGTCAGAGGATCACCAAAGTTTGTAGGATTCATCCTCTCGGGAGCCTGACGTTGTGTCTCAAATCGCCTAAGTCTGTGATGATTTGGTACTGTGAACAATAGCGTGAGTGCTAACGTTAGTTTGGTAGCTAACGTTAGCATTCTCTAGCTAGCTAACTTGCTCCTAGCTCATTTTTATCAGCACTGATGTTGTAGCGTAAGTTTGATTTTTGTGTGACAGGAGATAGCGGGCGAATGTTGGCGATTTAAAGGAAAGACAAAGAAGAGGCGGTAAAAAAAAAAAAAAGCTATTGTCACTTCCTGTAAGTGCAAAATGACAGTACACAGTTTGAGACAACACTACCACCACCTCACTGTTGAAATTAGTGCACCACGCAAGAAGTACATAGTGTACGCATTGTACTATATTGAAGTGTACTAACAGAAGTATGCGATTTGAGACACACTCTGAATCTTTCTGCAAAAACACAACTTCATGTGATATTCGTTCACAATTCAAGATGGTGCATGATTCAATCTGGAGTGCTGGTGTTAAGCAGAACGAATAAAAGACAGATTTGTTTAACGTTCAGCGACAAAACGAGCGTTGAGGTGAATCAACACCTCTGACAGTCTCAGCATGTTTGCTGGACTTTGTTTCCTGATTGTTTATAACCCTTTGTTGAGTCATAGTGATTTTGTCCACCTGCTCCACCTCCTCCATTAATCAATCGATCACCTCCCATTCGACATCATTGATCAGCCTGTAGTTGATCCTCCGGTAGTTTTCAGGGTGAACTTGTCGCTGTCGCCCCACCTCCTCATACAGCCTGCGTACGACGGGCGGCAGCAGCGGGAAGCCGGCGGTGCGAGCCAACATGTTGCAGTACTCCCACTGATCCTGGTCCATGATCACCAGGTGGCGCTGCAGGACTCCGTGCTCCTCTTTTTCCCGCTGCTCTTGTCGGACCTCCTCCTCCATCTGGGCTGCAGACGGTAAAGTGACGGAGCCGTCCAGCACGGATAGAGCGAACTGGACCTGAAGAGATAAGACTGGATTTAATAATGACCACAGCTAAGCTCCTCTGTTGGATCCCATCAGTTTTCTAATCGAATTATAGACAAAAACAACCTTCTCACACACATCTGCCATCACACTGTTGTAAATCCCTTTAGAAAACATCGTCACACAGCACTTGTGATGAGTTATTTTTTAATTATCTTTGTAGCGTTTTTCCAGTCCTGTCTACTTGTCGTCTCACCTGGCAGTTGAAGTTGGGGAAGGGGCAGATGACCTTGCAGATGCCGATGAAGAAGAGCGAGGGGAAGGCTGGGGGCAGCAAGTAGCGGTACAGGGGAGACATCACGTGGTCCTGGATGTCTAGACCCAGCTGAGAGGCATCCAAGAATGGATAGCTGAAGTTGTAGCCGGTGCAGAACATCAGGACATCAGCAGTGCCCACAGAGCCGTCCTGAAACAGGTGGTTTAAACATAAGTGAATTTTATTGGTAAACACAGACAGGTTCATACGAGAGATTTAAAGGAAAGTGATGCAACTTTCTAGCATTGAGGATGTCATAAGCCGTGTGCAGAAAATACATGTAAGATATCCAATCAAATAAATTAGATTAGATTACAGATGTCCTGACCTGATCTCAAAGGTTTGTATCAGGGCTGATGAAGGCATATTTAACTGCTCGGGGTCGGCTACATTGAACTACAGTATATATACCAATTTGGACATTGTACCTACACCGTAGCCTGATGTGCACCTCCCCAGAAATGTAACTACGCATCACAGTGATGCAGACCTCCTGTCTGTCTCTGTAAGCTGAAACCATTTCCCTCAGTGGAAACAAAGCTTTGATTTACTTTAATTTCACAGATATGAAACAATAAATTGTGAAGACAATAAAGCCTCCACACACTGTGTGTGATTTATCCTGGCTGAAATATGAGCAGAGGAAATCTCTGCTATTCGCTAGGCTAATTTATACAATGTAAAATGCCATGGGCTTGTGCTAATAATGTTAGCATGTTGTATTTGTTTGGAAAACGTGTTTAGTATAAGACAGTTGTTTTGTCAGTGAACCTTGTGAGTTGTAACGGAGCCGAATTTTGTAACGTTACCTTTGTTAAATGTTGCTGTTTTTCATGGCTTCATATGAGTAGAGGAAAAATACGCTGGCTACTAGGCTAATTTATACAGTGTAAAATGCCATAGGCTTGTGCTAATAACGTTAGCATGTTTTTTTTTTGGGAAAATGTGTCCAGATAAAGACAAGTTTTTGTCTGTGAATGCTGCGAGTTATAGTGAAGCTGATTTGTGTTTGAAACTGTCTCTATTAAGCCATGTTTACTGTGTGTTTAATGTGTGTTTGATGTGTGTTCAGTGTGTGTTTTGAATCAAATAAACTTTACAGCACTTCACAGAAACCCTGCCGCCGACTAGTGTTTTGGAGGTGTAACTGCAGAGCGACACAGACACACCACCGCAGAAGTGTAAATGCTCACAACAGCGTAGGCTCTGCACAGAACTGACGCACAAGTATAAATCCTAAAACAGTGGACACCGCTGAGAAACTGTTGAAAAACAGATAACCTTCATTTTTATCGAAAACCGTCGCCACCGTTTGACGCTCAACAAAGACTTTTGTGTTTGCTAGACTTTGATGTAAACAAAGAGTCTACATAATATTCATATATGTGCCCTACAGTTGCAGCATGAAATCATTTTCAGGCTTATATTTACATCCACCTGGTGGCTGCAGTATGCATTGTTCTAAGATACATTAAACAGTGAATGATGTAAGCTGTAACATCGCCTTAGCTTAGGGTTCATTTGTTTAACTGAAGTATACGTCCTGTCCTGTGGTAAGGACCAAGCTGTGACTCCAGTGTACTGTAACATCTCTAATACAGATATCTCTGAACAAACAGACACCAGACGGAGTCAGAATGAGAGCAGATCGGCGCTGGGAGACTTCAGTGACCTGGAAACGGAGGCTGCCGTCCTCTTCGACCGCCACCACTGAACTGGACTGTTGAATCTCAGCAGGTAGAGGACAGGTGAGATGAGGACGGCCATGACTCAGAGTCACCTGGACAGAGAGACAGAGAGACTCAGAAACAGACTGACAACTTTCTTTATACATCGTGTCACTGTGGCTACATTTTAGTGACACACGTCAGTGGAGGTTTTTGTTACCTGAGCACCAACTTTGGCCAGTTCAATGGAAATATCCAAACCTGAAGCTCTGGCTCCGAGAACGACCACCGACTGACCCGCGAACGGCTCTGCACTCCTGTATGCATGGCTGTGGAGCACCTTCCCTTCACACAGAGACAGGAAAGACAGTGTGGTTAGCTTCGCTTAGCTTAGCACAAAGACTGGGAGCAGGGGAAATTGTTAGCCTAGATTAGCACAAAGACTGGGAGCAGGGGGAAACAGTTAGCCTAGATTAGCTCAAAGACTGGGAGCAGGGGGAAACAGTTAGCCTAGATTAGCTCAAAGACTGGGAGCAGGGGAAACAGTTAGCCTATCTTAGCACAAAGACTGGGTGCAGGGAGAAATTGTTAGCCTAGTTAGCATGAAGTCTAGGACCGGGGGGAAATTGCTAGTCTATCTTAGCACAAAGACTGGGAGCAGGGGGAAACTGTTAGCCTTGCTCCATCAGAAGAGAAGAAACTCCACCTTCCAACAGCTCCAACTCTGATTTCTTTTGTTTATTAAAGTGTAGAAACACACAAACTTCAGTCAGCTCATTGTTCATGTTGGGGCTGACAGTTTCATAAAAACATTAATGTTGCGTGCACCTTTAAAGTTCTGGACCCCTGGTATGTGAGGGATGTGAGGGTCGGAGTAGTGCCTGAAAAACAACACAACACAAACATCACATCATCCAAACAAACATTTAAACCGGTTAATGCAGCGTTCTGGTGACACCCAGTGGCAGCAACAGGAAATGACTTCAAAATATTTGTTGAACCAAACTTTAAAGAGTTACTGTTTTTCAACATGGAGCCTTTTTTGCCATATTTTTGTATCTACGTGACTAATGGGAACGGTTTTTTAAAAATGTGTCTGGTATTGAGACAAAGAGCTGCAGCAGTGAAACAGGCTGTGATGTCACCACTCTGTTCACACTGTCGGTGTCCGTCCACTAACAGTGTTTGTTTTTGTCACTGACAGGCTCAGATTGTTGTTCTAAGTGTTTGACAACATTATGAAAGGATCCCTACAGAGATAGAGCTTTGTGTTAAAGAGTAAGATCCTTTTTGTTTAACCAGAAACAGCTCTGAAATCACCGTCACCAAACCCACCAGACTGCATTTAAATAAACAGTCATGTTAGTGTGTATAGAGGCAGCATGTTGTCACATTTAACTGGTGAATTAAAGGTTAATTTCAACCAAACCCAGGGTCTAAGACATTTAGGTAATTTAATTTTACAATGACTAAAACTGAGGGAAAAAAACATGCACTGATATTAAATTGCCCAAAATGTTTATTGTGACATGAAACACGACCTTTTCTGTCAAATTAAAAAGTTCAAAGTAAAAAGTTCTTCTTTTACAATGCAGTGTCAGAAAATAATAATTTCCATGTCTTACTATTTTTAAGACTTTTGAAAGATTCATTTAAGACATTTTAATGACATTTAATGCATTTTTCTTTAAGATTAATGAATGAATCGCCTTTTTAGACTTTTTAAAGATCTGCGGGAACCCAACAAACCAGAGCTGGTGATTTGAACAGTGGAAAGACGAAGGAAGTTTCTGTGAGTTTGATTTTGTTTCTGCTGACTTTGACTGAAGCGTGTTTAATGATGATAAAATGCAGTCTGGTGGGTTTGGTGACGGTGATTTCAGAGCTGTTTCTGGTTAAACAAAAAGGATCTTACTCTTTAACACAAAGCTCTATCTCTGTAGGGATCCTTTTATAATGTTGTCACTCAGAACAACAATCTGAGCCTGTCAGTGACAAAAACAAACACTGTTAGTGGACGGACACTGACGGTATGAACACAGTGGCTACATTAGAGCAGTCTGTCTCCTCAATAGTGGACGGATAGTTCAATAATAGTCAGAACAAAAGCTCAGCTGCAGAATGAATAAACTGTTCTTCATCTTGATATGAACACATCTCACCCCGAGCAGACGAAGACCGAGTCAAAGGTTTCTGTTTTGTGACCACCTGATGAATCTGATGATGTCACTTCCCATGTTGTCCTCGCCTCCTCGCCCTCCGTCTTCTCGACAACAGGCTTCACACTCTCCACCACAGTGTTGAACTGACACAGAGAGATAAGAGTCAGAGAGAGGAACAAGAATGAAACTAAAGCTTTGTTTTCATAATCAACCAGATAATCTTTTGCTCTGTAAAACATCAGAACAGAGTGTGAACTGTCACATCACCAGCGGTGAGGTGGAACAAACATAAACATGAAAACATTTATTCAAGTACAAATTCAAGGTACTTGAGTTTTTCCATTTTATGTTACTTCATATTTCGTCTCTTCGACATGTCAGAGGGAAATACTGTACCTCTTACTGCACTGTCAATACTTTAAGAACATTTTCCTTCAGTCAGGTTTTGACAGGCTTCCCACATATTTTCATGGACAAATGTTCATAACATTTTCACGGCTTTTCAAGTTTTCTTTCTTAAATTTTCATGACCATTCGCATTGTGTTACACAAACAGAACTGCATGAATGTTAATTATATATGGAATTTACACACCAACCTTTTCTAGGTCACACTGACCTCTGACCACCAAAATCTTATCAGTTAGTAACTGAGTCCAAGTGGACGTTTGTGCCAAATTTGAAACAATGTGATGGAAGGATGTCTGTATAACCTGAAAACACTAGTCCATACCCATTGAGTACAGCATACCATACCATGACTTAGTCATACCAAACATTAGAAACACCAACATTGGTCCACAGGGGGAGCCACAGCGATCGGTCGCATTTTAGCCATTTTGAAGCATTTTTCTGTTGTTATAGCGCCACCCAGTTGCCAATTAGAGTTAAATTTCTCCAGTCACCTTGAGGCGTCCTGTTCTACATATCTACCAAGTTTAGTAAAAATCCATATGGTGGTTAGGCCTAGATAAGAAATGAGCTCTCTAGCGCCCCCATTTTGTTTGATGGGGTCAATAATGGAGGGGTCCCCTCAGATTATGTGTGGTCATATGCCTACAAAGTTGCGTGGTGATGGGTGAAACCCTTGAGATGTTATACACCTTTATGTGATGAGCCACGCCCTCCGCAATATTCATTGCCTTATAGAAGCTCAGTTTTAGTAAGTTTTCCAACTTTTGCCAAGAGGGAACTTTAGATATTGGTCCCTAGATTATGTTCACCCAGTTTCATGCAGATCGCTCAAACTTCCTAGGAAGAGATCCATTTGAAGTGTTTTTCAAAACATTCAAAATGGCGGAAAATGAGATATGTCCATTCAAAGTTTGACATTTCAATGGGTTGCTATAGCGCCCCCCTTTGGCCAATTGATGTAATATTGCTTCATTTGCATCCTCCCATGACCCTCTACCACTGTGCCAAATTTCCCATGGATTGACCAAGTCAGTGAGGAGAAAAACCTGGAACACACACACACACACACACACATACACACACACACACACACACACAGTGTTTGTCATTATATAGTAAGATAATGCCTTCAGCCACGACTGTCACCAGTGCGGAGGCACAAAAATGGAGGAAAACATGGACAAATGGACGGACAGTGAAGCCCAGAGTTTACTGAGTGTACGTATATGTGATGTGAAAATGCGAAGTGATTTTGACTCGTCAAAGCAAAATAGACGTTGCTGCACCAGCCGCTGGCCTTGGTCTTAGGCCCCAATCACACAGACAGTGTTTTGCAGGTTGCAAAACACAAGGAGCGCTGCACTGCCTTTTTTTTTTAAAAAAACTGAATGCCACTAGTGAAAAAAAAAACACTTGCTGTGCCTTTTTATTGTTGCCAGGCAACCACATACTCACCTCCATACCCTAACCTTCCTGTGTAGTCTATCCACTGTTTATTTATTAATTTATTTGTATGTATCCTGCAGTAATCAGTGTGTAGCTGCTGCCATGTTGAGGCAGAGGTTGCTGTGTGTAGCTCTGGTTGAGGGTGAGAGGCTGTTAGCAGATAAACAGAGATCTGTGTGGGTACATGAGACCCTAAAAAAGAGGCTGGATCATGGGGAGTACCACCAGTTGGATGCCAGATGCCTCAAGCACAGAGAGATAAGGGACAAAAACAGCGAGCAAAAAGCTTCATTCTGATTAAAAACTGTTAGAAGAAGTCGCCTCCAGCTGCTGAAACACTTCCTGTGTGATCGGGACCTTACAGGACAACATGTCAGCGTTTTTCTTGGTGGTGTGAATTAAATTAGTTCCTCACTGCTGTCTGGTCTCTGTCACTGATTGGTTAGAAATAATAAGTGTACTTCCTGTTAAATGTCAGTGAGTCATGTGACCTGCTGGAGGTCGACTCACCCTGATGTGCGGCCGGATGTTGTGGCTCTGACAGTATCTCTCCAGGTACGTCCGAACCTCCTGATGAGACAGAAAGCTGTTCAGCTGGGGGTCAAAGGGGAAGTCAGGGAACATCATCACCTCTTTGGGCAGGTTGGTTCTGTTGGGAGGAGGCGGAGCCATTAAACTCTGGACCACATGTGGATTTCATTCAGAGGAAAATGAGTTCTCTTTGATGACATCACAGACGTACCTCAGGTCTCTGTACATACTGCTGAGAACCGGCCGGCCGTTGTTGTACGTCCCAACGCGGTCAGTGTAACACCAGGTGCCGCCCACGCTGTCAGAGAGCTCAAACACCACCGGGGGGGCGAAGCTGTTCAGGCGGGACAGGATGTGTCTGGCTGCACAGAGTCCCGCCGCCCCAGCACCGACCACCGCCACCCGCTGCAGCATCGCTCACGTCCTGATGGAGACAAAGATGGTGTTTATTATACGTTTTATTATTCTGTAGGTTTTTCAGTCGACTGTGACTCCTGCATACTTTCAGCTACAGAAACCAAACATCAAATATATCCAAGGATTAAAGGGACAGTTCACCCTAAAATCAGAACTACCTTTCCTCTCACCTGTAGAGCTGTTTATTGATCCAGATAGTTTGGTGCAAGTTGCTGAGTGTTGCAGAGATCACCGTAGAGATGTCAGTGTCTCTCCGGTAATGGAACTACATGACACACCAAAAAAATCCATTTGAAAAACTCAACATCACGTCTCTTTCTACAAATCGTGACTCATTTACTCAAGATGATCCACAGGCCTCGTCCCTCCTCCCCTCCTACACATTGACCTCAGTGGGCGTGTTTGGTTTTGATTAATCAGAATGACCGAACATTCAGGACACAGCAGAAATGTTGGACTCCCCCCAAGCCTTAAGACACAGACTGTGTCTCAAACCTCATACTTCTATTATTACGCTACGTACTTCCTGTGTCGTGCACTAATTTAACAGGTTGGTGTTGTCTCAAATCGCACGCTGCCATTGTGCACTTACTGGAGATGATGATGGCTTTTTTAAAATTTATAATTGCCTCTTCTTCTTCATCTTCTTTTTAAACGGAACATTTGACCACTTTTTCCACCCAAACATAAACCAAACTTACACCACAAAATTGATGCTGATTAAAATCTGCTGCTGTAGCTAGAAGTGAGTTAGCTAGCTAGCAAACACTAACCTTAGCATTTGCATTATTGATGGCGGTACCAAATCATTACAGACCCAACAAACATTACTGACGGCTTCTATTCGACAAGTTTTGGTACTTAGTGTGAAATCATGTAGGACTAACAGGCTCCTTGTCGTCCCCAGCTGTGATGTCAAAAGTTAAGAAGTTTGTGACGTAGCTTCAACTGCTGACCATGTCTTTGCTATATTGCGAGTATCATGATTGGAATTTTCGTATGACATTAAAATAATATCATGAACGAGTTGATGTGACACGTCCCTAGCTGTGTCTGATTTATTTATTTTATTTATTGGTGTTGCATTGTCACATCGCTGTCACTGAGGTTTGTGCTCGCTTGTTTCATTATTTCATTTGTAATTTTTGGTCATTACTCACCACTCTGTATACAAACTGAATGTCAACTGTTAAAAATATATATACAAAGTAAAAACAAAAACAAAAACCCTGTTGCTAGGTGCGATCATAGACTGTATAAAAATATGGACACAGTCACAGTGACGTCACCCATTGGTATCTGAGGTGTGGGTTTGAAGCTCAAAGTAGTAGGCTCTGGCCGTCGCCATCTTGGCAGTGCCTGACTCCGCCCAACTCCCGGCCAATCAAAACTGGGCAAAGAGGCAGGCCAAATGAAGCCTGGTTGCTTAAACACGCCCACCTTACTCGAAGCTGCTAAGTTAGCTAAGGCTAACAAGCTAGGCTAACAAGCTACACTACTTTGGCTAGCCCTGTGGTGTTGGCTGCTCCCGTTTGGTGCCAGCTCCCTCACGAAACAAAATATCCAAAAGGCACAAACACGGCTGAGAGGTCAAGTTCAATGACTTACGAATTAGCTGAGATGACGCCTAGCAGACAGCCAGCGGCTAGTTAGCCACCTGTCACTCAAAGTGACCATGCCCTTAATTGTGTGTAACATTAAGCCTTAATAAAATTTTAATGGATGAGTTATAAAAAAAATTCACCCCCTGTACATTTGTCATGAGAGGGGAAATTAGCTATAGAGACCAAAACCGTTTTTTGTACCAGGCTGTAAACATGTTTATTTCTGCTGTAACATGGGGGTCTATGGGGACTGACTTGCTTTTGGAGCCTGCCTCAAGTGGCCATTCAACGAACTACAGTTTTTGGCACTTCTGCATTGGCTTCACTCGTCATCCCTGGAGGTTGCTGCTTGGGTGTGATGCATTCCTTTAACAGATGTGATTGGTTGTCAGAGACACGCCCCTCTGTGAGCCTGTAAGGTGTGAGGACACCCAGTGGACATGAGATGAACTGCAGACAGTGACAGTGTTGGTGTGATCACTGCTGCTGAAGGTTGAGACAGACTCAACTCATCACTGCTGCTCTGATGTGTTTTTGCAGTTTTACTTCATGATGTGATCATTTTATTTCTAGTGTTATTTTGTTGAGCAGAAAAAGTGTGCGTATCTCTATTGACGTCAGCCACACATATTATCCTGCACTAATCTGTAGTATTTAATTTACTCAGTGTCATTCAGCATCTGGAGAATATTTCTCAGATCTCTTTGTGTTTCCACCATTTTCTCCTCTGATTCAGAAACTCTTAAAAGTCCTGCTAACTGCTCCTGACAGTTGTCACTGTAGGAGCTCTTTAAAGGTCTGAGATGGTCTGTGAATAACTTTCATCTTCACCATGTAGTCTTAACTTTAAGGGGAAATTCTAAGAAAACATCACAAGAATTTTCTTAGAATTTTGTAATGAGGGATGACCCTGTGTAAAAGAAGCTGTGTGAGTACGGCCCGCTCTTCACACCAATTTTTGGTCTTCATAAAATGTAGTTTCATTTCAGTATCATGTGATGATGAACTGATTTCTGCTTGAATTTTGCAAAAAAAAAAAAAGAGACTATGATCATATGAAAATGTCAAATTAACATGAACATGTAGTGAAGTGATTTCAGGTGAACGAGTCACTTTATAACTGTACCTATCAGGCTGTGTGAACTTTGACCTGCGGACAGTTTCCACACTGAACTGTTCATTGTTACACGTTCACACACAAAATAAACACGTGTAGAGAGTTTCCTCTGAGCTCCCGGAATAACTGGACATTAAATCCTCAAATTAAAACCTTATGTTTCATTTACTTTGTGTAACAGCTAACAAGCTAACAGGCTACAAGCTAACAAGCTAACCGCAGTTTGATTGAATCTTTCTGAACAACGGTCACAAACTACAAACCTACGTCACTAGCTAAAACCGTCAGCTTGGTAACGACATTAAATATATTAAACAAAATGAGTAGCGTTACCGTGGTCTCCGTTAGTCGGTGTAAGTTCCGGTGTCGCGAGTTTTCGGTGCTGAAATCAACAGAACAGTCGGTGTGAGATCATTTAGCGAAGGAACCGGTTTGCGTCACAACACCGGAACAGTTCTGAATCAACGACAGAGGTGTAGTGAAGAGAGGAGGCTCGAGGGCCAGGCTGTTCCGGAACACGTCACATATACAACTTCCGGTATGCGTCCTTCAGAATAAAAGCGATATCGTTTCAAAATGTCAATAAAAATATATATTTTTTTAAAAAAAAACGGAGAAAAAAATCCACACTTTCTGATTTAAACACTCGCGATAACCTGAACTTAACCCTACTATTTAACAGGTTGAGTTTGACGGAAAAAAAATGCAATAAATGTTTGGGTTTTTTTTGTGCGTAATAATTATTTCTACATTTAAAAATAAAAAAGTGATTAATGAATACATCAATCTGGAAATCCATCGGTAAAAAAAAAAAAAACTTTTTTTCTTCTTCCTTTACAACTACAATGTAAATTGCAGAATCTGTCTTGAGAGATTATGAATAAATAAAATCAATACAATCCTTATGAAATGGACACAGATAAATAAGCCAGGCTGTTCCAGTAAACTAAACACAAACATGTTCCGACCCGATTCTACAGAACAAAAGCGAGATTGCTTCAAACTTTCAGTGGAAGAAAAAAGCACAAATACTGCACAACTTCTTACAGAAGACTTAACTCTGATATTTAACTGAATGTGGTTGAAGAAAAAAAATGCGATTAATGATTTTTTTATATACATATATTTCCCTAAAAAACAGTGGACAAAAAAAGTGATTCATTAATAAATAAATGTTGTAAAAAATAAATTAATATGAAATTAAAACATTAATTGTGAAATGGACACAGGAATAAATAAGCGTGTATATAATTAGGGTCAGGCTGTTCCAGTTAACTTCATACAAACATGTTCCGACCTGATTCTACAGAATAAAAGCGAGATTGCTTCAAACTTTCAGTGGAGCAAAAAATAAACAAATAAATAACTGCACAACTTTTTATACAAAAAACTAGAGCTAACATGTACTTAACGCTGATATCTGTGGTTCAATAGAAAAATGTAATTAATAATTTGAAATAAAAGTAATTATTTTTACTTGAGCAGGAATTTCAAAATATATTTCCCACGGAATCGGTGGACAGAGAAATAAATAAAATAAATAGAACTGAATGAATTGATACTTAAATGACTAAATTATATCAATACAATAATTAGGCACAAAATAAATGAGCACATGTACAATTTATATAAATTGTACATGTGCTTTTATATATAAAAATGTATTTATTTTTCTAATATATAAAATTATCATGTTGATCTCTTCTGTACGACATCTATTGCACGTCTGTCCGTCCTGGAAGAGGGATCCCTCCTCAGTTGCTCTTCCTGAGGTTTCTACCGTTTTTTTTCCCTGTTAAAGGGTTTTTTTGGGGAGTTTTTCCTGATCAGCTGTGAGGTTCATAAGGACAGAGGGATGTTGTATGCTGTAAAGCCCTGTGAGGTAAATTGTGATTTGTGATATTGGGCTTTATAAATAAAATTGATTGAATTGAGTAATTGTGTGTGCTAATAAATATGTTGGTAATTAATCAGTAAAAAGATAAATGTCACAGTTTCTACAAATCTATTTGTTCTGTTGACAGACTTCAGTGTTTTCTCAACATGTTCGACTTTATTCTTAAAATGTTTATTTTCGTCAGTGAACTGATTCTTCGTGTTTCTTTTGTGTCTCTTTGCATGTTGTAAAATAAATAAATAAATAAATAAATAAATAAATCATGGCTAGTCTCGAGAATAAAAAGTCGACTCTAGTGAAGAAGATGTTTGTTAATGCTGCAGATGTTTATGATGTGAATAGTTCTTGTTGAAAACAACAGTAAATCAATGGAAAAGCTTCAAGTTTCAAATATTTTATTAAAAAGAAAAGCAAAGTATTGATAATCATAATAATGATCAGGGATGTGTAAATAAACATGAATCAGGATGCAGCGTGTCGGAGCAGTCATCACTTATTATTGATTATTGACCAGTAAAATCTGACATCTTCCTCTGAATCCAGGACTGAACGTCACAGCTCTCGGCCCTGCGTCAACATTTCAGTCACAGATCCACTCTGAGAATTAGTCTCAGAAATGAAGTTAAAAATCAGAACTCAGTGGATGGAAGGAAATCTTTTAGAGACAAACCAGCTGGAAGAAAAAATGACGCTGGTACTTAAAATGATGCATCTTCTAATGAGATGTATTTTCATTTTTCTTCCCATGATGAATTTTATGAACAAATCTGTGACTGAAACGTTTGAGTTCCAGGAAATAGTCGTGTCCTTCCCCCTGATGATGTCATCCTGTTTCAGGAGGAAAACTGAAGATATTCAACGACTGAGTGTCGATTTTTTTTTTTAACCATGAAATTTCCAACAGGAAGTTCAAACGTTTATTTTGTCCGTATGAAGTTCGCTACATGAGGATCCAAACACTGAAGACACAGACAACCCGTCTGATGTGATGTCATCATCAGCTGATCAGAGATCTGTCAAGTTTATTGTTTCTCTGTAAAACGTCCCTCAGGTTTGACGGATCCTTGCAGAGAATGTGCTTTTTTAAACTCGTAAACTTCGACACCTGCCTCATGAATCCAGCATCAGTCCAGCTTTAATCCACACACGTTTCTCTGCACAGTTCAGTGACATCATTGTCACTTGGTGGTGGCGTTGCCGTGTGGCGGCGGCTGCTGCTGCGGCTGCTGCTGCTCGGCCAGCGCCTGCTGCAGCCGGGTGCGTTTCCTGGAGTAGTGCTGCCAGTGCAGCAGCTGCTGCTCGTCGATGAACTTGGCGCACTGCGCGTTGACCAGCTCCTTCCTGAAGTGTTCGTACTGCAGCAGCTCCAGCATATGGAGGCAGTGAGGATACCTGTGGAGAGACGCCATCAGACAGGAAGTGAGGTTAATACACACTCTGTACTGATCGGAGTCGTACCTGTCAGAGGAGGGAGCTTCGGATAATGAAGATCATCACTACATGTTTTTATCTCTTATGTATCTTATTTGTTTTTTGTCTTTGAATCTATTTGATCTACTTTTTATTTGAGCTTTAATTTAAGACTTGTATCACCTGTATTATTATTGCTTTTAAATTTTTTTAGTGTCGTCATTTCTATTCCTGTTTTTCTTTTCTTTTTTTGTATTGTCAGAGTTTTTATTCTTCTTTTCTTCTTCTTGTCTCTGCACTGCTTCTGTCTTATTTTCGGCCTGTACGTTATGTGACGCTCTGTAAACTGCACTGACTTACATGAAAGATGTTTTATAAATAAAGATTGATTTGAATTATGCGTTTGTTCATGTCTCGTCACAGTCTGACCTCCGTCTGTGTCACTCTGCTCCAAACTACTGAAGAAGTCGGGGACTATTTTCAGTGGAGGATGAATCTACATTCGATGCTGTAGTGAGTATTAGTGGCAGCAGTATGGTGCATGAACCAAACTCCAGAGCGTGTGTTTGTGGTGATGAAGGAACTGTGCTTGTTGGCAGACAGACTCAGTGAACAGATCACAGCGACGGTTCTTACTTGAGGAACTTGGCGTACTCGGGTTCCTTCCAGTACAGCAGGTACTTGAGGTAGTTGATGAACGGTCTTTCTCTCAGGAAACCTCTCTGAGCCAGAACTGATCACACAAACAGGACAGTTATCAGATCAAACCACCACCACCTTTATGAGCATCAGCGTACACCTGCAGTGCACGGCCGCCTCAATGTGCTGCTCTGGCAGACTCTGTTTTATTTAAATCTTTCCTTTAGACTTCATGCTTCATGTTCAATTATTTATTAAACCCAGTACTTTTGAATACGACTGCTTTTCAGGCAGCAAAATAAATAAATGAATAAAATACGTCAGTATTTCCAGGATCAATGTAACTATTAATATCAGTTGTACTCAGTCTGTGCAGAGAGCTTTAAAACAGAGTTCATGTCGTCATGTTTAAATGTTTAAATGTCAGAGCTGGTTAATAATTTCCAGAGACGTTTTCAGGGAAGAACTCTGTAATCTGGCCGTAATTAAAGGGCAAATAGAGACAACAATATGATACGGTTGGTTTCTCTGAATGAAGTGATCTTCTACATAAAAACTGGCTGAAAATAAACTAACAGCTAACTCCATCAATACAATCTGGAAAAAAAGACTTTCTAATGGTGAAAACAGGTGTCATAACCTCAGAGTAATCAAACCAAACATGTATAGAAACAGTGGAGCTGCTGTCACTCACAGTTGAGGTAGTTTGGGTTGGCCAGACACTGGATGAACTCCAGTTCAGACTGGAAACGGTTCCTGGCCTGTTCCTCTGCAGCACAAACACATGTGTGAAACATTTTATTTCCTCTGCGTCATGAATTCATATCAACAACTGAAAGACTGTTGGTGATCACTGGACTATCAGCAAAGTGCCTTTTAAATGAGACATGGCACCAAACTGTTCAAATTTGTATTCATTTAAGGCTCCATCTGTCATCAGCTGAATACAGGAAGTCACACACTCACCAGTCAGTCACATGATAAATTGAATTTACTGGTGAATTGAATGTGTACCGATCTGAAGAGTCAACCTCAGCTGTTCACAAAATATTTTAAGTCATTATAAAACACACGTATTTTTGCTGATAAATGTGGCTGTCCTTAAAACTGGATTATTTTGGATGTAGTTTGGAACAGCACTGCGCCCTACCAGCTAAGCGAGGACAATAGCTAAATATCAGTGTAACAATGTTTGTATCAACATGTTCAAAATGTATGTAATCAATCGTAATGTGAATGCATGTGAGTAATGATCCCTTTGAGAAAAAACAAAATCCACAACACCGCGACTGCACGCACCAGACTCCATTCAAATATGTAGCAATTTAACGCTGCGTTGTTCATCAACTTAACACTGGAGGCATTGCAATCACAAGTCAGTTTGACAATTTATTGACTTCACTGATGAATCCAGTGTGTGCCGATTTAAAGAGTCAGTCTCATGTAGTAATTAAGTGTTTAAAATCATCTTTATAACACACTTCTTTTTGTTGGTAAATGATGTTGTCGTTATGTGGATTAATTTCTGATGTAGTTCTGAATAGCGCTGCAAGTTGATGCCAACTGGCGAACACCAGTTGACATTAACTATATATAAATGTACCAATGTTTTAATTAACGTGATGTTTTGCGTGTAACAATTATGCATTAAGTGCGTGTAACTACGCACCAGACTCCATTCAAATATGACGTGATTTAACGCTGCGTTGTTTATCAGCTGGACACTGGAAGCTTTGTAGTCACAGGTTAGTTTAACCCTTTGTTGAATTTACTGGTGAATTTAATGTGTGCCGATTTCAAGAGTCAGTCTCAGGTATTCATAAGATGTTTTAGTTTATTATCAAACGCACATATTTATGTTGATAAAAGAGGCTGTCCTTAAAATGAATTAATTTTGGATGTATTTCGGTACTGCACTGCCTTCGTACAGGCTATGACACCTTTACGCAGATACCTAGCTGACAAACTAAATATTGATGTAACACTGTCTTCAGTAACGTCATACATTGCGTGTGTATATGAACAATCATGATGTGAAGGCATGTAACTGATAAATCTCATGGAACAAATACCGCGACTTCAGATCCGCAGTACACAGACTAAATCTAATCATTTCTTAATTGTGAAAAGACCGAATGGTGACGTCAGTCCCGTGTACACTTCAGTCGTCGCTAATAAATTATTTTACTGCTCACAAATCGTGATTAAGTTAATTTAGTGACGCAGTTTCGTCCTCTTCTGATGGCTATGCTAACAAGCTAACGCTAGCGGATCATGTAGCTACAATATCGGCTACAAACCTGTTTCCATGACGACAGCAGCGGTCAGATCCGGTCCAGAACACAGCAGACTGTCTTTATCTAAATAACAACGTTAACTGTTTGGTTAAAACACGATTAAATTCACTCCTGAGTGAATGTGTGTGTTTGTTTTGTCTTAAACACCACAGTCAGGAATGTGAAGCCATATTTGCCGGAAGTCAGCCCTATGTCTGTTTCCGGTAATTTCCGTCACTTTACGGCACCAGCTGTTCATGTTGTGACCGCCAGAGGGAAACATTTAACAACAGACACTTTAATTACATTCTGTTGAATTAACACAACTAGTCCACACCTGGTCCACACCTGGTCCACACCCGCTGCACAGGGGCCCACACACAGTTTCACATGGTGTGTGTTTGGGATACAGGTCATAGGAAACTGCAGATTAAATAGTCAACTGAACCCATTAAGAAGAGCAATGTATTCAGACAGAGTTTTTGTTAATTTGATAGTACGATTGCTTTATTTAAAGTACAGTAGTACCTTTGCCATTAGTGGGATAGTTAGTGGGCTAAAACTGTCCAGACCAGCGTTCAGGAGGAGAGGACATGACAGTCAGTGTCTGGTGTTTGACAACTGGTTGAAATCTGTCAGAAGCTGCAGTGACAGATGATGGTGCATTCAGGTGACTGATGACCAGTTAATAACAGAAATAAAATGAAGCAAAAATAATCATCAATATAACAAACAACAAAATGGTGTAGCAGTATCAGAGAAGTGTCCGGCCTCTGTAATTTTACTACAGTGAATATACCATGAATCTGACGTGAGTCTACAGTGTGTGCAGTTAGTACTTATTTCAAAATAACGACATCAGAGCAAAAGACAGCATTTTGTTTGATCTCCAAGGTGACGGATATATGTGTGTGAGAGGGTCAAAGTTCAGGACGTAACGTGAGGAAGGTACGTACTTTTTAAGAGCAGCTGCAGCACACGCTGAAAGTATAATGAAAAAGTTTGTGATTCGATACGCAGCTTTAGACTGAATCCAGACGTCCACCCTCTGGACCTGCAGACTGAGCCCTCACAGACTGCAGCTGCACTGTGAAGTGGGAAGAAGCAGCGGGTTTATCGGGCAGCTGAGTGAAGTGGAGCCTGCGGAGGAAACACCGGGACCGTCTGGATGTAATAGTCCGTGGAGGTGCTGCGGTGCTTGGCTGCACAGATAGGAAACCCCTCGGCTGACAGGATGTACCACTCTCTCACTCTGCTCTCTCTCACGCAGGCGCAGAACATACGTGCTACTTGGCCGTCGGATGTAGTCCGTGTAGTGTGTTCAAATGCAACTGACACAGGGCAACGTGAGGCGACGTAGACGACGCAACAGTTGGCTTTCGTCACCGCTGGTTCTTTGATGTCGGTTTGGTGTGTCTGCACCTTTATGATGAATTGTGGGTCATGAAATCAGTGAAGTCTGTACCCCAAGTGGACTCTCTGGAAGTCTGCAGGTGTCCGCCTGAGGCTCCTGTGGACCGGATGAATTGTAGCTTTGAGGCCCTAAACACTCCCAGACTTCCCTGGAACACTCCTGCAAATCCTGCGAGCCTGCAAGTGTGGTGAAGTGTGGACATTTGGATTCAGCCTCAGTCTTTTTGTCATCTTCACCGCCATCTTGACTGTACGGGAGCTCGGAAGGACAATTCTACCGGACGCAGCTGCGTCCTCGTTTTGGAGCGAGGAGCTTGGTCATTTTTCCTTCATATTTGTGCTTCTGTCATTAATAAATAAATAAATAAATAAGCATGCAGTTATTTTTTTTTGTCTTTCTACTTGTGCTCCTTGTGGTTATTTCCTGCCTTGTTGTGCTGTAACCACAGATAATGTTTCTCTTTTGTTGTAAATCTGTCCTTTGTTACATTTCATTGTTCTGTAAATTGCTGTGAGTCGCCTGCTGTATGAAATGTGCTGCGCCAACACAAATAAAGTTTCAGAATAAATAAGGAGGCGGTCCCGTGTGGTGGGAGGTCGAGGTGTGGACAGGTGTCAAAACACAGGACTTTCCTTTGGAGAGTTTGGACCTGTGTGAAGTCTGAGTGCAGTCACTTTGCAGTTCGTCCTCTCCATGACTGTTTTCCACAATAACTTTACTGTTAGGACCTAATGTATTAAGGTAAAGGTCAGGCTGTAAGGAGCTACAGCAAACTGAACCAGTGGACTTTGTTTTTTATCAAGCTGTGGTATGATGAAATGAGGAAATTACAATCGCAGAAACAGACAGGGATCTTGAGTTGGGTCGTATTTGAACCTGCTGGTTTTAAACTGTGGGTCAGACGAGGTCTCACGTCTCTCTGTTAGATCACCTCCAACAGGAAACTACAGAGCTATGGGATGTATCGAAAACATATGGACTAGGACGCCTGCAAGTTAGGGAATACTTCAATAAAGCATTTAAAAACTTAAAGGGATAGTGCACCCAAAAATGAAAATTCAGCCATTATCTACTCACCCATATGCCGAGGGAGGCTCAGGTGAAGTTTTAGAGTCCTCACATCACTTGCAGAGATCCAAGGGGAGAGGAGGTAGCAACACAACTCCACCTAATGGAGGCTGACTGCTCCCCATATTCAAACTTCCAAAAACACATCATTGAAACCACAAAATATCTCCATACTGCTCGTCCGTAGTGATCCAAGAGCTACAGGCTACAATGAGGCTAAAAACAGAGTTCAAATGATGTTTTTCCAAACAACTTTTTATGTCGGGGCTTCAGGACACTTGGATCACTACGGACGAGCAATATGGAGATATTTTGTGGTTTCAGTTATGTGTTTTTGGACGTTTGAATCTGGGGCGCCGTCAGCCTCCATTAGGTGGAGTTGTGTTGCTACCTCCTCTCCCCTTGGATCTCTGCAAGTGATCAAGAATCCAAATCAAGAATCCAAATGTCAAAGAATCATTCTACAAAATATATGAAACAAAAACGGGAGGAAGAATCGGACATTTGAGCAACAGAGGACGACCGGACAGAGACGTGAAGCTAAAGGTCCCTGAGCCGGGAGCCTCACTGACCAATCATTATCTTGTTCTCTGGGCCCAAATATACAACCATACTGGCAAGAGACTGCAACTGAGATTAATGAGATAACTGGGAAGAGTAAGTTTTCTATCTACATTACACCTATAAAAATACACACAACTGTCCCATACAAAAATAAATACTTACTAAAGATACTTTCGTCCGGTCGCAGGAAGAAGCCAGAACTCGCGAATGGCTACGAGTTGATTTTCCGACATTGGATTACAAACTTATAAACCAAAGCTACTGTTTGGAAAGACTCATTTTTATTTTGAGGCCTGAGCTGAAAAATTTACAAAATATAGGGAGAAATGGATCGTGTATAAACGCCGCTGAGAAAAGTGTGACGCTGTGTGCCAGGATGTGACAAATGTTCTGTGACTTGACCTTTTCACACCCTTACACCTTCTTTGTCTTTTAAATAAAAACAGTTATGTTGGGTTCACATCACACAACATCAGCCTGATTACAGCTCGATGCTGCGACGTACTGTGTCGGCTCAGATCGTGAACGTCAGTGAGTGTCGTACACAATAATCCATAATCCATCGTTTCATCTCGTGTGTCATAGTAGACGACAGCTGACACCACGTCTGAGACGCCTCACAATGTCATGACAGAAAGTCTAGCATGTTTGATTTTCTTTTGTCTTCCACGACTTCTCCCGTCACAGCCGTCACTTTGACCAATAGGAACACAGAGCGATCTGTTGCCATGGAAACTGTAGGACAACAACAGCCCAGTCTTTTAGATATTTCCTGTTGGGACGTTAGCACACAGAGTGAAAAGGAAACAGCAGAGGCACTTTATCAACCCGCTGAGTACTGCCATTAGCATCAAGCTAGCAAAGAATGTTCTTTCTTCATAATGGAGGATATAAAGGAATCAAACTCACGGATAGTGTCTGGGCCTTTACTCAGCACAGCTGCAGAGGCTACCAGCTGCATCTCAAACACACCACACCATTTATCACTCTCTTCTTAGTTTAATTAAACTCAACACTTCCTGTTTCTGTTTCAAATTAAAAGCCTCTTATCATTTCAGCTGAGAGAATCCCTTCATTTTCTAAAAAGGCTTTTATTGTGAAACATTTGGAGGAACTTCCTGTGGAGGATTCAGTGACTGTCATAGTTTGTATGCGGTACTTCAAATGTAGCTCCGCCCACCTGGTGACACTTTTTATGTTACCACAGTAACAGTTCAGCTCAAACATGAACAGACACAGTGACTGAAATAATAATAACAATAACAATACTACTACTAATAATAATAATGAAAACAGGAAAAGAATAATCTGATGACATCACACACGTTGTGAAAGATGACCAGTAATGATTGGTCGTAGACATTGGTCGCGAGAGTTTATGACTCCACAACCTCCTGATGTGACATAGAGACCGTCTAACGGACAGAAATGTCGTGTAGTGTGAACCCAACATTACAAAACAACAACAATGTAATAACATTCGTAGGATCTCAGAGGAAGCGTTGTATCATGATATGCTGATGACGTGTACAGTTTATATTTGTACAGTCTCAGTGCGTTAATAATTCAATCACTCGTTTGTTCAAAGATCAACTTTTATTAACACGTAATAAAACTGTTAGCAACAAGATGGTAGAAAACTCTGGAAGTTACGTATGTACAGAAACACTCACATGTTACCAATAAAAATATTTAAATAGAAAACAACACAAAACACAATATTTTATAATTACTACAAATAATTAGATGACACGAAGAAGAGATGCTCCCTGATCTGTAACTGATCTGTAACTGATCTGTAACTGATCTGGAGTCAGTTTCCCGAAAGAACAACTGTTAGTAAAGTCGCCACCAAACAACATTTTGAAGGTTTGAATTAAAAATATTTGGGGAGAAAGTTTCCGTCAGTTCTCAGATATTAAACTTTGTTTATCGGGTGATGGTTCGAATGAGACGCAGGTTTATTTATAATTTCTGTTTTAGTCTGCAGTGTTTCAGCGGCGTTCACAGTCGCAGTCTGGTGAGAGAACTTTTGGGAAACTGTCTCCACAGAACATCCGAACATCCAGACGAAGTTCGTGGCGGCTCAGACCCAGCAGCGGTCATACGCCACTGTAAAATAAAATAATAATTTCACTCGCAGCCGAGTGACGAGACCTGAAAACAGACATGAGGCAGCTGGTTGTTGATCCTACACGGCGGTGGTGGCGTTGGCCCATGGAGGGAACGAGTCCAGGCCGAAGATGACACGCCCCCAGCTGTTGATGGCGAGACTGATGCAGCTGATCCCAATGACGTTCATCACCACGCCAGCTTTAGCCTGCAGGGGGCGCAAAGAACACAGAGGTTATTATGGCGTCATGGGCGGAGCTGAAATAGTGGTGTTTTCCTCCAGAATCGGGACGCACCATGTCAGACACTTTGAGGATACCGGAGGAGAAGGCGATGGCGTTGGGAGGCGTGGCCACCGGCAGCATGAAGGCGAAGGAGGCGCTGAGGGTGCAGGGGATCATCACGTACAGAGGGTTCACGTTTATGGACTGAGACTGCGTCAGGACACAGAAACACACTCATGTCAACGTTCAGTCAAAACGACTTCGCTGATCAAATTATTCAGTTTCTAAAAACGCAGATTCTCAACTTCGCTGTTTTTTCTGTCGCTGTTACGGTCGATGAAACTTCCTGTTGAGACCTTTCACACTAACAAGTGTTGAATTCCTCCTGTTGTTGTTGAGAAGCTTTTAATGTGAAACATCTGCAGGAACCTGAACTGAACAGCTCTGCTGATGACGACTGACTGTGACAGCGTGAATGTACAGTGCGCATCTTTAGTGTGTGTGTGTGTGTGTGTGTGTGTGTGGGTGGGGGGGGGGGGGGGGGGGGGGGGGGGGGGGGGGGGGGGGGGGGGGGGGGGGGGGGGGTTGTTACCATGGAGGCCAGGATGGGCAGGAAGAGCGTTGCCGTGGCGACGTTGCTGGCACACTCGGTGAAGGTGGCAATGAGGAGGCAGAGGATGATGGCGATGGCCCAGGGAGGGATGGAGTGTAGCGGCGTCATCTGAGCGCCAAGCCAGCGGGACAGACCGGACACCTGACGACACACACACACACACACACACACACACACATGTTAGTATGAAGAAAACATGACATCACTGAAAGGTGTAAAGCTTCTGCCTGGATCTACTTTCTAGTTTCAAGTGAGGATGTTTTTTACATCATTCAGCACAACCTTTCCACATACTGTACGTCCTCACTTTGTAAAATGTCCTCACTTTGTAAAACGTCCTCACTTTGTAAAATGTCCTCACTTTGTAAAACGTCCTCGCTTTGTAAAATGTCCTCGCTTTGTAAAATGTCCTAACTCTGTAAAACGTCCTCTCTTTGTAAAACGTCCTCACTTTGTAAAAACGTCCTCACTTTGTAAGATGTCCTCCCTTTGAAAAATGTCCTAACTCTGTAAAATGTCCTCGCTTTGTAAAGCGTCCTCACTTTGTAAAAACGTCCTCACTTTGTAAAACGTCCTTCCTTTGAAAAACGTCCTCACTTTGTAAAAACGTCCTCACATTCCACAGTGTCTCTCTGAAGACGTTAAACTCACCTCGCTGCCTTTGGCCAGAGCGAACTCTGTAAAACGTCCTCACTTTGTAAAACGTCCTCACTTTGAAAAACGTCCTCACTTTGAAAAATGTCCTAACTCTGTAAAACGTCCTCACTTTGTAAAATGTCCTCACTTTGAAAAACGTCCTCACTTTGTAAAACGTCCTCACTTTGTAAAACGTCCTTGCTTTGTAAAACGTCCTCACTTTGCAAAATGTCCTCACTTTAAAAAACGTCTTCACTTTGAAAAATGTCCTCGCTTTGAAAAACGTCCTAACTCTGTAAAAACGTCCTCGCTTTGTAAAATGTCCTCACTTTGAAAAACGTCCTAACTCTGTAAAAACGTCCTCACTTTGAAAAACGTCCTTGCTTTGTAAAATGTCCTCACTTTGAAAAACGTCCTAACTCTGTAAAACGTCCTCGCTTTGTAAAACGTCCTCACTTTGTAAAAACGTCCTCACTTTGTAAAACGTCCTCACTTCATAAAACGTCCTCACTTTGAAAAACGTCCTCACTTCATAAAACGTCCTCACTTTGAAAAACGTCCTCACTTTGAAAAATGTCCTAACTCTGTAAAACATCCTCACTTTGTAAAATGTCCTCACTTTGAAAAACATCCTCACTTTGTAAAATGTCCTCACTTTGAAGAACGTCCTCACTTTGAAAAACGTCCTCACTTTGTAAAAACGTCCTCACTTTGTAAAATGTCCTCACTTTGAAAAACATCCTCACTTTGTAAAACGTCCTCACTTTGAAGAACGTCCTCACTTTGTAAAAACGTCCTCACTTTGTAAAATGTCCTCACTTTGAAAAACATCCTCACTTTGTAAAACGTCCTCACTTTGAAGAACGTCCTCACTTTGAAGAACGTCCTCACTTTGTAAAAATGTCCTCACTTTGAAAAACGTCCTCACTTTGTAAAACGTCCTCACTTTGTAAAACGTCCTTGCTTTGTAAAACGTCCTCACTTTGCAAAATGTCCTCACTTTAAAAAACGTCTTCACTTTGAAAAATGTCCTCGCTTTGAAAAACGTCCTAACTCTGTAAAAACGTCCTCGCTTTGTAAAATGTCCTCACTTTGAAAAACGTCCTAACTCTGTAAAAACGTCCTCACTTTGAAAAACGTCCTTGCTTTGTAAAATGTCCTCACTTTGAAAAACGTCCTAACTCTGTAAAACGTCCTCGCTTTGTAAAACGTCCTCACTTTGTAAAAACGTCCTCACTTTGTAAAACGTCCTCACTTCATAAAACGTCCTCACTTTGAAAAACGTCCTCACTTCATAAAACGTCCTCACTTTGAAAAACGTCCTCACTTTGAAAAATGTCCTAACTCTGTAAAACATCCTCACTTTGTAAAATGTCCTCACTTTGAAAAACATCCTCACTTTGTAAAATGTCCTCACTTTGAAGAACGTCCTCACTTTGAAAAACGTCCTCACTTTGTAAAAACGTCCTCACTTTGTAAAATGTCCTCACTTTGAAAAACATCCTCACTTTGTAAAACGTCCTCACTTTGAAGAACGTCCTCACTTTGTAAAAACGTCCTCACTTTGTAAAATGTCCTCACTTTGAAAAACATCCTCACTTTGTAAAACGTCCTCACTTTGAAGAACGTCCTCACTTTGAAGAACGTCCTCACTTTGTAAAAATGTCCTCACTTTGAAAAACGTCCTCACTTTGTAAAACGTCCTCACTTTGTAAAACGTCCTTGCTTTGTAAAACGTCCTCACTTTGCAAAATGTCCTCACTTTAAAAAACGTCTTCACTTTGAAAAATGTCCTCGCTTTGAAAAACGTCCTAACTCTGTAAAAACGTCCTCGCTTTGTAAAATGTCCTCACTTTGAAAAACGTCCTAACTCTGTAAAAACGTCCTCACTTTGAAAAACGTCCTTGCTTTGTAAAATGTCCTCACTTTGAAAAACGTCCTAACTCTGTAAAACGTCCTCGCTTTGTAAAACGTCCTCACTTTGTAAAAACGTCCTCACTTTGTAAAACGTCCTCACTTCATAAAACGTCCTCACTTTGAAAAACGTCCTCACTTCATAAAACGTCCTCACTTTGAAAAACGTCCTCACTTTGAAAAATGTCCTAACTCTGTAAAACATCCTCACTTTGTAAAATGTCCTCACTTTGAAAAACATCCTCACTTTGTAAAATGTCCTCACTTTGAAGAACGTCCTCACTTTGAAAAACGTCCTCACTTTGTAAAAACGTCCTCACTTTGTAAAATGTCCTCACTTTGAAAAACATCCTCACTTTGTAAAACGTCCTCACTTTGAAGAACGTCCTCACTTTGTAAAAACGTCCTCACTTTGTAAAATGTCCTCACTTTGAAAAACATCCTCACTTTGTAAAACGTCCTCACTTTGAAGAACGTCCTCACTTTGAAGAACGTCCTCACTTTGTAAAAATGTCCTCACTTTGAAAAACGTCCTCACTTTGTAAAACGTCCTCACTTTGTAAAACGTCCTTGCTTTGTAAAACGTCCTCACTTTGCAAAATGTCCTCACTTTAAAAAACGTCTTCACTTTGAAAAATGTCCTCGCTTTGAAAAACGTCCTAACTCTGTAAAAACGTCCTCGCTTTGTAAAATGTCCTCACTTTGAAAAACGTCCTAACTCTGTAAAAACGTCCTCACTTTGAAAAACGTCCTTGCTTTGTAAAATGTCCTCACTTTGAAAAACGTCCTAACTCTGTAAAACGTCCTCGCTTTGTAAAACGTCCTCACTTTGTAAAAACGTCCTCACTTTGTAAAACGTCCTCACTTCATAAAACGTCCTCACTTTGAAAAACGTCCTCACTTCATAAAACGTCCTCACTTTGAAAAACGTCCTCACTTTGAAAAATGTCCTAACTCTGTAAAACATCCTCACTTTGTAAAATGTCCTCACTTTGAAAAACATCCTCACTTTGTAAAATGTCCTCACTTTGAAGAACGTCCTCACTTTGAAAAACGTCCTCACTTTGTAAAAACGTCCTCACTTTGTAAAATGTCCTCACTTTGAAAAACATCCTCACTTTGTAAAACGTCCTCACTTTGAAGAACGTCCTCACTTTGTAAAAACGTCCTCACTTTGTAAAATGTCCTCACTTTGAAAAACATCCTCACTTTGTAAAACGTCCTCACTTTGAAGAACGTCCTCACTTTGAAGAACGTCCTCACTTTGTAAAAATGTCCTCACTTTGAAAAACGTCCTCACTTTGTAAAACGTCCTCACTTTGTAAAACGTCCTTGCTTTGTAAAACGTCCTCACTTTGCAAAATGTCCTCACTTTAAAAAACGTCTTCACTTTGAAAAATGTCCTCGCTTTGAAAAACGTCCTAACTCTGTAAAAACGTCCTCGCTTTGTAAAATGTCCTCACTTTGAAAAACGTCCTAACTCTGTAAAAACGTCCTCACTTTGAAAAACGTCCTTGCTTTGTAAAATGTCCTCACTTTGAAAAACGTCCTAACTCTGTAAAACGTCCTCGCTTTGTAAAACGTCCTCACTTTGTAAAAACGTCCTCACTTTGTAAAACGTCCTCACTTCATAAAACGTCCTCACTTTGAAAAACGTCCTCACTTCATAAAACGTCCTCACTTTGAAAAACGTCCTCACTTTGAAAAATGTCCTAACTCTGTAAAACATCCTCACTTTGTAAAATGTCCTCACTTTGAAAAACATCCTCACTTTGTAAAATGTCCTCACTTTGAAGAACGTCCTCACTTTGAAAAACGTCCTCACTTTGTAAAAACGTCCTCACTTTGTAAAATGTCCTCACTTTGAAAAACATCCTCACTTTGTAAAACGTCCTCACTTTGAAGAACGTCCTCACTTTGTAAAAACGTCCTCACTTTGTAAAATGTCCTCACTTTGAAAAACATCCTCACTTTGTAAAACGTCCTCACTTTGAAGAACGTCCTCACTTTGAAGAACGTCCTCACTTTGTAAAAATGTCCTCACTTTGAAAAACGTCCTCACTTTGTAAAACGTCCTCACTTTGTAAAACGTCCTTGCTTTGTAAAACGTCCTCACTTTGCAAAATGTCCTCACTTTAAAAAACGTCTTCACTTTGAAAAATGTCCTCGCTTTGAAAAACGTCCTAACTCTGTAAAAACGTCCTCGCTTTGTAAAATGTCCTCACTTTGAAAAACGTCCTAACTCTGTAAAAACGTCCTCACTTTGAAAAACGTCCTTGCTTTGTAAAATGTCCTCACTTTGAAAAACGTCCTAACTCTGTAAAACGTCCTCGCTTTGTAAAACGTCCTCACTTTGTAAAAACGTCCTCACTTTGTAAAACGTCCTCACTTCATAAAACGTCCTCACTTTGAAAAACGTCCTCACTTCATAAAACGTCCTCACTTTGAAAAACGTCCTCACTTTGAAAAATGTCCTAACTCTGTAAAACATCCTCACTTTGTAAAATGTCCTCACTTTGAAAAACATCCTCACTTTGTAAAATGTCCTCACTTTGAAGAACGTCCTCACTTTGAAAAACGTCCTCACTTTGTAAAAACGTCCTCACTTTGTAAAATGTCCTCACTTTGAAAAACATCCTCACTTTGTAAAACGTCCTCACTTTGAAGAACGTCCTCACTTTGTAAAAACGTCCTCACTTTGTAAAATGTCCTCACTTTGAAAAACATCCTCACTTTGTAAAACGTCCTCACTTTGAAGAACGTCCTCACTTTGAAGAACGTCCTCACTTTGTAAAAATGTCCTCACTTTGAAAAACGTCCTCACTTTGTAAAACGTCCTCACTTTGAAAAACGTCCTCACTTTGTAAAAATGTCCTCACTTTGAAAAACGTCCTCACTTTGTAAAAACGTCCTCACTTTGAAGAACGTCCTCACTTTGAAAAATGTCCTCACTTTGAAAAACGTCCTCACTTTGTAAAAACGTCCTCACATTCCACAGTGTCTCTCTGAAGATGTTAAACTCACCTCGCTGCCTTTGGCCAGAGCGAAGCCGCCTCCCAGCAGTAGGACGATGTTCCAGGGCATCTTCTTCTGAGTCACCTGCCAGGTGAGCAGAGCTGGGGCGGGGCCTCGAGACACTGGGGACTCTGATTGGATGAAATCAATATTATAATCAAATCATTGAAAGAAATTCAAGAATTGTCAACTGTTTGTGTCTGTGTGTGTTACCTGTGTGTGTTATCTGTGTGTGTGTGTGTGTGTGTTACCTGTGTGTGTGTGTGTGTGTGTGTGTGTGTATGTGTTACCTGTGTGTGTTATCTGTGTGTGTGTGTTACCTGTGTGTGTTATCTGTGTATGTGTTACCTGTGTGTGTTATCTGTGTGTGTGTGTGTATGTGTGTGTGTGTGTGTGTGTGTTACCTGTGTGTGTGTGTGTGTTTGTGTATGTGTTACCTGTGTGTGTTACCTGTGTGTGTTATCTGTGTGTGTGTGTGTGTGTGTGTTATCTGTGTGTTATCTGTGTGTGTGTGTGTTACCTGTGTGTGTTATCTGTGTGTGTGTGTGTGTGTGTTACCTGTGTGTGTTATCTGTGTGTGTGTGTGTGTGTGTGTATGTGTTACCTGTGTGTGTTATCTCTGTGTGTGTGTGTGTTACCTGTATCACAGCTCCTCCAGAAGCAGAGGAAGTGCGGCGGCTCAGAAGGAAGAACAAACAGCAACACAGCAACAAACAGAGCGACGGTGGCGTCAGTGACGAACCTGCAAACACAACAAACATTTATTTATTTACTTTGATCAAATCAGCAGAAAACAACAAACATTCACATCCCACAAAAACAAACAGGACAAAGTCAATGAAGACTCTTTTATTAACACGGTCGATAAAACCAGCTCGCCTTCAGAGGGCAGCTTTATGACATCACAGACTGATAAATGTCTACAGTGTAATTATAATAAAAACTTTTATAATAATAATAATAATAATAATAACAAATTATCTAAAAGTTAATTAAATCCACAGAATATAAACAGATGTTTTGTCTCAGGATAAAGTTGTTTTGGTTGATTAACAGCTCAAGTTACAAAGATGAGAACAGAGACACAGTATTTATACGACTGCTGTTTCATGTGTTCAGTACCGTCCTCTCTGCTCATGGCTGAACATGATACCGACTCGTAGTTTGATGTCGGATTGTTCTCAGGTACGTTGGATTTTTTTTGTAACACTGTAAAATGGCACCAGGATGAATAAATAGTGACCCTACGTGTTCTTCGCCAACTCTTTATCCTCCTCACGCAGCTTCACTTCCTGTTTGCCTTCATGTTTGTTCTGCAATAATCAGATGTCCTCGTGTCCTCTGTCGGCGTGGAGTAACGGATCACATGGTGCAACAGCAGCCGCTTAGTTCATGAATGGGGATTTCACCACAGAGTGTTTGTGTTTGAACTCCGCGACCAAAAGTACTGGCACGTCCCCAAAATCCATGAATCCATGTCCTCTTCACACCGAGTGTTTTTTTAATGTGTTATTCATTCATTGAAAAAAAGTTCAGGAGGAGAGTTTCACCTGCCGACACCAAAATGATTCACTTTAACTCACTTACTCTGTACCATCCCAACTTTCACCAAACGTCCTCACTTTGTAAAAATGTCCTGATTTTCCACAAATGTCTTTACTTTGTAAAATGTCCTGACTTTGTAAAATGTCCTCACTTTGTAAAAATGTCCTGACTTTGTAAAATGTCCTCACTTTGTAAAAATGTCCTGACTTTGTAAAATGTCTTTACTTTGTAAAATGTCCTGACTTTCCACAAATGTCCTCACTTTGTAAAATGTCCTCACTTTGTAAAATGTCCTGACTTTCCACAAATGTCCTCACTTTGTAAAATGTCCTCACTTTGTAAAATGTCCTCACTTTGTAAAATGTCCTGACTTTCCACAAATGTCCTCACTTTGTAAAATGTCCTCACTTTGTAAAATGTCCTGACTTTCCACAAATGTCCTCACTTTGTAAAATGTCCTCACTTTGTAAAATGTCCTCACTTTGTAAAATGTCCTGACTTTCCACAAATGTCCTCACTTTGTAAAATGTCCTCACTTTGTAAAATGTCCTGACTTTCCACAAATGTCCTCACTTTGTAAAATGTCCTCACTTTGTAAAATGTCCTCACTTTGTAAAATGTCCTGACTTTCCACAAATGTCCTCACTTTGTAAAATGTCCTCACTTTGTAAAATGTCCTGACTTTCCACAAATGTCCTCACTTTGTAAAATGTCCTCACTTTGTAAAATGTCCTGACTTTCCACAAACGTCCTCACTTTGTAAAATTTTCTGACTTTGTAAAAATGTTCTGACTTTCCACAAACGTCCTCACTTTGTAAAAACATCCTGACTTCGTAAAAACGTCCTGACTTTCCACAAGTGTCCTGACTTTGTATAGACATCCCCACTTTTCCCAAATGTCCACACCTGTTAAAAATGTATAACTTTCCACATAGTCCTTAAGTCTTAAAAATGTCCCCAAATGTCCTTTACTTGTAAAAATTTCTAACTTTCCACAAATGTTCTCACTTCATAAAAAAGATCTAACTTTCCATACTTTGTGAATAATGTCCAACTTCATACAAATGTCCTCTCAGTCAGTCCAGAAGTGCAGCGAAAAATTAATTCTTTCTTCAGTAAATTTAAATTTACAACTCACTGTTGGTCTCTTTAAGGATGTTTTTTTCCCATGTCGTCATGTCTCTGTGTCATCGTCATGTCTCTGTGTCTTTGCTGTGTCTCTGTGTCATTGTCACGTCTCTGTGTCGTCATCATGTCTCTGTGTCATCATCATGTCTCTGTGTAGTCACGTCTCTGTGTCGTCATCATGTCTCTGTGTCATCATCATGTCTCTGTGTCGTCACGTCTCTGTGTCGTCATCATGTCTCTGTGTCATCGTCATGTCTCTGTGTCATCACGTCTCTGTGTCATCGTCATGCCTCTGTGTCTTCACTGTGTCTCTGTGTCATCGTCACGTCTCTATGTCGTCATCATGTCTCTGTGTCATCGTCATGTCTCTGTGTAGTCACGTCTCTGTGTCTTCGCCGTGTCTCTGTGTCATCGTCACGTCTCTGTGTCTTTCCAGTATATATAAACATTAATGACTGTCTCTTTAGGGACGCCGAAGGATTGCAGGTGAGAGTTGAATCCTTATTTTGGCATCAGCTGCAGTTTGCTTACGATCAACCTGTGCAATCAGGAAACATGTTGAAATCACCTGTTTGCACAAACTGCATGTCCAAGGTGACTGCCCCCCCCAACCCCACCTTTAAAAACCAGGTCAGATCACCTGAGTCCTGCTGTCAAAAAATACTTTCAGCCTCTAACTGACCATCAGCCTGCTGCTGCTTCACCTACAGAAGGATCCGACTTCTTTAAACCCCTCAGGTCCAGAAAATATAGATGTTCATTTCTTTAAGGAAATGACAAACATCAAACATTAATATCTGTTGGTGTTGTACATTTCTGCAAACCGATCTGTTGCCATCTCCCCGTGTCAGCGTGGGTTTCCTCCCACAGTCCAAACACATGCAGGTTAATTGGTGACTCTCGCCCAATGCCAGCTGGTATAGGTTCCACCCCCCTCTGACCCCCAACAGGATAAGTGGTTACGGAAAATGAATGAATGAATCAGCAAGGCTGTGATTTGCTGCAGGACTCAATTATAATATTGCTTTTTTCAGCAGTGATTCTGTTTCTGTGATGAAATGTTTTAAATTAAAATGAGTTGAGGAGAATAAAAAGAATGAGATCAGAGCTCAGATTTTATCAGTCCGTCACCTCCTGATTCTGATCACTGATATTTTTCTCCTTCTTCTCGGAAATGGACTCAGGTTTTTTGTTGTTGTTGTAATTTCAGCTCAGTGTTGAAGGACGGACGGCAGCAGGACAAACAGATCAATGGATGAATCCTGGTCATGTGACCTTGCTGGGACTTTATAAATTTACAACACAATGTTGACATCGCTATGGACATGGACAACACAGAACGGACCTCAGATCATCCTGCACAGGTGGTTCCAGGTCTTTAGATGGCGCTATAGAGCCGCTGAATGACAGCGGCAATATGTTGCTCCAGTGTGGGTTTAGACAACATGACGACATCATGGAATCAAAAGAGCTGTGACATGTAACTCAACAGCATCGGCCTCTAGTGTGACATATAACATACATGTTAGCAGCTCTTTATAAACAATAACAGTGACATCACATGTCAATAACGATCATTTAGTGCCCCTTTTATATGGCGCCTGATCTCATCCTCTGCTCGAAGGGTAAGGAGCTCCTGGACCTCATTGTTTTCACTACTTGTGGACATTTTCAGCTGCTGTTCTTCCTCTTCGAGTTAGCTGCTAACTGCTAGCAGCAGCTTTTTAAATCTCCCGTGGTGGGGTGCACTCATAACACGTCGGCAAAAAGTCACATCTGTGCTGCCCACGGTCCCGTACAGCTGGACAGACATTGTTTCGGCGCTGTTACTACCTTCCATGCCGCTTTAAAGGTGAGATGACTCCATCCCTCCGCTCTGTGATCGTACCTTTTACACGAAACAGTGAAGCAGAACAACGACGTTATTGAGGTGACGTTGAAGAGGAAACGTAAAAGACTTTTAGGAAATTGTTACAGAAGGGTTTGTCAGATTTGTTTCAGATTTTGGGTGGTACAATCTTCAGACCTTAACAGTGAAACGTTACCACAATTCTGTTTCTTTTTCCTTGTTGCCATGGTGATGCAGCAAATTCTGACGTTTCGGCATGACACAGGACATTGTCATAACTTGACTTTACGGTGTCCAATCTGCCCCAGATTTCACAGCCTGAAATCATCAACAACTGATACTGACTCACAGTCAGAGCGCCACCTACTGCCAACAGGAAGTCGGTCTACATTTAATTTACACAGTGTGATCTACACGAAATACAACATGATGTATAATTACTGTGTTTTCTCTATAGCGCCACACAGTGGGATACAATTTGCAAAACATCTTATCCAGCAACAAACAGTCCACACAGCAAATAACATCTAAGTCATGAGTGGAAGGTTGCATCAACCAGAGTCCCGCCAACACCCCCGACATGCACAAAGGTGCAAGGGCCCGTTCATTATTTGGATCAGTGTTCATTTTGGCAGCTGTTTTGGATTTAGTCTTAGCCTTGAGACCAAAATGTTTATTAGTTTTAATCACATTTTAGTCATTCTTATCCTTAAAAGTTTTAGTTGATGAAGATTTAAAAAATTTTAGTCGACAAATATTTTAAAGGTTTTAGTTTTAAGTTTAAGTTTAGTTTTAAAAAGCTAAAAAATGTTCACCATTGTCTTCGTCAGCAAGATTAACATTGAATAAATAAATACATACAAAATGACAAGATGTCACTGATCATTCAGTTGGAGTTCAGAGAGCACTTGTGTAAAGACTCGACTCTGGACCTGTTCATGTGCTCATGTGGTGAGCGTTGAGACCAGTTGAGTGTCGGCAGCCTCGGTGACCTGCAGCCTGACGCGCTTCATGCAGCGACAGTGTGCAGGTCAGTCCCACAGTTTGTACCCAGGACACATTTCCTCTGTTTGTTCTTCGCCTCTGATTCCTGTGTGTTTGCCCCGAGGCAAGGTCTGTGTTTGACAACACTGCGGGTTCATTCAGTCGTCTGAACTCTTTTTCCACTTTACATTAATGCAGGACCAGAGCTGAACACACACACATGTACACACACACACACACACACACACACACACATTCCAGGTGGTGTTCGGACTCCAGACAGCAGATTAAAGGATCTACAGACTGAATGTGGAGCCACAGACACTCGACTTCAGTCCAGACTGAGCAGATTGAAACACACAGAGGAAACGCAGGTTCAATCACTGCAACAAAGACGGCAACCTACACTGGTATTTCAACTAATTGTGATGTCATTTCCTGGAGTATCTTCAAGAGCTTCCTAGCCCTAGAACCTGTACAACCTGAGCTAAAAGGTTTAAGAAGTCAATAAACCAAAAGAACTGATTCAAGTATTGAAATTGTGGCATTAAAAAAATAATACAAAAGTCAGATGTTTTTTCATCAGATTTTACAAAATAAAAACACCAAACATTTTGATCCAAAAGATTTTTACATGTAGAACCATAAAGAAAATATTCGTAACACTCCATTTGTTATTTAATACCTGAGATACGCTCATTTTTATGAGTCGAGTAAAAAGGTGTTGCGATGAATTCTTTATTCATTCCTCCTGCAACACCGTGCAATTTTGCACCACATGTAATGTACAGCAATGACCCCATTGACATGGTGATGGAGAAGACAGAAGCTTTGGCTTTCTGCTGCAAAAAGAATAAATGTTCTCTCTATTGTAGTTTTATTTTAGATCGTTTTTTACAGGATTGTGGAATCAACGATCTCCTGCAGCCATTACTATCAAATTCTGGTGTAATTCCAGGAAATGATTATGTTCCCACCACATGTAAAGTAAGGTAAGGTAAGGTTATGATGTGACGACACAGGAGACAGAGGCCTTATCTTTCTGTTGCTAAAAGAACATTACGGTTCTTATTTTAAATCTGTTTAAATCAGGATCATGACAGCGACCTGCGGCTGGTTCGTCTGTTCTTAAAGGGTTAAACTGACTGTTAAAAGTTTGAACAAGCCTTTCATTGAACGTTCTCTAACCCCCTCAGTTACTCTGACTTGACTCGTGTACGAGTTTGTTGGTACTCACTCGGCCTTGGCATTGAAGACGTGGGTGGCCCAGCCGTCCATGAAGCGCGGGTCTCGTGTGAACCACAGCACCACCATGAGGATGAGGAGCGCCAGGACGCTGACCTCTCCGTAACTCACCGGCCCCAAACGCCGATGCTCGTCCCGGATCACTTCGTATGCCGCTCGCTCCTTCTCCGACTGCACCGCCCCGCAACCCCACGTCTTCCGCAGGCTGTGAAGAGCCAAAGTCAACATTTAACGACTGGCTGATTCAAGATCTTTAAGAAAACTACCAATACCAACAACCAGTGCTGAGAGACACCTGAATAACCTCGACTCGACTCTTCACAGGAAGCTCTGAGTGAACTTTTGTTTGGGTGTTCTGGTGAAGACACTCACTTAAAGCCGATGAAGAGAAACTGCAGCCAGAACCAGGCGAGCATCAGCGTCAGCACCATGGTGGGGAAGGCGAATGCAAACCAGGACGCAAAGTTGATCACGTCACCGTTCTGAGGGAAGAGTCTACGAGAACGAGACAAACAGGAAGTTAAACATCACAAAAAACCTTTATCAAAAAGAAACATCAGAACATTTCAAGCAAAGGTTTGAACAGAGCTGAGATCAGAATTTGAGGACTGACACCAGAAGTATGATAAAGTTTCTCTACAATGAACAAATGAAGCCAAAGTTTTCAAATGTTAAAAACCTCAAACTTTCTGATCAAGGAGTGAACAAGGTCACAAATCTGACCAAACAATCAATGACCATCACGCTTTGGTTCCACAGAGTGTTGAAATGAGGACTGCAAAGAGGAAGCACTGTAAACATCAGTGTGTTGTCTGTTCAACATGAGGGAACCTGAAACCTTTGGTCTGAATGGGTATAGAAGAGAACTGGATACGGCGTTGGAGGCGGGGCCTTCTGTTCATTCCCATTAAAGTTGCTATGTCACAATCAGAGTTGGGAAGTAACCACAGACTGTTTAAATAATGGATGCAGCCACCCTGATGTCACCTGCTGGTTTGTGGACTCCTAATTTGAAGCCTCAAGTTTGGCACTTTGGCTGTCGCCATCTTGATTTTTGGAGCCAGAGGTAACAATGCTTTGTCAGAGGACTTTCACGTCTACATATTACGCACTGGCTATCTTTCTGTCTGCTGTTGAGGTTCTGGATGCAGCAACCAAAGGCAGGATGTCAAAAACATGTGGTCATGCCGGAAGTGAACAGCAGGCTGCCAGGTGAAAGTCGGGTGTTTGCCGCATCCGTTGCTCTGCTCTCTCTTACAATATTACATTTCAAAGGTAACCTTCCTCACGATGGTCACAATCTCAACAAAATGACTCATTTCACTACCAGGATTTGATCACTTTGGTACGATAAGATTTGGAAAGTTGAGAAGAGCCGCAGGACGAAATAATTTTATCCTCATTCAGGTTATCTGAGCGCTAAACAGGAAGTTAGCTGCTTGGCCATCAGAAGTCTGAAGTGCTCCTGCTCTGTGGGCTCAGTGATGCAGAACATGTGGGTAATTCCAGAACATGAACTGTTTTGGTGTCAGGCTCCACTGAGCAACTTTTATAAGAATGAAGGAGGCCCCGCCCCCAACACTGTGTCCTGGTCTCTTTATAGATCCATTGTACTCACTGGTTTTCACTGGTTTCACTGGTTGTCTGTTTGACAGTGACACTGTGAATCATAGTCAGAGTGTCGTTACTGTTAGCAGGTCGTTGGTTTGGATTTGGAGCCGATTGTGTGTGTGTGTGTGTGTGTGTGTGTGTGTGTGTGTGTGTGTGTGTACGTGACACCTACTGGCTCATCTGTCCCATCAGAACCAGGTTCGGTCCGGTTCCGGTCAGAGTGGCGATGCCCCCGATGCTGGCAGCGTAGCACACACACAGCAGGAGTCCTTTACTCATGCTCCTCCTCTGCTCCTCTTCATCACTCAGCTCCACCACCTCCACCTGACAGCAGACGTTCTCCACCACCACGACCGCTGCAACAGATGGTTCGTACAGTCAGTAAATCTGTGTGTGTTGATTAACCGCAGATTCTGATCAGTCCCCAGATCATGCATCACTTTTTAGTAGTTTTTGGGATGTTCTTAGACGGGCTGTGATACAGCTGTGATCTCATGAAATCTAACCACAAAACTAATCCTATCATCATCCCTTGTTTACTTAAATTGGCCTATGGCTAAGCCCTGCCCTCAAACATGATGAGCCAATCACAGTGCGTATAGCCATTCCCATACACTGGGACATTCTCTGCCTGGACGTCCATTGAAATGCATTACAGAAAGTCAGTTTGTTCGGTTTTATGAGCTTTTTCTGAGATTTGAAGTTTAAAAATGGTCAAACGGTGTGCATGGGGTACATGCAACTCTGACACAAGGTATCCTGAGAGGCTGGGCGACCAGGTGTATTTTTTACACTTTAAACCACATCTCAAGCGAGAAAAGTGTCTCCTTTGGATAAAGTTGTGTGGTAACGTTAGACCACAACATCAACTCAACGTGAATAAGATTAACAATGATGTCTACATCTGTTCTAAGGTAAGTCAACATTGTGTTTGAGGCAACATATTGTCACTTTGCTGGAAAGAAATATAAAGTTATCTTTAACATCTCTAGCTAACGTTAGCTAAAGTTAGCCTAACGTTAGCTCCTAGCTGCGTTGTTCATCATGTCACCTTGTTTGCTGGGAGTTCATTAGCCTATTTTGTTCTAGTTTTGTACTTTGGTGATGGTACATCATTGTTAGCTGTTGTCCAAAGGGCTCTAGTTAAGCTAACGTTAACTTCTGGAGCTTAGCTTCATTAACTTATCTGTAATGGCAGAGATAACAAAGGTTGGCAAACGTTATGCTGAATGATTCAGTGTAAATACTGTAGCACCAAACTAACGGAGAGACACTCTTGGTAAAGATGGTAAAAAGGCCGTTATCCTTTTCTCATATTCTGAGCCAAAAACCTTAACTTCAGTGGCACTTTAACTTGTTGTCTTTGATGGTGACGGCAACCAGATGTGGTTCACAAGCGTACACTGTGACCTGTAAATTTTGGCTTGTAATTTAAGCTTTTCATCGACCTTCTCAACAATAAAATGATGAATATATCCCTCCAATGCGTAGTTTAGGCCCTTTTGGTTACTTCTCAATGACATCTGATCGTTATGTCTCCAAAAATCATCAGTTGCCTCCTGTGAAATGCCGTGTACTGTGACACCTGCCATAGCGCCGCTCACTGAATGTTGATAGTTTGTCTGAGTGAGTGGAGGGGGGCGTGGCTTAGCCATTAGAGGAATAATCATGCTGTAAAGTTTGTAAACAGGAAATTCAGCCCTGCTCTACGCGGGGGTTGTGAATTGTCTCCATTAAAAGTGTCCCTGGATTCCTGTGATACTGAGGAAAACTTGAACAGGAGGATTCTCAGGTTCTGCAGTCATCAGCGCCTATTGTCTGTGATTTTTCAGGGATGTTTTCTCATGATGGACATCAGAGATGGTGACGTCCTCTGGGAGTGTAAATCACTCTGAATCTAAAAAGTACTCAAGTACTCAGCGTTACGTCTCAGATGTCAGAGTATCCCAGAATGCACCAATAAAAGTTTCCAGAAGGGACTCAGCTCTGAACACTGAACGGTTATACAAGAACAAAAACAATCTTTTAAGTCTTATGTCAACATTTGGAATATAAAATTCTGTTTTTCTACGTCTGTGCTCAGTGTTTTTTACGAAATTTTAAGCATTTTTTTGTGGTGACAGAACGGGGTATTTACAGCCTTGTTTTTGGCAACAAACTGGGTATTTTAAAAAAAATGTTGGGACACTGCCAGCCATGTTTTGGGAACAAAACCAGATCTTTTTTAATGAGATGATGGGAAATTTCCAGCAGTGCTTTTGGCGACAAAACCAAGCATGTTTTAACGAAGTGTTGGGACATTTTCAGATGTGTTTTTGCCAACAAGACTGGGTCATTTTCAATGAAACACTGGACCATTTCCAGTGTTTTTTGTGGTAACAAAACCAGGTATTTTACTGGGGGACACCAGGTCATTTACAGCCTCGTTTTTGGCAACAAACTGTGTTTTTCAAATGAAATGTTTTGACAAGCAAAACCCACAAGCTCCTGGGACATTGCCAGCCGGGCTTTTGGTGAAGAAACCAGGTTATTGTTTTTTTCTTAACAAAATACTGGGCGTTTGGCTTATGGCAAATAAACTATAGTTCAGGTGGGTTATAAACAGTTACAAACACTTGCACTTGATGTCCAATATGAAATTACACGAGGACTCCACTGATTTAGCATTACACTACTAAAACACTGTTACTTTAACCAAACTCTCCACAAAGTCGTTGACGAGGTAATATTCATATTTTACTGCAGTGAACAGAAACAAACAGCTGCTCTAAAGAAAAAAAATCAATCTAATGAGTGATTTTTCCACTCATGGATTTTCTCCTCTGTGGACTCACCGGGTCCTGGTGGTCCTGGAGGTTTGTCCTGTGGTGTCGGTTTGATGATCCCCTGTCTGTCCATCTGACCGTCAGAGGACACTTTCTGCTCAGAGGACATGTTGTCTTGCAGGTTGCTGGTTTTCTCTGAGTTGCCTTGTGTTAAAGTTGCAACATTCAGACCTGGGAGGAAACACACACATTACAGGTCAGTGTCAGACCACAGAGAAACTGAATCCAGTCACTTAATGATTCAAATATTTTGGCGACAAATCCTGATATTATTCAAAAACCCTCAGGACATTTCCAGCTGAGTTTATGCTGACAAAATCTGGTATTTTTTAATGAGATGCTTGAAGTTTTTTCAGCCATGTTTTTGGAGAAATCAGTATTTTTAAAGAAATGTCGGGACTGTTTCAGCTGTGTTATTGGCGACAAACCAAGTATTCTTAAACGAGACATTGGGATATTTACAGTCATGTTGGTGACCAAACCGGGTATTCTACGCCACAACATGTTTTCTGAAACATAACCAAGTGGTCTTTGGGCCTAAACATAACCTCATGTTAACCACAGCATTGTTGAAACATAAAGTTTCAACATATCTGCTACATAAAACCATGTATTAGTCGTACCGTTCTCCAGCGTGTTCGGAGCGGCAGTTTGCAGGATGCCACCGGTTTTCTCCTGATGCTCCAGGTGGAGGTCGACACTCCCTCTCTGGCTCTTCGAGGAGGGTTCAGGGTCTACGTTGTCGTGGAGCTGGTCCAGGACGGCCTGGACGATTGGGACCATCATGGCGGTGGTGGCCGTGTTGCTGATCCACATGGACAGGAAGGCCGTCACTCCCATGAACCCCAGCATCAACCTGGGAGACAGAGGTACAGGTAGGAGGCTCAGTTATCTGTGAGTGTAGCTGTGCTGTAAGTAAACAGTCTGAACTCAGATCAGTTTTCTCTGACAGAGATGAAAGTTTAGTTTGAATCACCAACTCTGTGAGAGGACACCAGTTTAAACCTCCAGACTAACATGTTGCACATGAAGAAGCAAGTTATGTTTCTGCTTCTTAACAGTCACATGGATAAGTCAGAGTTTACAGTGAACCTGGGGACTGATTTATGATCCATGAGTTAACCTCACTGCATCAGTTTAAAGATAAAGAACAGATAGAAATCATTAGGACTACATGTGATGACTGAAATGTCATGAATTTTTTTTATCAACTAAACCGTTGTAAATTGTTGTTGACTTAAAGGTATAATATGTAGTTTTTCCACATAAAAATGTCTAAAAATGACTAAACCAATATTATATATTTTGTTTAGTTGTGTACTTAGATTATCAGAAATGTTTCCTAGAATTTTTCAAACCCAGATAAATATGAAATATTAATAAAAGTTACGGACCGTGTCATTAGGTCACATGTCAATGTGTAACTCCAGTTACCATAGCCATTAAATAAAGGAGAAGAAGAAGAAGCAGACCGGATGAGACGTCAGAGAATGAACGTTACTGTTGCTAGGCTAAGCTAACTCGTCATGGATCATGATTATGCATTGACGGTTGCTGCACCTTCTGACACCGAAGCTGTCCCGGTAAACAAGCCGGTAAAACGGAAACGTACGGGTCAACCAAGCGATCCCAGAAGAATTTGGGATAAGAAGAGAGCTAAATCAAGGATAAATATTGGTGTGGCCTTTCCGAGATGGAGAGGGCTTCGTGAAAATCTATGACTACAATTCGACTCTTACCTTGCGTGTGTTCTATTAGACAGGTAAGCAAACATCTGGCTGATGTTATCGAAATATTAATCATTTCCACCAGTGTATTGCAAGCACTGCTGCCCGCCGGGGCACCAGCGCTCCGGCTAGCGGCAGATCTGTATCTGTTATATGACTACAACTCCCATGATCCTATGCTACTTCGTGACGTCATCCAACTCCGTCTTCTGTTATTGTTTTGGTTTGAGACCCCTAGCGGCAGAAAATTACATATTGCACATTTAAGCGTTGAATTTTTTCGTAGAAATCGTAGACAATTAGAATTTTTGTCAACTAAAATGTTTTGAACTTTTTGAATTGAGTTTGAAATAAAATCCTGTCAGCGTCAGATAATGCTGAAATGATAAACATTTTATGAACTTAACATTGATGCTAAATGTTAGCATGAGTGAGTCTGAACGTGGAACAAACCCTGAGATTTAATAACAACATGACCTCGTCTCTGGCGCCACCCTCAGGTCAAACATTACATTGTAATTCCACAAGTGAGAACAATAGAAAACTTTTTATCTACTGAACAGTTTAGTTTCAGTCTGATGGCGTGCTGCTGAGTGTTATAAATAAAATCTCTGTTTAACAGATTCATTTTGTTCTTGTATTCAGTAACGCAGACATCGACCCTGTAGCTCAGGAGATCATGTTACTCACAGGGCGGGTCGGACTCCGACCAGTAGCAGAACTCGGAGTGCAATGCGTTTGTGGAGGTTCCAGTGCTCCACGGCGACGGCCACCATCAGCCCGCCCACAAACAGCATGTTGGTGTCCTTCAGGTACTGCATACACACCTGACACACAGCAGGAAGGATTGACAGGTGTTAGACAACAAACCTCAACACTGCACAGCTGCTTTTGACACTTCATGCAACAACAATGATGTCTGTACCAGGCACCAGGACCTCACACACAGTCAGCAGGTCTTTATGCAGCTCTATGTAATAATTCTCCATCATTGGCCCAGTGTTGAACAAAAGGAGGTTAAATAAGGCTTTACACTGTGAGGCGGAGCACCGTGTTCATCTGTCCAACTAATATATGATCCATTCATCATGCTGTGTGTAAATCATTTCTCAGTGTTAGAAAAAGAGTCTCTTTCCATCTCATGAATCTCCTGATGATGATTTTCAGGCAGTTAGAAACAGAAGGATCGACCTGTGAATGTTTGCAGGACTTATTGGTCATCAACACTTGAACTTTGCAATGATTAAACCAGAACTGAAACAAAAGGTGAGTCGTTTAAAGTTTTAAAGTTAATGAGCAGTTTTTGTCAGCCTCACACACTGACCACACAGGAAGTGTTTCAGCAGCTGGAGGCGACTTTTTGTGACAGTTTTTAATCAGAATGAAGCTTTTTGCTTCATGCCTTGTGTTTCTGTGAAGGCACCTGGTGTTTTTGACAGAGCGCTCTGAACTCCACGAGTTAAAAAAAAACAAAAACAAACTCAGTGCAGAGCTGAAAAGTGCCCCACGTCATCTCTGCTTTTTTCCAATGAGATGATTTGAGAGGCGGGCCTTCTGTGGTGGTCACGACAACAAGTTTACAGCTGGTAAACAATGGAGGAGAAACTGGTGGTAGTGGTTGCTGGATACCCAGAGCTGTATGACCTTACAAAGCACAGTTAGCACCATCTCAATAGAAAACATCAGATAAGTGCAGTACTGTAAACGTCCATGATGGAGGAGAAGCTCCTGGACCAACTGGTGGTACTCCCCATGATCCAGCCTCTTTTTTAGGGTCTCATGTACCCACACAGATCTCTGTTTATCTGCTGACAGCCTCTCACCCTCAACCAGAGCTACACACAGCACCCTCTGCCTCAACATGGCAGCAGCTACACACTGATTACTGCAGGATACATACAATTAAAATTGATAAATAAACAGTGGATAGACTACACGGGAAGGTTAGGGTGAGGAGGTGATGGGGTGGTTGCCTGCCTTTTTTTTCAGTGTGGTGCACATTGCATGCTTTCTGTGTGATCAGGGCCTCAGACTGTAGATGAGAATTAATTTCTTTGGGTTATTTTCAGCCTTTTACTTCATTTTTTTCGTGCAGATTTTCGTAACAAGGCAGGGACGTCTCTCAAGATTAAAAACACAAAGACGTCCCAGTAACACCACTGAAGGAGCTCATGTATCCTGGAACAAAATCTACCAACAGTTCAGCGTCACTTCTGGATTTTTGCCCCTCTAGAGTTCATCTCTCTGATAAAGACCTGTGATAAAAGATGAAGCAGGTTTTTCTGTTCAACCACAGACACTGATAAATATTAACCTCAATGTCAAAAATTAATTTAGTGACTCGTGGTTTTGCCCCAAAAATACTGGAGGAGGAAGGGGTCCAGTTTGGGGACCTCAGAGTTATGTCTCTGCTCTTTGCAGATGATGTGGTTCTGTTGGCTTCATCTCACTGTGACCTCCAGCATGACCTGGGGCGGTTTGAGTGTGAAGTGGTCGGGATGAGAGTCAGCTCCTCCAAATCTGAGGTCATGGTTCTCTGCTGGAGAACGCTGGATTGTTCCCTCTGGGTTGGGAGAGAGTTACTGCCTCAAGAGAAGGAGTTCAAGTATCTCTGGGTCTTGTTCACAGTGAGGGTAGAATGGAGCATGAGATGGATCGGTGGTTTGGTGCGGCGTCTGCAGAGATGTGTAAGCTCTCGATGTCCTGGTCCATCTGCGTCCCAACCCTCACCTATGGTCATGAGCTCTGGGTAGTGACTGAAAGAATGAGGTCACAGATACAAGCGTCTGAAATGAGTTTCCTCTGTAGGGTGTCTGGGCTCAGCCTTAGAGATAGGGGGAGGAGTCAGACATCTGGAGGGAGCTCGGAGTAGAGCCGCTGCTCCTTCATGTTGAGGTGGTTCAACATCTGATCAGGATCCTCCTGGTCCAGCTGGTAGGAGGCCCCGGGGCAGACCCACAACACACTGGAGGGATTATAGATCTCATCTGGTCTGGGAACACCTCGGGGTCCTCCAGGAGGAGCTGGAGAGTGTTGCTGAGGAGACGGACGTCTGGTTTGGACACCCCTGCTGTAGGATGTGTGTGTGTGTGTGTGTGTGTTCGTGTGTGTGTGCGTCCAGTCTTACATCTCTGGACTCCATGATGCCGAGGACAGGGAACAGGATGGTCGGCAGCAGCGCCGTCACCGCCAGCGGCAACACCTCAGTGCACCAGTACACCGCCATGAGGGCTATGACATAAGCACAGGCCGCCTCCTACACACACACACACACACACACACACACACAGAAAACATTTAACATATCAGGTAACTCTGACTCCCAAAACATTTAACTTTAGTCACATGATCAAAGCTGCTGATGTTCTGATGGTTCCTCTGTGATGAGATCTCGACGGTGGATTTTGAAGGATCAAAAAGTTTCTGACAGTTGGAGCAGATAAATAATCACCTGAGCGTCTCATCAAACCGCAGCACCTGGTTATGTAACATGTGAAGCCAAAGGTGTTTTTATTGGAAGCTGAAGACATGTTGACTCAGACTCACGCTGTGAACTTAAACCTCTACGACGCGTCTGCTCACCTGAGACTCTGCGTTTGTTCACCTGCTGGACTCCAGGATCCAGCTGTGACGTCTCAAACCAACAAATGTGAAGTGTTCATGTGTGCAGCGATGATGTAACGAGGAGAAACGTGAGGAGAGGGCGGCTCGCTGACGGACTGACAGTTATTATATAACGTGATGTTTAAACTTTATAAAGAGAAAAACACTTTCTGTATAATATTCATAATATTACTCTGAATAATGAGTACTTTTACTTTCAGTACTTTATGTACATTTGGATGTGAATAACAGAGTACTTCTACGCTGTAGTGTTCCTACCTAAAGTACGTCTCCCACAGCTGATTGTATATGAAGCAAACGTGGAGGAGAACATGTGTGAAGCTTCACGCTGTGACTGTGAGAACACCGAGCGGACTGAATAACAATGAGGTGAAATGACCCGTTAAAGAGGCCTGACCCTGCAGGGAGCTGAGGACAGGAGTGTCTCTGTCCAAACACGCCATCTCTGTCTCAACGTGTATTCACGTAAAGACATGAAACCTAAACAGAGTCTCACATAATGTTCCTATAATGTCCCTATAATGTTTTCATAATGTTTTTATAATGTTCCTATGATGTCAATCAGATAAGGACAAGATAACAGTAAATGTGTGAAAACCTTATGTTTCTTTACTTGTTCATTTTCACCTTTATGTAGTGACAACACTGTGGTTAATGTGTGTGGTTAAAAAAAACTCACGTTGTTGCTAAAAACATGGCGGCCAATGTCCCAGCGTGTCTTTAAAAAATACTTGGTGTGTCGCTGAATCACAGCTAGAAACGTCCCAACGTCCTGTTAGAAAATACCTGTTTTTGGCACCAGAAAGACGGCTGGAAATATCTGGACATCTTGTTAAAAAGTACCTGATTTTGCTGCAAAATAATCAGTTCTGGTAAAGACCCGGCATCTCGTTAGTACCCAGTTTTGTTGCCACAAACACAGCTGGAAACTAACCAGTGTCTAATTCAAAATGTCCGATTTGTCAGCAAAAATGCAGCTCGAAATGTCTCAACGTCTCGTTTTGTCACCACAAACGCTGCTGGAAACAACCCGACCTGTTGTTAAAAACATACCTGGTTTGTCGACACAAACTCTGTGATCTGAAACACGACACTTTAGAAACGATGATGATACGTGAGAAATATACGTTTGCAGAATCGTTGAGTTGAACGTTTTCTCCAGGCGACTTCTCAGTTTTCTGTTGAACTTTTAAAGAGTCTGAACTCTGTTTGTCAATCAGTGACAGAGGAGTTGTGAACGTAACCTGCTGCCTGTTGGTGTCCAAACAACTGAAGCTCAGCCTGTTGGTCTGACCAGTTTAAATCAGCCAGTAAATCCCCAGTTAAACTGGTCAGACAATCTTCAACTGGTTTTACATTTACTCAGAGTACTGAACAATGTTGAGGTTCTTGTACTGAAATATGAAACTGATCAATACGTCATGCATCAATAATATCTGACTGATTATCAATACTTTCACTGCTGGTACTTGAGGTTCATGTTGATGTTGATACTGTTCCACAGCTGTTTCTTAGTCAGTGTTACTGGTGTTACTGGTCAGTGAGTGGTGAACTGGTTCAGTCGAAGTGGTTTGTTAGTTTCACTGATGAAGTATCAATAAACTGGTTTTGTCCACTGGGATATTTCTAATGAACTGGTTGATCTAACTGGTTGGACATCAGCAGACTGGTTACTGGACAGTGGTTTGTGTTGCTGGTTCATATCTGTTATTTGTGGTGTGGTAAATGTAACTGGTCAGTGTTCAGTAGAAGAGCAACTTAACTGATTAGCACTGGTGATTTATACTGGTTAGTGTTCAGTCTAGTTATTCAAACTGGTCATTTAGATTGGTTAGTAGCTCAGTAAACTGGAAAGTTGAACTGGTCAGTGTTTGAAAGACTAAAAATTTTAAGTGGTTAATGCTTCATAAAATGGTTATTTAAACTGGTTAGAGCTCTTGAACTGGTCAGTAAACTGGTCAATAAACTGGTCAGTAAACTGCTCAGTAAACTGGTCAATAAACTGGTCAGTAAACTGGTCTCACCGTGGTGCTGACGGCGAGCGGCAGCAGGATGAACGGACTGCAGACGAGAATGACGACGCCTTTCAACCTCCAGACCTGCTGCAACATTTTCACCCGCAGAGGAAGAACCGCCATGGATGATGATGGTGATGATGATGAAGATAAAGATAATGATGATGATGATGATGATGATGAGTAAGTCTGAATGACTGTCAGAGAACAGCTGGATCAATGAGACTCTCCTCTGTCCTCTGTGCTCACACTGCTTCTGCTGCTCTGTCTCATTTGTGATGCACTTCACGGTCGACACTAAATATTAACTCCATGTGTGTTACACCACACACACACACACACACACACACACACAGTGTGTCCCAGCAGGTGTTATCTGAACCTTTCCACACAGAGTAAACACTAAAGAGGAAATCAGATCTCCTGTTTACGTCACTTTTTTATCTTCTTGCACAGATTCAACAAAAATCAGTAAAAGTTCATGGTTTGTTCTGAGACGCAGCAAATATGTGCCGTCACATGACATCAATCTGTCAACGTGTAGCGCTGACTGACGGTGGTCGATACGTTCCTACAACAGCAGAAACATGTTTAAAGACGGTTTTATGATCATTTTAAATAAAGTCTGTAGTTTGATTTTCTCTTCATCAAATGTGACATCTGCTTTTTATCAAACATTAATAGTCATAATATAACAATAATACGTGTGTGAATATCTGACTCACCCTCTAACAGCTCTGTGCACACAGCACTTTGAATTTATCAACGACAAAATCTGAACTTTATTACAGAAATAACGTTTGTTCAAAGTCTGGTTTAATAAAGTTTTACTAAATTAAAGTTAAAGCTGGACTTTCATTTATAATTAAACATCTGTTACATTCAAGCCAAACGACATTGCACATGATTCAGGCCCCGATCGCACAGTTTTCTTTTCTAATCGAATGCCACTTGTAAACAAATCAGCAAATAGTTTGCTGGGCACAGATAAACAGAGATCTGTGTGGGTACATGAGACCCTAAAAAAGAGGCTGGATCATGGGGAGTACCACCAGTTGGTCCAGGAGCTTCTCCTCCATCATGGACGTTTACAGGCAGATTTTAGGATGACTCAGGGGCAGTTTGACAACCTGCTGTCTATCATCAGGCCGTATAGCTCTGGGTATCCATCAACCACTACCACCAGTTTCTCCTCCATTGTTTACCAACTGTAAACTTGTTGTCATGACCACCACAGAAGGCCCGCCTCTCAAATCATCCCATTGGATAATGGGAAAAAAGCAGAGATGTCGTGGGGCGCTTTTCTGCTCTGAATTGAGTTTTTTTCAACTCGAGGAGTTCAGAGCGCTCCGACAGAAACACCAGGTGCCTACAGAGCACAGAAACACACTTTATTCTCATTAAAAACTGTGACAAAAAGTCACTGACTGAGCATCAGTATTTGACAATTTCATAGTTATCCATAGTTACACTTCTGATTTATTTATTTTTTTGCAGGGTTAATTTCGTTGATGAAAACTCTGATTAAAATTTTTCATTGACGACCTTTTTGTCCATGACGAAAATGAGACGATGACGAGCTAAAAATAGATCTTGATAATAAAAACCAAGATAAAATCTATGTTTCATTTTTGTTGAGGAGACGAGACGTTAACGTCGAAAGCCGAGAACGGTCGTGCTTGTGATTATCATCAAATGCCACAGGAGTGACAGGCTGGTAAACTCCAGTAAATAGTCTGCACCAGGATGTATCGTGAGCCGCGTTTCTATGCAAATGAGCTTCACTGCAAGAGCAGACGTCTTTCCAAAGATCAGCACAACAGCCGCTCACAGTTACAGTGAAACTACCCTGTTAGCACAGGACATCAACATGTCAGACAGATGTAAAATATCTGTTGGAATGAAAATTGGCTTGACGACAATTTAAATGTCGAACACTGGAGTTTCATGTCGTGTGGACATTAACATTACCACATGCAGACTATAGGTTTTGTTCTGTAAACCTTATGACTAAATGTTATTCTATTCAGCGTTAATTTTATTGACGAAAATTTCGTCACTGACCTTTTTTCCATGATGATAACAAGACGAGCCAAAATAGATCTTAATTATAAAAAACTAAGATGAAATCTGTGTTTCAAACTAAGATGGAATTTATGTTTCATTTTCCTGGACGAGACGTGATGAAAATGTTCATGGTGGACTATCAGACATTGAAAGCTGAGAGCGGCCGTGTCTGTAATGATCTTCAGCTGCCTGATGAGCCACAGGCTGGTAAACTCCAGTAAATAGTCTGCACCAGGATGTTTGGGTTGGTGCGAGTTGTGAGCTGTAATTCAGCAGTAAATAATCAGCCGTGTGTGTCTGACTGTGGATGGTGGAGCTGCTGAATGAATTTGTGGAGTTTGTTAGTTGCAGCGGTGGCTGTTAGCAGCTAGCTCCGCTCGCAGCCTTCACAGCTTCACCCCGCAGGACTGTCAGTTACAGCAATCGTGTTGTGTTTGTAAAGAAAAATTAACTTCATTATGCGTCATCTCATTTTTTGTCACTCGTTTACAAACTTCTGTTTTGTCCTCTTTTCGTCCCTGTAAGTTTTCTCTGTCTTTTTTCTCCTCGTCTTTCCTTCCGTCTCTTTCTTCACTCACTGTCCTCTCCGTCTGTCTCTCTGTCTTCTGCTTGTTCTGTCGTCGAGTTCAAACAAGATGAAGTCTCACAGCCGCCCACTGAGTCCCACAGGGAGCTTCTGACAGAGAGAAACTCAAGATGTGCCCATCTGAAAAATAAATTCAGATAAAGAGAAACATCAGACCACACGTCTGAATTCACTCACCTGGATCTAACAGTGTTTCAGGCTCCCACTGACTCACCTGGTGGAGCAGGGGCCCCATGTGTAGGGGCCCCGCCATGGGCTGATTCCAGCCTGCGGCCCCCCGCTGCATGTCAGAGGATAAACAGACAGTGTTTCAGTGTTTTCACCTGCAGTCCAGAGATGTTTGTCCTCTGCTGTCGCCCAGTGGACGTTAAAGGTCTGTGCGTTTCATTTGATTTAATTCACTCCAGCACTGCTTCCCAACAGAAAGACAGTCGTAGCTGTGAATGTTATATATATCAGCATTTCATTCATTTCTGTGGAGAAAATGAAATGAATTCGTTCTCTTCCAATTTCAGATCATAATTAAAGACATAAATCTTAAAAAGCTGACAGGATGAGGGCGCAGTGAAGGCCTGAATATAAGCTTCATTCACAGAGCGTTCAGGACGAGGCACTTTTGACTGATTGATTCTTTTAATGACCACACAGCCAGGCTGGTGGAATTTGTTTCCAGTACAGCTCATTGGTACAGGTTCCAACATAAAGGACACTAAACATAAACATAGATATACATACAGACAAACACATATTCATAATACATAAGGGCCGTGCTCAATCCTCAGTGTTCAGAGTTCAGAATGTTTATTGCAGTGGGAATGAAACTGTTTTTGAAGTGAGTTGTTTTGGAGGCAGTTGTCCTGTAGCGCCTCCCAGAGGGCAGTAGTTGGAAGGCATGGTGTGCAGGTTGAGTGGGATCAGAGATAATTTTGCGGGCTCTGTGCAGTGTCCGTTTGCGGTGAAGTGATTCGAGGGATGGTAGGGGTGAGCCAGTAATTTTGGATGCTCTGTTAATTTCTTCCGAGTGTGTCGAGACTACCGAATCAGACTGTAATGGGTGAGGTGAGAATGCTTTACTCCTCTTTCAAACCATCTGAAAGAGGAGTAAAAGAAGCCATCTATGTGAAACTGGAAAATCCATCTCTCAGTAGAGGAGGAGGTCTGCGACACCACCTATCCCCCACCTATAATGCTGTCCTTTCATCCTTGCCCAGCAGACTTAACAGCTTAATCTCTAAAAACAATGGTCGTTCACAAATGGCCTCATGTGACTCTAACGACTCCAACAACCACTGTTGACACACCATTGGAGCACTAATGAACCAGTGACATCATTGGTCTTGTGAAGACCTCCTCTGAGGTTAAATACCTGGGTGCTTCCACACCAGTTTGTCAGACTAGTTCCAGCCTAGTCAGACAAGCATGAACTGACGACAGTGTGGATGGAAACAAGCTCATAGAGTATAAAGTTAGAATATTCATAAAGAGGTTGACTCATGGTGACGAACAACAGGACGTGACTGTAGGAACAAAGTCAAGCCTAAATTTTCAAAGGCAGGTGAGGGTGTGTGCACCTGCAGACGCCCACCACCAGCCCTGGATCAGTTCTCTGTAGTCCCTGTCATCTTCGTCTGTGATGAGGCTGACAACATTTGTAAATGGCAGTTGGCTGAGAGGTGCGTAAAGTCTGCGGTGTAGAGAGTGAAGAGGAAGGGAGCCAGAACTGTTCCCTACAGACTGACAAGCTCCTTTTACACTGCCAGATTTTCGGTGAATGTTGGGCTGTTTTGCCGGCAAGCTGCAAGCGTTTAGGAACGATTAAACCGAGGAACCTTATTGGTTTAAAAAGACTGAGGTGGCCTTCCACCACAGGAGGAGCTGTTGATGAGACCACACGTGCGAGCCACAGGCGGTGGATAAACAGGAAACAGCTGATAGCAGGAATTAGCGAGCAGCTAGTAGCAAGAGGGAAACACAAACCTGACAGACACTGTAAAGATGAGCAACTGGGGAGACAAGGAATTGCGCGCCCTCCTTGTCCTCGCAAACGAAGAGGCCATTAACCGTCAGATGACGGGGACGGTGAAGAACGGGCCGACTTACGAGAGAATCACCGAAGGACTGACCAGCCGCGGCTTCCCTCCCACGTCACTGTTTACGTCACACGCTGAGCTACACGTTTTGTTACTTGCTCACGCCCCCCATTGCCCCGAAAAAGGCACATTCTGTATAAACAAAAGTAGGTAGGCGGCATTTTGCTGCACTCCCCGATTTTGTTTTTATACTGCCAATGCTGAAAAAACACTGATTGGGCTTTCCTGCTAATTTGCACAATTCCTGTTTAAAAAGGGTTACAGTCTCATATCCTCACATACTGGCTACACGGCTGGTGAGGTCATCCAGAGGACACGCCTCTGTATGTGCGTTACTGAGGGAGATCCTCATTAAGTATTACAGATAATACAGTAACATTTTCCTCTGACTCTGGGCTGTTGTAACAATAGCGATGAAACTATCAGGGCTAGGTGGTAAACTGCTAACTGCTAACATGCTACCAGAGCTAACAGTAGTCAGCCACAGTTGCTCCTCAAGTTTACTGTATCTCCGTTGGTGTTATTTGACTCCCCCGTGCATTTTGTTTATCATTGTTCATTTTGTTCAGTAAAAATGTAATTAAAGGTGGATAATAAACTCTGCTGACGAGTTTGAGCTCAGAGAAAATAAGTTAATTGAAAAGATGTATTTGTAGCACTGAGCTCTGTCTCATAACTCCCTGCAATCTGTTACTCCTTTGTGGAGCAGTTAGAACTCCACAATTTGGATGTCAGCACTGTCAAGATGGCTTGTTGTTGGTACGACCTGGTCTCATTCCACAGTCGTCAAACCAGAGCTTGGTCTGTGACTTCTGTGATTGTAAAGCCAAACCCTGTTCTTTTAGTGTTTGTTGTTGAAGGAAAAAAAACATCAATGCAAGGGTGTTGTGCCAACCAGAGTTGGGTATAACGCGTTACAAAGTGACGAAGCGCAATGATGATAATGGAAGTCCTTGTTCCAATCGGAGGCAGCCCCCCAGAGAGGACAGCTGTCTGATGAGACCTGCACCTGAAGGGATTTGCACACCTGCAGACCACAACCAGAGCTCTGTTGTCCAAGCAGAGTCCTCAACTGAGTTACAGTGTAACACATTAGCGTACTTTGATTACTTTTTGCAGTAACGAGTAACCTAACGCGTTAGTTTGCTGAGTAATCAAATACTTAAGTACATTTTCAAACAAGACATCAGTTACTTCCGTTACTTTTAGAACGCTGGTCCTTCAGCTCCGAAACAGCAACAGCTGTCGTTTGGTTCTAATAACGGAGATAACGTTAAAGTGCTGACAAATGTTTCAGAATAAAAGCCTATTTAGAAAATGGAGGGATTCTCTCAGCCGAGGTTATAAGGGGCTTTTAATTTGAAACAAGTGTTGAGTTTGAAATGACGGTGCAATATGTTAACTTTACAAAGACAACGGAGCGGATAAAAAGTAAATATATAAACACACAGAGGGATTAATAAATAACGGAGCGTCTATAATGTAGTTTGTTTCAAAAGAAGCTGGGAGCCTCTGCAGTTGTGGTGAGTAAAAGCCCCGCCGCTATTTGTTAATGTTATTACTTTATGTCCGACCGTGAGGATGTACCATTGTTTGCTAGCTTGATGCTAATGACAGTAACATTAACTCAGCGGGTTGACAAAGTGCCTCTGCTGTTTCACACCATCATTTCCCCCTTTTACTCTGTGTGGTAACATCCCTAGAGGAAATATTAAAAATGCTGGGGTGTTGTTGTCATATCAGATCGTTGTGTGTTTCTACTGGTCAAAGTGACGGCTGTGATGGGAGAACTGGATCTCAGTGAAGGGCAAGTGGTCCATAACTTTAATTTGGAGACAAAAAAATGTAGGTTTAGCGCCCTGTGGTCCAATGGCCAATAGGAAATGTAGAATACTCAAAAGTACTTTAAAAGTGCTTGAGTTACTTTTCTCAGGGAGTAACGCAGTAAAGTAACTGGTTACTTTTTTAAAAAGTAACGCAGTAACGTACTTTGATTACTTTTAAAATAACCCTTACCCAACACTGGTGCCGACGTAGTGCTTTTATTTTGAAAGAGACTGTATGCAAACTGTTCATTTCCTGTGAAAACAGAAGTGTATTTTGAAAACAGACAATGCATGTAACAGGCTGAAGTTGACACGGCGTCCCAGAACGTCAACAACCAACACACCCAGGGTACCTTGGACGTCATATGTGGACGTGGAAAGTCCATGACCAAACGTGGACATGTGACGAGGTCACAGTGATGATGTGTTGGTTGGTAACGTTCTGAATTTTTTTTTTTCACAAAGGTGAGCCACTTGTTGCAGTGGTTCCACTGGAATGAATCGAATTTCCAGCCAACTTTTACCGTTTGATCAGACGTTTAATTTAAACCTGTAAGACTTTTTACAGCTGAACATAATGTCTGATGTCTGTTTCTGAGCTGAAAAGGTGTTTGTATCAGAGTTGGCAAATTTATCTGATGTTACTGGAAGTCAGATGGCGGAGTGCATGGGAGGAGCTAGATGGGTTGTCAAGGTTTTGTACAAGTCACCCCCTGACTGTGACCTTATCTTTCACCTGAGCTCTGAAAACACAGCGCAATGCCAAAAGAATGTGGACAGCAGAACTTTGGAGTCATATGTGAGCGTCTGACATGTGATTGTGAACATTAATGTAACAGCCTCTTCTGGGTTCAGTCTTTCCTTCAGATGAACCTGCTGCAGAGATCTGCTCCCAAAACTGATGCTGGGTGATCAGGTGTGACTCACAGTCAGTGTTCCAGATCATCCAGAAGGTGTTGGAGGGACTGACACAGCTGTGTTGTATGTGTGTCTTTGTGTCATAAGATCATCATAAATAAACCTGCTGCTGAATTACACCGTGGCCGATGCTTACCTTGTACTGTGTAGACAAACACAAACCTCATGAGTCATGACTGTGATTCACAGAGTCTGCTGTAGCTCTGCGGTGACACCAGCATGATCACGGTGAATGGAGGTGGATGAAGGACGCTGTTTGTTACAGAGCTGCATTGTGGGGGCGTCAAGTTGGAACCAGGAGGTCAGAACAGGACAAATATACGCCCACATTGTGTGCTGAATGTGTAGAGCGCCACGAGGCCATGAAACCTGGAGGAACACTTTTACAGTCTGCTGTGACGCTGGTGTTAGTTTAGATAATAAATAAGTAGATGCACCGCACAAACAAGAGGCTGAACGGCTTCTTCTTTTAATTCATTCTTTATCTGAAATATAACAAACAACCTGATGAAGCCACGGGCAGAATGTATTGTTGTCAGGTTCAGATTAGCATTGTTGTCAGGTTTAGATTAATTGAACCTTGTTTATTTTAGTTTACTGTAATTTACCTCATTATTATTATTCTGAAGTTGTAGTTCATGGTAAGTACACATGAGGGTTCCTGACACCTTCATCCAGGCTGACAATTAAAACAATTTTTTTCCTGGTCCTGTTTGATTTCACTGCCACATTTGACACTATTAAACACTCCATCCCGGTTGAACAGTTGAATAAGTGTGTTGGTATCTTGGGCTCTGGTCTGAATTGGCTCCAGTCCCATCTGTCAAATAGGCAGTTTGAGGTCATCATAAACAACTTTGTGTCCTCATCTGCTCCTTTACACTGTGGAGTTCCACAGGGTTCAATCCTTGGTCCCATCCTTTTCTCACTGTACATCACCTCTGGGTGACCTGGTCAGTCATTTCAGCTGTTTCGCTCCCCGCTGCTACACTGACGATTCTCAGCTGTATTTTTCAGATGATATGGATAATATCTGGACCCTCCATGATGGCTTGGCTGCTTTTAAGGAGCAGATGTCACTTAATTTGCTTCAGTAAAATTCCACCAAAATGGAGGTTCCTCTTATTGGTCCTGGTAAGTTTTTCTCTGACATGTAAACCTGTATTTGGCCACCAGTGTTAATCCCCCTACAGGGAACCTGGGGTAGAATCTGAACTTAAACCCTCACATAAACAAGTTTGTGCAAACCTGCTCCTTTCAATTCTGGAAAATCAAAATATATAACAAATATCAACCACAGATCTAGAAGTACAAATTCATAGCCTGATTTTTTTCACAGCTAGACTTGACTGGCTCCACAAGTACAGAATAGACTTCAAGATCCTGCTTACATACAAGTCCCAGCATGGGCTCGGCCCTTCATACATCTACAAGCTCTTGCATCCAAAAAACACCTCCAGGCCACTCAGATCACTCAACTGAGAGCTTCTATCTATATCACGAATCCAAGAGTGATTGAAGAGTGAAAGCTACTGTTTTTTTACAGACATCACTGTTTTTCCAGTGGGGATCATGACATAAAAAGCAGATGTGTTTTTAAAGAGACATCATTATTTTTCCAGCGGGCATACTGCCACAGAAACTGTTGTCTGTTTCATACTGAGATATCACTGCTTTTCCTGCCAAGATTTATGTGCCCAAACCCAACCACACGTTAACCACAGCAAAATATAAAGTTTCAACATATCGGCAACATGACAATGTGCAATTGCAGTTTACTGTATTATAGTAACTGAACCTCTACAGGAAAAGAATCAGCTGACTTTGAGAACACTAATGAATGAATTTGAATTTGATCGTCTCAAGGAGGCATTTGCAGCCAAATACTTTGACTGATGAAACCAAAGTCTTTGTTAAAGAGTTTTACAGCAGTCTGTCTCTTTATTTTTACATTCTGTAGTGACCACACATTCAACCATGATCACTCAGGGTTGATTATTAACCAGCCAACAGGGGGGCGGCAGTTGTTGAGTCCTGCCACTACGCTGTCCAGCCCAGAGCAGGTTGAAAGTATCTATCTTTACTCTTATTTTAATCATCTCATCTGTTAACCCCTTTGCTTTCTCATCGTCTGCCTCCACATCAGACACGAGCCAGGTGAGTTCAGATCTATCTTTAATCTCACCAAAAGCCTTTGGAATGACTGAGTTGGTGTTCAGAGAGAAATTTGATCTGTTAACCAGTTTCAGCGCTGCTAAAATAATCTATAGTTTACAACGTTATGTCGAGTCATGAGCAGAAGATGCCTCTCTACGGAGCCACAGATACACTTTGAGTATATGAAGCTGAGCCTTATCTCGTATACAGTGTTGGCAGAGTCATGTAGTTCATGTAGTTCTGTGTATTCTGTGTTCTGTGTATTCAGTGTACTGCAGCTCAGCCAAAAAAGGTTCTGAAACAGTAACCTTTAGTCTGCTGGTAAACACAGCAGCCATATCTGAAACCTCAAGTGACTCTGAAGCTATGCGACACTGACAGATACCATGACGATGAAAAACAACATAAGAGTCCCGACAGCCTTTGTCCATAGCAGCATAGCTCTGCGGACGATGATGTCAATCAAACACTAAAATACTCTGACAACAATCGGATGGAGTGTCGTGATATTTTGTGTAAACACACTTCTTCTTTTTATTATTATTATTATAACCTTGATTTTAACAGGGAAGGCCACTGAGAGCAAGCTGTCTTTTACAGTGACGCCCTGATGACAGAACATAAAAAACAATAAAAGCACACAAAAATCACAGTTCACATCAGCAGGTTATAAAACAACAGAAGAATGTGCATGGACAAGGACATCAGCGGAGGAAAGAACATCACTTTACAGAAAAACACGCACACTCACATTCATTCATTCTCGAAGTCAGTCAAACTGGATTTAAACTGATTAAAAGGATTAAATCTAATTTTACAGGCTTCTGCAGATTATTCCTCTTGTGTGGTGCAAAGTATTTAAGAGCCAGTTTCCTGGTCTCAGTGTTAATATCATGAGTTTCTGTTCTAGAACCACATAGTCTTTGGACCTGGTACAGTGTGAAACTGTTCTGTAGTTTAAAAGACATGTCACATACTCAGTTTGCCAAGAAGGACTTTGTAAATCAATAGTATGCAGTGTTGTTGTTCTGTACCCTCTGTGTTCTGATGCCGTCCTCAGTTGAGTGTAGAGTGATAAACTGCATCGAGAGGTTGAAGAGTAGAGACAGGAGAGTGCATATAATGTTCGTACATGGTCATAACGTCACATCTACATCCCTGTGTGCACCACAATGCACACAACGCTAGCATAGCATCAGCTAAGAAAAGCTAAGTAACAGAGTACCACAGCTAAAAACAAACCATATGATTGGTTTTCCTCATAGGAGCGCTGAAAAGTTGAGGCTGGCTCAACTATCTTTCGTTGTTTGTAGCTTCATGTCACCGGATTCCATTGAAAATGCTGTTTTTGTGTCACTCCTAGAGTGAACACAGATAGGGTGAGGAGCTCAGACATCCGGAGGGAGCTTGGAGTACAGCCTCTGCACCTTTGTGGGGCTAATTGAAGTTGTTTGGGCATCTGACCAGGATGCTTCCTTGGCACCTTCCTTTAGAGCTTTTACACGTACTTCCAGCTGGTAGGAGGCCCCTGGGTAGACCCAGAACACACTGGAGGGATTATATATCTCATCTGGCCTAGAAATACCTCAAGGAGGTGGAAAACGTTGCTGGGGAGATGGAAGTCTGCAGTATTTTGGTCAGCCTGCTGCCTGAGACCTGGTTATTTATGTATGTATGTATGGATGGATGGATGGATGGATGGATGAATGAATGATGGATGGATGGATGGATGGATGGATGGATGGATGAATGATGAATGATGGATGGATGGATGGATGGATGGATGGATGGATGACGGATGGCTGGATGGGTGGATGGATGGATAGCAACTCTGTTTGTCCAGGAACCAGTACCAATTTAGTACCAGTTCTTGATACCCATCCCTATTCATGACAGGATGCCTCTAAACCACTTTCAGCATGTGATTAAGTCTGACTAATGCTAACATACCATGCTAACGTGCTAGGATATTTTCATGTGCATGTATCGTATTGTTTTATCTAACTCAATCAGAGTGATTCAGAGCAGTGATATGGTCTTTGCGCTGAATTTGAAGGATTCAGCTGATGAATCCCTGAAACTCTCTGGTTGGGAAAAACCTCGTGACTACATCATGGCTGTGTTTGTGTTCAGAGAGTCATCAGTCCTAAAAAAAACATTTCAACATGTTTCTTCTTTCTTCCAATCAGTGCATTTAGTTCATCACACAGTGTTACAGATAAAGATGACTGTGAGCTGGTTCCCAAAGACAACAAAAAACATGACTCTCATCATTAGATAAAACATGTATTGTGTTGTATAGTGGTGTCTAGATGCTGTCAACATGTCCTCCTCTTTGTGTTTTTCAGGCTGGTTGTTTGGAGATGAAGCTGTGTCTTCTTCTTGTCTTGTTTTGCCTCTGCTGTCCAGGACTGACTGTAAGAAGAACCTCAGTCTAGTAAACAACCTTCTTCAGCACGAACAGGAACTTGTGTCTTTGCTGTTTATCGTCTCTGTAAAATTAACCCCGTCTGTCCTCGTGTCCTCAGGAGGAGCCCAGTCCAGCAGCTCCTGATGTCTCCGCTCCTGTAGACGTGGAGGAGGAGATGGAGGAGGAGGTCCACAGCTGTGGGGGAGGGCGGGTGTTCAGCTCAGAGGAACACAGGGCGATAGGGGGCGCCATCGAGCGACTGGGTTTACAATTCCTGGAAAATCTCCCCATCAGTCCACAGCAGCCGAATGTCGTCCTATCACCTCTCAGCCTGGCCCTCGCCCTCGCTCAGCTAACCTTAGGTCAGTCACAATCACACCTACAGACGATCAGACAACGCCTGAGATGAAAAGTCCAGCCTGATGTGGAACCAAGTGTAAATGCACAAGCTGAGATGTACAAAAATGAGTCGTTGGATTTTACAACACGACCTTTCTACTGGTATTATTTTGTTCAAGGGGAGTAACGAGCACTACGACCTCACAGCTACAGATTTTATTCTGTTGTCATATCACTTAACACCAAGAGCAGCTCTACAGGAAGAAATCTTTGCACATTTGAAGCACACTGAAGGAGCCATTCATATCTGTTCCTCACATGCTCCGTTAACTGTCCCTGTACAGTCTGTAAAAACAGTTTGTTCAGATCTGTGTTCCTCTTTCAGGTGCTTGTAACGAGACAGAGCAGCTGCTGCTGAGGAGCCTTCATGCCGTCAGTCTGCCATGTTACCACCACATACTGGGAGGCCTTGCGCATCATGTCAGCAACACGTCCCTGGAGGTGGCAGCTCGCATGTACCTGAGACCAGGATTTGAAGTGAAGTTGTCCTTTGTTGAGGACTCTCTGGCCAGGTATCAGTTACAGACAGGCCACATACACACTGACTCTGCATCAAAAGACTTGTATATAATTTGGACATCATGTACACGTTTGAGACACCAGTTTGCAGTGAATGACAACGGTCTTGTACAACATTTGGACTCAAACTCAGACAACTGAGGCAAAGATGGATGACTTAAAACAGTTCACTCAGTCGGGGACCAAACAAAAGGTTGGAAACTACAGATAAACAGTGGGACAAAGCCTGCAGGCTGAAGTCTCAGGGCAGAGAAGATTAGAGGCTGGTGAGCAACAACAAAGTGGAGAGTGAAGAATAAGAGCTACATATACTGGGAGGATGATTAGTAAATGGGGAACAGCTGTGAGGAGAACACACTGGTCAGGTGATCCTCTGCTGGGGAAGCTCTCTAGTGACAGCTACTGGTCAAGTGAGGAAGTGCATGAAAAGATAACTGGTAGTATACAGGGGAACGGGTTAAATTACTGAAGCAGGAGGTGAAAAGAGAAGAGGGTGGAGAACCAAGAGCTATGACAACAGCCCTGTTTCCACCAAGCAGTCCAATAGAGTTCAGTTCAGTTGGTACACCAAAAGTTGTGGATGGTCCCAACAGAAGCGTTCCTTAGCGTCCCCATGTTTGGTCCCCCCTCTGCTGGGGTACCTAGCACACAGATCTGGTACTAAAAGGTGGAGCTAGAAACCCTGCAGTCTGATTGGTCAGTAGAGGACTTTCATTCTGGTTTTATGTAACCTCTGTTCATACATCAGTAAACTACAACTATAAAATGAAAGAGAAAAAAATAACTTCATTCACTGGGCCGACTGCCGGCAACTTTTAAGGTGGAACGTTAACTTGTAATGTTACTCAATGCATGAGTTGATGACGTGAATCCATCAGCACACCTTAAATTTCACTGTGACAACTTTGACCATCACTTTAGTTTTTATTGTCTCTTGAATGATGGACACTTTCAGTAATGAGTGGATCTTCAAGCATTTAAAAATATATATTAAAGTGCTGGACGGAGCAGTGAGTGACAGCAACCCCGCCCACATTTAAGAGGACTGTCTGAACAGACCGAGGGTCTAGGTACCATGTCTGAAGGCTTACTGCTGGTTCCAAAGGGACTGGACTGAAAGGGTTTGGTGGAGATGCGACGAACATGACCAGTTTACAGTTGCAGTAGTCTCGCTCACCAAACCTTTCTCAAGAAAAGAAAGGTCTGGCTGGGCCGACTCTCACTTTAAGATTGGAGAAAAAAAAATGCCCCGGCTTTTTTTATTTCTTTCAACCAATCACAATTGTTCTGGGCGGTGCCACAGCAACGGTGCGCTTGCAAAAATATTGCTGGGGAGAAACAGGTTTTGGTGTAACACGCCCACAAAAATATTGCCTACAGGTTGTGAACAATGGCAGAAAAATGGCTACATCCTTGCAAGATCAAACACCGCAATAGTTAGTAAAGGACGTGTTGAAAACTGCTACACAACCGGAGGTGGTAGGGCGGGACTTCAGCGGGTGGCTCGTTCCGCCCAATGAGAGGCCGATCTATGCAGCAAACTTCCGCCCACTCAGACTACAGTTGCAGCAAATACAAACATAAATAATGAAAGTTTTTCTGACATTTCTACCCAGCAGTTCTTTCTGTCCTGTTGTCTGAAATGTATATGTGCCATGTTTTCTTGTTTATGTGGAAGTGGAAAGATTTGTTTTTTATCCTCCTCAGGTACCAATCGTCCCCCGTCCCTCTGGTCTCTGTGGAGGAGGTCAACCAGTGGGTGGAGAACGCCACCAATGGACACATCTCCAACTTCATGGAAAGCATTCCACATGACGTGGTGCTTATGCTTATGAACGCTGTGTACTTCAAAGGTGACCCACTCCACCAAAGACCACTCAGTGTGGGGGTTTATGTCGTGAATACAAGAATAAACAGAAATATATTCCTGCTGAATAAGAGTGTAAAACAAATCAGATGTTTCAGCAATTCAATTCAATTCAGCCCAGTTCATATCAAATCAAATCACATAAATTCAGTTCAATTAAATAAACTTTATCTATTCCCCACGGGCACTTCCCGGGGCAGGCATAGTAAAAGAAACATAACAGGACGTTAGGACAAAACATAAATGACAGACAGACCAGTCCAGTATCAGCTGTTACGTGACTGCCCAGAATTCAGTAAAGAGATGATGGGTCAGTGCTCCTCGGTCAGTCAGGACATAGAATCTGACAAGCCTATCCGGAGTCTCCAAAGGAAGGCACCATAGAATCAACCTCACCAGATGCCGGAACCAGCTCATCACTCCAAATGCAGAGCAGCTGCTGGATAACAATATCCTCCTGTAGCACTGATCACCTAATTGTGTCTTGATGAGCAACTGCTCAGTGCTACTGTTGACTGCTTTGATTCATGTCGATACCCTTTCTGGCAAAAACTCATGACTGTAGCTGATGGCTGGAAGGAAAATGAGAATTCTGAGCCTTATTTTATGGCACAGTATTATTAAAAAACCAAACCAATCTCCATAGCTTCTATTACTGCAACAGTTGCCCGATCTTTCGTCTTCTTCTTACCCCTACCCCTGGTCTTCAAGTGCCACCTTGCCCTCAGAATCAGAGTCACAAAGGTAATGTTTGAAAACTTCTATGACATGCAATGACCCTTCAAGATCCTGATACATCATTGCTGTGCTGGTGTTTACGTAAACAGATGCAATGAGTGTTGCTGGACATTGCTAACATGCCGTCTTCTGCAGTGGTGATTTATCTTGCCTGGTAACAGGCATAGTTTTGCAGTTGTCAGGGTGCTTGCGATTCACACACAACTTAAGTTTCATGCTATCAGTCGATCAAACAATTTATCAAATAAAAAACAAGACTGCTTCATTACCAGGCCACTCACAACACTCTGTAGGCTAACGTTAGCAACCAGTCCTACCTTGCCAGTGCTACAACCTCACAGCTTTAAGTTAAAGCTTAGCCATCATATGCCATCAAACTGGGGGGCATGTGACATGGAAATATGTCAGAATCTTGGACTGTCCTGCACAAAGCAGCAGCAACAATGTGACATTAGGTAGCTACTTTGCTACAGAGACATTGGCATATCAGCAATTTCCTTTTTTATTCTTATTACTAAGAAGGACGATAAAACATTGAAACAACATTAAACTAAGAAAATACAGTGGTTATCAAAATTCTTAAATTGTCATTAACAAAGAAAATACAGTTGTGGGGATTCTTTTGTTGCTCATGCAGCCATCTTGCAAATGATTTCTCATAACACTCGGTTTGGAGTGTGCCTCCGAGAAACCTTCATTTGGAGGACCATGTAGCTCTAACACTTTGCCCTAAACCCTCTATCCCAACAAGAACTGGGACACCCTAACCCTAACCCAAGATGGAACATGCAAAACAGAGGGGTAAGGGCTAACTGGTAGGGGCAAGGGGTGTACTGGGATTGGGCCTTAGAATGCTTTTGATCATCACTCATGAATAAGACCCCAGGATGACTGAAGTCTTCCTCAGTTCCAGAGTTGCTGCCCATCAGCTGAATTGAGCAATCTACCATTTCTGAGGGAAGAATATTGTGAGCACTGACCTTCTTGTTTTTCAAAAGATTGCTTTAATTCAACAGTCATAGAGTTAGGAGATATGGAAACATGAGGAGACAAGGAGGTATGACATGCAATTAGCAAATTTGCATTTCATAGGATAGCAAAGAAATGACCTGTCCTACTCTCCCTCTGATTGGCTGGTACTCGTTGCCTTCGTTGGTCTGATTGATTAGGTTTAGACAAGAGGAGTGAGGTTGATTAGGGTTAGAGTAAGAATGTTAGGGTAAACCAATCAGAGGCAGAGTAAGGCAGATTAGGGTGAGTCATTCCTTTGCTAAAATGCAAATTTTGGTCTGGGAACCGAACCATGGACATTGTGGTTATGCGGTATGCCATTAGGATATTGGGGCTTCCCAACACTGATCTTCATAGGGACCGCATATTGCTGCACTGGATGTCATGGTCCAAGCCAAAAGGACGAGATCACCAGTAAACACTATACACACCACCTTGATACCACCAGACCAGAAACTCCTCAGGACAGGTGATAAGGTGCACCTTAAGCAGAGTTCAGTGCTCATCACGACATCCTTCCTTAGTTCTTAAAATGCAAACTTAGAGTCAGGTGGCTCATGAAATAAAAAAAAAAGTTTCCTTTGAGGTATTAATGATTCCTCCTTGCTTTCTGTTGTGTTTGCTAGGTGAATGGCAGACCCAGTTTGACCCCCTGGTGACCTCCAAAGGAATGTTCTACCTAGATAACCAGAACTCTGTGTTGGTGGACATGATGAAGTCTGCCCAGTACCCTCTCCGCCTGCTGAGCGATCCAGAGCTGAAAGCACAGGTAACATGGATGATTCCTCTTAGACACCTCCCTCTGGAGGCTTTCTGCTAATGTACAACTGGGAAGAGGCCCGGGGTTTGAGCTCCGAGTTGGGTCACCCTCCCTCATCCGGACTTTAGATCCCATCTTGGGATCCTCTAGGAAGAACTGGAGAACGTGGTGGGGAGAAGGATATGTGGTCCTGCTGCAGCTAGTGGTTAAACTGTTGACCAGAGCAAATGTTTAAGGTGTCTTTCTATATAACTTTGACTGCACAGCCAATCATACGTGTTTTCGGCAGCCGTTGTTTAGATAAGTTTTGTGTGTGATTTATACCTCATGGTAGAAAAAACAAAACAATGAATCTTCCTTCTCCATTTCCACATATAACCACCATGTGTTCCTGATGTCTTTGTTCAGAGTTTGTCGATATTAAATCATAGAAATAAAAATAAAGTCATTCTCTCTTGTCCAGGTTGCCAGTCTTCCCTTCAAGGGAAACACCAGCTTCTTAATCGTCATGCCCTTTCCAGGCAGCGGAAACGTGTCATCGGTCCTTCCCAAACTGAACATCTCAGACCTTTACAGACGTTTACCTCAGCAGCAAACAATGCAGGTCAGCTTACCCAAAGTGAAGCTGCAGTACAACCAGGAGCTCCAGGGAGCGCTGACCAGCATGGGTGAGATTATTACCTTCATTAATATCTCCGTATTGGCGGCACAATGGGATGTGAGTGTGAATGGTTGTCTGTCTCTATGTGTCGGCCCTGTGATAGGCGCCCTGTCCAGTGTCAGCTGGGATAGGCTTCAGCCCCACCATGACCTACAACAGGATAAGTGGTTATGGGAAATGAATGAATGAATGAGATCCCTTTTCCACCAACATGGAGCAGGTTCTGTTCCTCTTCTCACATCTAATTTTGAAATGTTTGGAGCATTTTGACAAAAAATAAATTAGTTCCAAACCCAAAGAGTTGGCTCCCAGCTGGAACCAAAAAATAAAAGGCTTTCCTTGACCTGAAGTGCAAACTGTGATGACATCATACTCTACAGGTTAAAACGAGAGAATGGAGTCTTGCATGTTATAGTCTTCTATGTCGTCTTATCATTATCAGCTGGTCCATGCTTGCTGTTTGGCTAAAAACAAATATCTGTAATAAAAGAACAAAAGCTTGCAGATAATCAATGTAATGTGCCATCTTACTACTTCTGATTACCTCTATTTGTGCATTGTGCAAAGCCCTCTGTTAAGGACTCACCCTTGGTTACAATGGTTCCTCTCAGAAACATGGTGGAAACATAGGCTGGTTTGCTAGCACCAAGGTTCTGAGGAACCTGAACAGAAACGGTTCAAGAGCCAGAGCTACTTTGGTGGAAAAGGGGTATATACAATGATGGCTACTGAGACACACATTATATAAAGGCATAAGAAGTTGTCGGTGTACAGTGGCCTGGTTGTGCCAATCTGGGGAGTGAATGTGATAGCACTGACTCTGGAGCATCCATGTATTAGGAACTGCTGACACTTGGAAGTAGGATGTTGTTGTATCGTGATGCTTTAACACATGTCAACCAATGATTACAGGCACTGATGTCCTCTATTTGTCTCTCTCTGGTTCTTTCTGTCAGGTCTCAGCTCTCTGTTTTCAGGTCCAAACCTTTCTGGGATTTCCGACCACCCTCTGAGGGTCACAGGCGTCCGCCATGCCAGCACCATAGAACTCAGCGAGGAAGGCGTGGAGGCGTCCGCCACCACTGTTGTAACCTCCATGCGTTCCACCTCTCTCTTCTCTGTCAACTCCCCTTTCCTCTTCGCCCTTGTTGATGATGCCTCCCTGGCCCCCCTCTTCATGGGCATTGTCACAAACCCAGCTCCCGACAATGGCCCCATGCTTAATGATGATCCTAGCCACAACAGCACCATGAGCGACCAGCCTGTGACAGAAAACGCCAGGAACATAGACATAAATAGCGAACACAGGTCTTGCAACATGACAGTGACGGCAAAAGACAGTAGCATGCGGTCATGTAGCGCCCCTGCTGGTGAGAGGGAGCAGCTGCAGAGTGTGAATGGACTGGAGGGCAGCGGCAAGAAAAAGAAGAAGTAACACGGAGAAAAGAATCTGCTCCAAACCAGACAACTCTGCACCTGCCTGAAGTTTTAAATCTCAAAGGATAGGTAGACATTTTTGGAAATACACTTGTTGGCTTATTTGCTGAGACTTATGGTCTTTACACACGGGGGCATGACCAGTAAGGGTTGGGTAGGGATGTCATTAACCGCTGAGAATATTTTATACCAGTTGCCCATCGTGGTCCATGGGTTAATTTTTTTGCTGCATCTCAGTTTAGTAGTAGCACAATGCTGTTCTACTTTAAGAACAAAGCTATAAGGGAATTTATGCTACACTGGTTAGCTAGCCTTTGCTGCTCTGCACTGTGTACAACCCAACTAGTTAGCTCATTACCACTGGTAACTCTGTGCCGACCCATGGTAGCGGGACACTGTTACTGCAGAAACATTGTGCCCATCCTCCGTTCTCCCCTCAGGTCACCCGGATCTTTTTGCTGCAATAACACAAGTGACCACTGGAAAAATGTACAAGCAAGACTGGATGGTGTCCCTGGGGGCCTGTTAGCACTGTTAGCAGCATCAACACTGCTAGTGGTGCTAACATACATTAGTTAACAATACTAAGGGGTTTTGCGACTCAGAATAAAGGTGCTTGCTAACTATGGCAACCTGGGCGAGCCGGAGGGTGGCTACCATGTTTCTGCAGCAATGCTGTCCCACCACCGTGTCTCAGGACAGCGTTACCAGCAGTAATCACTGAATGAGTGGTGCCGCTAGCTCCCACCTGACCTGGGTGGAGTGCAATGCAGAGCAGCAAAGACTAACGTTAGCTAATCAATGGAGACTGGAAATATGAAGATAAAGCTAGTTAGCTTAGCATAGCATGATGACAGGAGACAGTGGGGCACAGCCAACTAGCTCTATCCAAAGCTAGCAACTCTATCAGCACCTCTAACGCTCGCTGACTGATGTGTTTAATGTGTAAAAAGAAAGTGAAGGAGCATATTTCCAAAATTGTCAAACTTTTTCTTTTCAGTAGTTTCAGACGTGCAGCAGTGGACGAACACCTTGGTTTTGTGTTGCTCTAAAGGAACTGAAGTTCAACATGAAAAAATACAAATGCACTATAGTGATTCTTACTGAGAGTTTTAGAAGTCAACAAACTGAAATACTCTTTAATCTCACTTCACAAATGTATCAGATGGATTTGTTTCATTGAACTTGTCACGTTTCTGTTGTGATCAAAATACTGTTAATACACTTCATAAGGCCTAGTGATGTGTTTCTAGACAGGTTTAACATTTGATTAAAGAAAGTACTGCGTTGTTTTTGTTCAGACGAAAACACAGACAAGTGGCTAATTTTCACTCAGTCACCAGGAAGGAAAATATTGTCATTGCACTGATACCAAACCACAGATACGTTACATTTGTACATTTCATATCAGAGTTTCTAAAGTGACGAAATATCTAAGCTGACTTTGTCATCAGGAGGTGGAGGGGATGGTGGCTGATGGTGTGACACTTGAGAGACACCTGCTGAGCTGCAGACCACTGCTCAACACCAACAAACAACTAAACCTGTTGCTTTAAGCAAGACGTTGCTGCGTTTCCAGCAACTTACATGTTTATAGCAACCAGTTGCTGTGTTTCCAGCGGCGATAGTGCCCCCAAAAGCAGGTATTTTAATCCAAAACATGATCTTTCTCTAACCATAACCCAGTGGTTCTTATGTCTAAACATAACCACACATTCACCATGACATTGTTGAAACATAATGTTCCAAAATATCTGCAACCTAATAACGTACAAATGTAACGAATCCATGAACGCACAATGCCAGCATTTTCACTGCCTCGTTCAGCTCGACTCACTTTTGGTACCAGGTACTTTTCTTAATTCAGTTAAGTTTTACTGCAGAAAGTCACTGCATCAAACTTACAGTTCTCATAAACCAGCCAGTTTCCCTCCTTTATCCAGTGTAGTCTGCGTTGCTGCAGCTTTAGTTTAGCCAGTTCTGTTCTTTGTCTTATTTCCTCTGTTTCTCTTTGTCGTTAAATTTTTTCATGTTCAAACTGTAACATTAAAAGTTCCTTTTGTTGTTCAAACGTTAAAGCAACAGATTTTCCTGATGGTGAACAGTTGCTTTCAGTTTTCTCTATCAGGTATTTTAATTCCACAGTGCTTTAAGACTTGTTCCTTGGTACACTTTTCAAGTAACTGCCCAGAAGGAGACTGAATAAACTCTCTACCAAAGAAGTCATATTTCAATTGCACAGTATACCATAAAAATGATATTGGAATTTTTGCCGATATCCAATATGACAACTCATTTGGCTGATAATTATTCATATTATACATACACACTCTTATCATGTTGGCCAAGTCTAATAGTTCATTTTAATAATAATGATAATAATACATTTTATTTATGAAGCCCTTTCCATGGTAAGATATATTGGTTAAAAACGATCATAAAATAGAATACAATCAGGGCGTCGGTAGCGTAGTGGATGGTGCCGGCGCCCCATGTACAGAGGCAATGCCTCACTGCAGCGGTCGCAGGTTCAACTCCGGCTTGCAACCCTTTGCTGCATGTCAACCCCCACTCTCTCTCTCTCTCTCTCTCTCTCTCTCTCTCTCTCTCTCTCTCACCCCATTTCAATCTGTCCTGTCCATTAAAGGCAAAAAGCCCCCAAAAATAATCTTTAAAAAAATAAATAAAAAATAAAATAGAATACAATAAAACACACACAACACACATTAAAAGCCGTGTTGATAAGCTGAGGTTTGATGAGTGATGTGAATCGGCAGAGGTCGGTACAGTCTCGCATGTGTTTGGGGGGAGAGTTTCAGAGTGAGGGGGGTGATGGAGAAGGCTCTGTTGCCCCAGGTTTGGCGCTTGGTCCTGAGTGGTGGAATAAGGGAGCGATCACACTGAGATGGAACGCTAGAAACGCGACTGACCAGCATTCAAGCGTCTTTTTAGACGGCCGTTTTTCCGGAAAAACGCTGAAAAGTTCAAATATTTTCAACTTTTTGAGCGTCAGACACCAGTAGCTAGCGCGCATTAAATAAACGCTTCCAGTATCTTTGAAGTGTCTGCGTCTCTAGCGTCTCATTTCTGTGTGATCACCCCCTAAAGGCCCATTTATGCTCAACGTTAAATACGGATCCGGATACGGACGGAGCCTTCTGTCCGTGCTCCGCGTTCATTTCTGCATGTTTCCATAAAGCTTACAGATACAGGCCAAACGGAGCAGTACTACCGGAAACTGCTGTCACTACCCGATACGTAGCTCTTGTGAGACACGAAGAAGAAATAACAATGGTGGAACTTTTTTGCCTGAAACGCTGAAAGTAAAATAAAAGAGGGAGACAGGTTTTTCCTATTTCATCTTATTTTGTTATATTTCTCCCTCTCCCCTTTCTGGGAGCGTCTGACCTCCCGCCGTCTGCTCCCGTCTCAAACACGGAGGCTCCGCACATACTCCAGAGGCTTGGGTCTCCCTTTCCTCGGAGCCCCCCCGCCCTCCCAGCTCCGCTCCGCTCCCAGGACCGACCCTCACGCCCTCCGACTGGGATCCCTCTGTTTTTGTCTGTTATGCAAGAGGAACATTATCAATATCTCCTCCACAGTCGCCATGTTTGTTGTTGAGTTTGTTGTTGTCGTAAACTTTTGACTCTGGGCTGCCCCCTGGTGGATATATTGGTTAACATCCATGCCAACGTAAAGGACGCATGGAAGTATGTGGGCAGTGACGGTAACATCATTTGAAATGGACGTATACATTTTTGTACGTAAAGGGAGCATAAATGAGCCTTAAGGAGGTTGGCATCAGAGGAGCGGAGGCTGCAGGAAGGAGCGTGGTGGTGGAGCAGCTCAGTGAGGTAAGAGGGGGCGTGGTTATGGAGGGCTTTATAGGTGAGGAGAAGGACTTTGAATTGGATGCGTTGTGGGACAGGGATGGCCGCAGACAAGCTATGTTTTTAGGTGGAAGAAGGCAGTACTGGTAATTTGACTGTGTGTTTTTCTAAAGAGAGGTTGTTGTCAAAAATAACTCAGAGGTTGCAGATGTTTGGGGAGGAACGCAGAGTGGAACTGTCAGTGGTGAGGCAGAATATGGTTTTGGTGAGGGATTTGGGACAGAAGATGATCATGTCTGATTTTCACAGTTTAGTTTGAGAATGTTGGCTTGTATCCAGGACTTGAGCCAATATCAGCCGGTAAAAATGATGTACCGATATTAACATGCATCCCTACCATAGCCACACAATGCACAGTGGTCTAATATGCACTCAAAATAGCCACAACAGTTGTAAAGTGTAGAGAGAACTGGACCAAAAAGCAAGAAGGGGTGTCTTGGGTTGATCCAGTGCAGGCAGGCTGAGCAGGGCTGGAAACAGGTCAGTAGGCTGGAGTTGCAGGCAAACCGGTGAGCGGTGAGTGTGGATCTGAGGCACAGAGGAACAAGGTTTAGGCAGAAAGTCCACGAGGGAAAAAGCAACAAGTAGGCTGTAGTTAGTACCACAAGGTAGACCGAATGATCTGGTGGGGGCGTGGTGTTTTTTACTGCTGGGGTTGATTAGTGGATGGATTTCAGGTGAGCAGGCAGACTGGCAGCAGGACTGATGAGAGCCACGCCCAGACACACAGACACAGAGAGAGACACAAACACTTTAACTAGATCTGTGCCGCTGTTCGCCAGAATTGTGGTTGTGTATGTTATCTGTCTTAAAATCAATAAATGAATCGATAAATAGGCAATAAATAATTAATATATAAAGTGTATTCACTAACAAAGACCACACCAATAAGATAAAGATTTCGAATGGTTTATTGGGTATGATGGATTATGGGTTTGGAGGAAAGTGTGAAGGGGTGAGGATTGAGGGATTAGAAAATGAAAGGATGAGGATGAAGGGATGAAGGTTGAGGGTCAAGGGCCAGATGGATGAAAGGTTAGGAATCACAGGGTGAGGATCAAGGGATGAAAAGTGAGGAATGAAGGGATGAGGATTGAGGGATGAAGGCTGGGTTTTTGCGTAGCAGGCGCGCGCGATGATGGATGTGTTGGGTTGAAGGCAGGAATGCAGGAGGGATCCTGAGAGTGAGTCTGAGTGGGGGAGTTGTCTCTTCGTGAGCTTGGCTTTGGGTAGAGCCCCTACTGGTTCCTGTTTGCAGAAAGGAGCTGAGAAAAAGATGTAAGAGGCGAGAAGGGATTGGGTGGGTGGGATGTGAGAAATGTGTCCAAGAGAAAGAGAATGCATCCGCTGTGCTTAAACACTTCTGGGCAGAAATGGGATGTGTTTGAGGCGTGGTCTTAATGTGACACTTTCTAATGTCACGATGGAGGGACAACTACGCAGGTTGATTTTAGCGCTGCTCATCGTGGACTATATTGCTGTCATTGTTCATTTTAGTCAAAGCATACAGTTTGAAAACGAGGCGCGGCTCCAACTAGAAAACAATGTTTTGATGCATTGGATGTGCTGAATGTGCATATTAAGGCAGTACAGGAGGAGGTGCACATTAATAATCCTCCAGGACTGTAACATGCTCATGTTTAACCCAAACAATGTGTCATGTGACTGCAGTTGCTTCACATCCAGGTCTGAACACCTTCTCACCACAAACCAACCGCACCAGAGTTCCTTTGGAACCAACCCGGCTTCACTCCAAAGTCGTCAAAATCCAGTGCTTGGGCAGTGACTTGAGGCAGCATGATACTTGGCCAGTCACTGTTACTGTTCACGGTGCTCACATGTCAGTGGGAAACTTGTCAAAAGGTGGCAAAAGTCCAAGTAGGGTAAGTGGGAGGGGTGGATGGGTCCAACAAAACTTTCACCCGGGGGAGCAGCGTTTGTGTCCCGTAAGACTGTAAAGCCAAACCCTGTTCTTGTTTCTAAACCCAGCCACACGTGTGGTGTTGAAGGAAAAAAACATCAGTTGGCGGTGTTATTTTGGAAGAGACTGTATGCAAACTGTACTTTTCCTGTGAAAACAGAAGTGTATTTTGAAAACAGACAATGCATGTAACGGTTGTTTTGGTGTGCGCCTGAGTGCGATTGCTGTGTTCACACCTGCCCAAACGAACCAAACCGAACCTGAGTTAGTTTGAACCGAACCAAACAGAGCAGGTGTGAAAGCACCCTTAAAATAAATGGTTCTTTATAGAGCCTTTTAAAGATTCAATCAATATCCCAAAGCTTTTCTTGCCTTGTTTGGTCTCATGTTTATTATAATTCTGCAGGATTATTATGATATGAAGTTAATTTAACAATTACTGCTAATTTAAATAAAATAACCTGTAATATTTAAATCGTCAGTAAGGTGCAGTCAGACCTTTGTCACCACAAACCTGCTGCAGATTAAAGAAAAGAGAGCTGGTTTCAGACTGACTGTGCTGCTCAGTGTAAAGCAGCTGCAGCAGTTTAAAACCTCAGTCTGGTTTCTTTGGATCTTCTGTCTTTGGCTCTAAACTTTCTTCCACCTTAAATCAGCACGTTGTTTCTGTCTCGCGCGCTCCCGGCGCTCTGCTGGTAGCAGCGGGGGCGCGCGCAGCTGCGGGTAAAGAGTCTTCTCCTGTGAGGGGAGAGACAGTCTGAGAGAGAGTCTGAGAGAGAGTCTGAGAGAGAGTCTGAGAGACAGTCTGAGAGAGAGTCTGAGAGAGAGTCTGAGAGAGAGTCTGAGAGACGTGGACCGTCCGGGAGCACAGAGAGGTGAGTGCGCCTTCACACGCTTTTTTGCGCTTTTACGCGCAGATTTCCTCCATGATGTCACCGCAGCTGTTTGATCTCCGCGCGACAATATGAGGACATTAATTTATTTTAGTGCTGTGAGATGTCGGAGCTGCAGCTGTGACCGAAATGAAGCAGAAATAAATATTTGATGAACCTGCAGAGAGTTCTGAGTTCCTCATGTTATCAGTTTAGTATTTTGTCATAACGAAACAAAACCTTCTGAGCCGCCGTGCTTCATGATATGAAGACAGTTTTATGATTCTGTTAACTCGAGTTCAACATGTTGTGTTAACAAACTGAAGATTTGGGTCTGATCAGTTTTTCCAGCTCAGCTCTGTGTCTGTGCCAACAGACGGTTTATGTAAGAGTCCTGGTTTCAGCAGCAGCAGCAGCAGCAGCAGCAGCAGGTCTCACTGAGCTGCGGTCATGTTGTGTCTGAAACATTTCAGAGCTGTATTAGTGTAACATTATTACAACTTAGGTCACTATATATTTATATTGCATATTATTACATATTACATATTTATATTGATCTTTAGGAGGAGCTCGGTCACGCTGTCATGTGCAGAACACATGGAGTTAATAAAGCTGCAGGTGAAGTTCAGGGTTTGTTTGCAGCTGCAGGTTATTTCAGGTTGTAAAGACTTTGGTGCCAAGAACATTTCTACAGATCTCTGGAATTATTTCAAAAGTTTGACCTTGAATCAAAAAAAAAAAAGCATCCAGATGTGATATGAGAGGGTTGACGAGCAGCCAATGAGAAACATTCCTGAGAGACAAGTTCCTGCAGGACTCCTGCGTCTGCAGCTTGTCTTCAGTCTCCTGCAGGACTCTGCAGGACTCTGCAGGTCTCCATCAGACTGCTGCTCAAACATTAAACCTCTCACAGATAAAACAAAGCTACAGTTCATAATTCATTACACAGTTTCATGTGTCTGCCTGTTTGCTGCAGGCAGCTCACACTGCAGAGTATCTCCAGGAAGTTACGATATGTAACTGTAATATTTCACAATAAAGAACAGTATTAGATTTAGATTTAGCAAATTTATAATTTAGATGTTAAAATTTAGTAAATAAAATAATTTGATAGAAGCACTCAGTTAAATCACAATAATATCTGGAGTTTAATTGAGATTACAGTGAAGTACTGTAATACACTGGGAGCATGCTGCTACATCACAGTAATATGCAGCAGAACTACACTGAGATCACAGATTACAGTAACTTACTGTGAACGTGATGCAACTAGTAGCCAGTAATTTTTAGATATTTTACAGATAGTCACCAGAATAAATGTTGGCGTTCTGCAAACTCCAGATAAGTCATATTTGTACGTAGATAAAAACTTTACATTTCAACAACACTGTGGTTAACGTGTCGTACGATATATCAGAGTCCTGCACGAGTCCATTTTTGATAATCAGCACCTGCCCATACTCGTAAAGCTCAGCACCAGAACAGACCCGTTACATGTCATTATGTCCAAGTCAAAGCCACACCCATGATCAACCCCCCCAGGCTCCAGTCCCTCACATGAAGCTGGGTCTCCGTTCTTGAATTGGACGTCTCTTTGACTGGATGGTGAAAACATTCAATCACTGCCAGGTTAGGAAACATGTTAGCATGCTCCTTCCACCACCATCAAACCTCCAAAGGATCCCAACTCCATGTAGGCTGCCACCTCATCCTCAGGCTGCAAAGTTTCATGGCTGGAGTCCTCCACGTTGGTGACCAATGTGACCACGGGGTCAAAGGTTACACTGGTGTCACTGACTTTCAAAATAAAAGCAGCTGCAGCTTGATAATAGTGATTTAGATGTTACAATATTACACATATACTGCACAGCTTTTTACTGCATTTTATTCTGAAAAATAAATCAAAATAACTGAGCGCGGGTCGCAGTGATGACTGAGAGGATCGCTGCTGTGTGAGTCTGTTAGTCTGGAAAATCCTGCTGAGCTTATCTTTAAAATGTCTTTAAAGGACCTGCGATCATTGGAGAAACTGATGTGAGTGATGGAATGAATCATCTGGATTTCCCATCATGCATGCTGTGTGTGTGTGTGTGTGTGTGTGTGTGTGGTCTGAGGTTGAGAAGCAGGTCCAGATGTGTTCAGAAGAACAAAAGAAGACTGTGTGTGTGTGTTTAAAGTGTGTTTCTGTAAAGCAGCGTCTGTTTCACCACAGCGATGATGATGATGATGATGATGATGATGTGATCTTTTGTCTGCAGACAGAGGCATTGTCAGTGTTTGTGCTCAGAGCTCAGATGACAGTCCTCTCTGTACAAACTGTATTTAGCGGTGAAATTTCAGCTGGTTGTAAAACTGTAATTATACAAAACACTGCTGTGAAATGATGAAGCTCACCTTCGTCATCGTCTTTGTTTGAATATGGAAAAGTTCCACAACTAGAGAATGACCTTTCTCTCAACGCTGAACTGTTCTGGATCATCCAAGTCCTTTTCTTCTTCTGTGACTCGTGTCTCTGTCACGTCTGTTGGATTAGTTTTCATTTGTCTTCACCACTCAAAGAGAAATTAGGATGCAGCAGAAACATTATATTGTAATATGATATGTTACCACCAGAGCTGGGGATTGAACCTTCTTTAATATCAACCAGGTCTCACTCTGAAGTCGTCAAAATCTGGCACTTGGGCAGTGACTTACAGCATCAGACACTGACGATAAAGCTTTCCTTTAATGACGGTTTGATACGTGGCTGCTCACCGATACAGTTCAACAGTACCCTGCTGCGTCAGAGGAAAACACCTTGATCAGTCTGTCCTCCTTTTTTTGGGGTTGCTCTGCAGTGTTATCAGTTGCTCAATGCTGGAACTTTCTCTGCAGGATTCTCCTTCATTGGGACACAGGTTCAGTCCAGTAATTTTGGTGTAGGACGTCGCAGCTGAGTGTGCAGGCAGCAGAACAGGTAAACTCACAACGTAGGGCTGACTGGCAGTCTCTGCACAAGGCCACATGGAACAGAAACCAGGAAGGTGGAAGCAGAGCTCTTGGTCAAGACCAGAAGGCTGAGTGGTTTACTGGGGAGCAGACAAAGCAGGAGAGTCAGAGATAGGCAACATCAGCAGCCCGCGAACACGTGCTTGAAAGTCTTGTATGGGAATGACAAAGAACAATCTGGCAACGAGAGTCTGTGACGCTGGAGTCTTTATAGTGGTGGGGAGTAATGAGGCACAGGTGAGTGGAGCTGGCTTGATAAGGTGGGTTTGGTAGACCGGCAGGAGCAGGAGATGAGAGGACAGGTGATAGGCTGGCAGGTAGGTGTGGTAGAGCGGCGGGGTGAGTGGAAATTTACTGGTTGAGCTGAATGAATGGCAGGTACACCCTCTGTGTGAAATGACCTGTGATTGGACACAATCTCCCGAACAATAGGATGAGCAGACATTTGCATGTCTTCATGAATGTGTATTTAAATAGTATTTTCTTCTGTCTTTATGTTTCTTACCAAATCAAATTCCTGATTAATAAACTGGATTCTGTTTCTGGTTCTGATGCTTTTGTTTCCAGGATGAAGCGAACAACCTTCCTGCTGGTGTTTGGAGTCGTCCTGAGCTGCTGTCAGGCTCAGGTATCACCTCTCTGGTGTTCTTTTATTTGTTTCTAATCATCAACTAGTCTATATAACATAAATACATAATCGTCCCTCTGGCACGATGAAGCATCTTCTGTTGCTATGGTAACATGTCTTTATTGGTGTGTCCCAGTCGGAGACGGGAGGCGAGGAGACGGACGCACAGGAGGAACATGTGGAGCTCTTCACCACCCCGACTACTAAGATGGGCGCCGCCACCTCAGACTTCGGCTATAACCTGTTCCGTGCCCTGGCGAGCCGCGAGGCAGCCACCAACGTGTTCCTGGCCCCCATCAGTGTGTCCGCGGTCCTGACGCAGCTCTCGCTGGGTGATTACACAAACACACAATTAACCAAATACAAACTAGTGTTCTGGCTTTGATGGCTGTGTGTGTACGGGCCTGTAGAGAGTCATTTCAGTTTTGTTTTGTTTAGGCTTTTGTCATTACACAATTTGTTCTAAAAACAGTCTGCCCAGCTGCCACCAGCATCGTTAGGCAATGATATTTGAATTTAGGTTTTGAAGTCGGGTGTCAGCACGTAGGTGGTTTTCTATGTTGTGTCTTCTGTCCCTGCAGGAGCATCTGAGCAAGCTCAGAGGCAGCTGTTCCGGGCTCTGAGGTATCACACCCTGCAGGACCCTCAGCTCCACAGCACCCTGAAAGACATGCTGGCTTCAGTCAGGACGACCGGGAAAGGCCTGAGTACTGCTGCACGCATCTACCTGGCACGACGTGAGTTTGTGTTGTGGATTGTGGGTGACTGGATCAGGGATCCATATGGAATTATGCTCCAGCTACAACAAAAACTTTTTATATGTACAGCGTTATCTACAGTTTATGAAGAAGTTTTGATGCAAATGGAAAAGTTCAGCTTTTGTCGGGGAGTAAAAATGGGATCCACTGCTTTAAAACCCAACTTGTCATTGAGCCAGAACCTTAAGTATTTATAACAGGATGCTCTTTCAGTTAGTGTCCCATTAAGGCGAGTAATATTCACCTCAGCTGTCCACAAAACAGCATGCATTTGGTTTTATCTGAATCTAACAGTAATTTAGATCAAGATGCAAGTTATTAAGTGCCTGGGCAACAGAGGGCGCTGTTGCATATAAAATGGCATCGTCTGGATACAGATGAATTGTGCTGTTTCAAACTTTAACACTAAAATCATTAATAAAATTGTAAATAGAAGTGGTCCCAGAATAGAACCCTGTGGCACACCTGTATTAACACTCATGGCTTTCACTTTGTATCGTAGAGTCGAATCAATGAACTGTGTTTCCTGACAGTGGTTTTCCGGAGTGTTTTTTGAGCACTTGTAGTAATATCCTTTATACAGTCATGTTGGTTTTAATGCAGAGCAGTCTGAGGGGTCAAAGGTCACAGACATTCAGCCTTGACCCTTACATGCAGAGATTTCTGCAGATTCTCTTAATCTTTTGATAATATTATGGATTATGGATGATGAAATCCAAAAATTCCTCGTAGTTGTGTGTTATAAACATTGTTTTAAACTGTTTGTCCACGCAGTTTTCCATTAAGTATTGAACCTCACACCGTCCTTGCTTGTGAAAGACTGAGCCTTTAGATGATGCCCCCTTTCATATCCAATAATAATAATGCGAATCACCTGTTACCAATGGACCTGTTTACCAGTCTTCTTTCTAGTCACTAGAATCTTTATAAACCCTGTATTTTCCCTCAGCTTTTGAACCGACATCTCTTCTTTATCATAATGTTAATCTGTCTGAACTCTGTTTTCAGGACTTCGGCTGAAGCTGGAGTTCTTTGACCTCGTGGAGCAGCAGTATGGAGTTCGCCCCAAAGCGCTGCAGGGGGGAACCAAAGATCTGAAAGACATCAACGACTGGGTGTCCCAAGAGACGGGCGGGAAGGTACAGCGTCTCCTCACCAAGTCCCTCCCCCGAAACTCTGGCGTGAACACCGTGAGTGCCGCCTACTTTAAAGGTATGTGGAAACTCTGCTGTGGATCTGAAAGGAAAGCCGGTGAGCTGCTTCAGCTGTTCAGCATCCAGAGCTCAGTTTTCTGTGTGTAATCAGGGAAGTGGGTGACTCGCTTTGGTCAGACTGGAGCCATGGAGAACTTCGAAGTGGAGGGCAGGGCACCGGTCCGCGTTCCCATGATGCAACAGGATAACTACCCCATTAAGATGGGCGTCGACTCAGATTTGAGCTGCACAGTGAGTGTTTTCTACTCTGTTTTCTAATCTGTCTCGACTGTCTGACATCTCCTCTGAATGTTTCCTCTCCCTCCAGATCGCTCAGATCCAGATGCAGGACGACATCAGCATGTTTGTCTTCCTCCCCAATGAGGTGACGACCAACATGACGCTGCTGGAGGAGAGTCTGACCGCTGAGTTCGTCCAGGACCTCTCCTTGACGCTCCATCCTGCCCAAGTGTCCCTCACTCTGCCCTCCCTGAGACTCAGCTACTCCACAGACCTGCTGCCACTGCTCAGCGATGTTGGTGAGTCCACGTGTGCACGGGTGTTTTTGAAACATAGTTTTGTGTCTTTTGTCCACACACAAACTGTGTTTTAGGTCACTGGACTTACTGTTAAACTCCGTCCAGGGTGAGAACGTTCAGAAACTTTTCAGTGTTGTTTCCTCGACACATCATCCTCCTCTTTTTCCTCCATTTTTATTCCTCTTTCTCCTCTTCATCTCCTCCCTTTCCTGCAGGTCTCTCTGAATGGCTAGCTGACACGAACTTGGAGAAAATCTCGACCCAGCCGGCCAAGCTCAGCAGTGTCAATCATAAGGTTGTCATGGAGACGGCACCCGAGGGGAACCAGTACGCCAGCACCGCCTCAACGGCTCATCTGACCTACCGAGTGGACCGACCCTTTATGTACCTGATCCGAGACGAAGCGTCGGGGGCACTGCTGTTCATCGGCAGAGTGGTCAACCCCAAAGACCTGACGATATAACACACACATGCACGCACACACACACATGCACGCACACACACGCACGCACACACACACTTTCACACGCTATTAGGGGTCAAACGTTTCACCCAACCACACTACAACGCGTCACTTGCGCCTACTTAGGACACATCAGATCTAATCAAACCGCGTGAGCGCACACCTACATTTACATAGGGTTACTATGGAGACATGAGTGTTACACACACGCCTGCTACATGACGCGCAGGCGTTGTGCGCTCCACTCACACGACGCGTTCACACTTCTTATCAGTATGCGTGCACAGTGTTTTTCAAACGCTACACATACACTACACCTGTGTGTCTACGCACGCACGTCCGATTAGCAGAGTTAGCATAGCGATGCTATGTGTCACACGTCTGTTGTTGCTTCAACAGCTGACACTTTTGACGCCTGTGATTACATGATGTGTCTACGCACACACGTCTAATAACCACATGTCTAGGCGTGTGCAGGCATTGCACGCGCATTGCATGTGTAACAAGTACACGGTGATGGTTGCACACGCAATTTACACGTATCAAGTATGCAGTGAATGCAGTGTGTGTGTGTTCGCTGATATGTTTGACCCCTCATACACACGCGCACACACACACACACACACACACACACACACACACACACACACACACACACACTCTTAGCAGGTCCTAGGAGGGATTCCAGGTGTTGGCTTCTTGTTTCTGGTGGCAGATATTTTTGAGGATATTGGATTGGATTTTACTTTCAGGCTAAAACATGTGATCACATCGCCCTGATACTCAAACACACTCTGAGCTCACCAAAGGATTGTTTTTTTTTCTAAGGAATCAAATATTGTCATTTGTGGTACAAGAAATAAACGACAATGAAACAAAACGTGTTGTTGTGTCTGTTCCTGCTCTCCAGAGGATGAACATTTCATTTTAACTTCCTCTGAACAAACTTTAAAGATTTCAATTCTGTCCCAGTTTCTCCTGGAGAAACCTTCACGTCGGAGATTCTGTGGGACACGAGTTGCGTTCAGTGCCAAAATTTTTGCACAATCCCCAAAGATTGTGTAACATATAATCACTGTTGGGCTGAAACCTCATATGTCCCAAACTAATACTGTTCAGGAACTGATTTTATTTATTTATTTATTATTATTATTTTTTAAATAATTGACCACTGTGCCGTCAAAGATGGTGTTGTGTCTTCATGTACGGTTTAATACCTACATATGTAAAGGCACCACTGATGACCACTGTATAAAGAGAACTCTGTAGCTGTTGCTGTGTCTCGTGTGTGACAAAGAATGAATGAGGAGAGACTCAAGAAACATCCCGAGCTAAACGACCCTCAGTCCCGTCATTATAAAGACAATGGCCAAAAAGACACTTCCAGGTGAGTCACAGCTCTGGAGAGAAGTCAACTTTAATTAGTGGCTGTCCACATATGAATTTAAGCTAACGCAGAGGTGGAGGAAGTACAGATCTTTCAGTCACAATAACTCTGTGTGGTCGTCTGTTGATGAGCTGCAGCACGACGCATCCAGTGTGTGCTGGGGGCGCCTAAAACTATGACGGATAAAAATGACAACAATGTGACTAAAACTGAGAAACACTTTCGTCTCAAGACTGAGACTAAATCTAAAATAGCTGTCAAAATTAATACTGATATTTAGGAATAATTGGCGAATCCCAGAATTCCATGGGCACTAAGAAAATAGGAACATCGCTTCTTGCATGTTTGGGGTTAAAATTGTTTGTTTGTTTGGTGACTCAGTGAAGTATGTTGACTTTTGGTTTTACTGAGGACATGAGTGTCCTCCGTAAAACAGTCCTGTGTTTGTTTGACCTCCCTCTGCTGACTCTGTTGTTTTTCTCCTGACAACCCAGTCTCACTCCAAAACCCTCAAAATCTGGCGCTTGGGCAGTGACTTGCGGCGTCAGACACAGACGAATAAAGCCGTCCTTTAATATCAGCATGATGTGAAAATAAAGCGGTGAAAGTCTGAGAGGAGTGGGCGGGTCCAACAACCACTGACCTTCACCAGAGACAGCCCCATTAGCATCCCTTTAGATTATAAAGCCAAATTATGTTCTTTGTAACTAAAGGAAATTAAAAAAAAATCAATTTGCGATGTTGTACCAACATAGTGCTTTTATTTTGAAAGAGACTGTATGCAAACTGTACATTTCCTGTGAAAACAGAAGTGTATTTTGAAAACAGACAATTCATGTAACAGGCTGAAGTTGACACGGCGTCCCAGAACGTCAACAACCAACACACCCAGGGTACCTTGGACGTCATATGTGGACGTGGAAAGTCCATGACCAAACGTGGACATGTGACGAGGTCACAGTGAGGATGTGGCCCAGTCCACACGTATTATTCTATGTGATTTGGCTGTTTGGCCACACACAACCGCACCTTTGGGCCCCTGAAACCGCGTTTCTTTGAATCCGGAGTCCAGGGTGAAGTTTTTGGAAGACTCCGGTGCCAGCAGTTGTGTGTAGATAGGATAAGCTCAGTATTTTATTACCTGTCTCCACTGTTTGACGTCAGAGCGACGGTAAATAGCTAGTGAAATGGCAGACCAAACAAACATGCTGGTGCTAACTCTCTTTGGATGGCATATCCAGCTGCTCGACCTAACGACCAACAAAGGAGGCTGCTCCTGTTGCTAGCTACCCCAACTACACTACCATGTAAGCAGCGACAGGCCTGCCAATGGAGGTCCGACTCGGCCGGATCCAGAACCTCCGTTGGCAGGCCTGTCGCTGCTTACATGGTAGTGTAGTTGGTCATTCAGGCGCCTCTGCTGTTGAATTAGGTCACGCTATTTTTGTGGATCGGGTTGTTTTTATTTTCCACACTTCCCTATAGCGGTATTGACTCTGACTTCTGATTGGTTAAAATGGCCTCTCCGTTAGAAGTTACATCACCACCTACTGCTTTGGCATGTGTATTACATCACTTGGTAGCGGGTTTTGCGGTTTTGTGTGGATATCATATTTTTTTATCACACCACTCGTGTGGATGAATTTTTTTTGGAAACCGGAGCCCGAAAAACTTCTGTTTCAGATGAACACGGGTCCGTGTGGACTTGACCTGTGTTGCTCTTGACTTCCTCCTTTTCTCCCCTCATAATCACCATGGCCACTCGAGTTTGCCGCCCAACAATAAAGATAAATACGAGCTGTAATAAGCTGCTGGTGATGATCTGGGGTTGTGCTCTGTGGTTTCACACACTGAAGGTTTTAATGCAGACACAGAGTCGACTCGTCTGTTCAGCCTCTGATTGTTTCTCCACATGTGAAACTGATCACGTGACTCCTCTGACCCACATCCCTTTCTGCAGGAGGAGGTTTCTGGAACGATGTTTGCTTTGCAACTTGATGCTAAAGCCAAATTATTTTCCACAGTTCTTTCACAGAGTATGAACACGTTATTGTTCCACACAGAACGAGACAAACGTCATGAATGAATCCTGAAGACAAAACTTTATAAAACATTCAAAGAATGTGCAGAATAAGACTTAACATCAGGAAATGATCAGTAAACAAGACTGAGAATCTAAAGGGCTGTGGTTTTCATGTATGTCAAACTGTGTGTGTGTGTGTGTGTGTGTGTGTGTGTGTGTGTGTGTGTGTTCAGTTCACACATGGTCTTGATTTTCCACAGTCAAGAGATTCCTGAGGTTTCTGAGCAGCAGCCCAGAAGAAAGTGAGCTGAGAGGAAAAACGGAGACAAAGAAGAAGAAGAGCTGGAATCTCAGCGAGGAAACCGACTCTGGAAATTTTTTAATCCAACAGAAACATGAACGTTTATCCCGTCTGTGTCCTCTGTCATGATGTTACTCTGCAGTGGAAGAAGTATTCAGATCCTGCATTAAAGTAAAAGTACAGAAAGTGTTTCAGCACTCACTCTGTGAAGTGTTGGGCACTTTTCAGGGCGTTCACTTTATTGTATCAACTCCTCATAATTTTTGTTTGTAAAAAAAATCTGAATTTGAAACAATCCAACTGAGTTCAACAGAACTTTATTTATCCCAAATGAATTTCTTGAGCCAGGTGATGCTTCATATTACTGTAACACCAAGCACAGTAACCACATTTTAATGATTCACAACCAGAACAACCAGTGGATCCCGGGTCAGGGTCACTCACTGGGCCCATGTTTAGAACAATTAAGTGTTAAATATCTGTCAAAATATGCAAATATACAAGATAGAAGTGTTTTCAAGGAGCAAAAGCAAAAGGCAGTGCCTCACAGAGCAACGACAGGAGTGAGATCAGTCACTAAAGATGAACTAAAATGGTGGGAACATCAGACTGCACCTGATAATTAATGTTATAATGAATATGACGTCACAGTGAGACTGAAAATGATGCTGCACTACACTGACAAGTGAACGTGATACTGAAGAATAATGTTACACATGATGTTGTGAAACGTAACGGGACTAAAGTTATAAAATAAATGTAGTGCAGTGAAAAGTACGGTGCTTTCCTCACTGGAGTCAAAGTAAACAGCAACATGACCAGAAAATACTCAAAGTTCAAGTATCGTAAGTTTGTACTGAAGCACAGCTCTGAAGCACGTCAGGCACAGAGTGTCACAGACATTAGATCACCTTAAAAAACATGTTTTAAATGTTGCTGAGTTTTATGAGTGTTCGCCAGCAGAGGGAGACAAACACTCAGTAAAAACGACAGAAGGAAACTGTCGGTGAGAATCTGTCTTTAGCTTCAAAGAAAAAAGATCAATGCTCTAATGTGCTTTTTTTATATTTAAATGACAAGCCATAAAAACTTCAGTTGAACTGGGAGGGGATATTCAATGTCCCGTTGCCATGGAGACAGGTGTATGATGTCATTTATAAAGCTGTTATTGATCTCAAGTCACAATATTTTCAATTAAAAATCTGCCAACCACAAAAAACGACAGGATGGAAACTGTGGTTTCCGTCAATCTAACACTGAAGATTATTTTATTTAACATTGAATTAACCAGAAAAACATCTTGAGATTAAAAATCTCTTTTTCAAGAGTGTCCTGGCCGAGACAGGCAGCAACATCAGCTGCAGACAACACAGAACAGAAATACAGATTAAAAATGTAAAGCTCTGAAACAAGCAATATGAAACACAACATAAGGTCAATACAAAAAAAGCCAATAAGTATGTAAATATATTTTAGAATGAATCATTAAAAACCAGAAACAGCAGCTACACGTGATCACAAAGAGTGACATGTAGATGACTGTGTAAAACAACTCCTGCAGCAGAGCTTTGAAACATTTGAGAGGAACCAATGAGAGCAACTCAGACCCTGTGTAGACGTCAAAGGTTTATCTAAAAACCGCAAAGTCTGTCCTTTGCATTTTAGAAAACTTCTGCGTTTATATGACGACGTTATTGAAACGATCTCTGTTCACACTGAGCCGCAAAATCGAGTACAGTAAAGCTGCAGTACTGGATGCTGCAGTTTCAGGACCGTTTAATTTTCTGAGCGGAGGCTGCAACCTGAAGTTTATTTTTAGTTTTTTGCTATACCCAAATACTACTTTCTTATTAAATAGTTATAATCAGTGTTGGGCAGTAATGCGTAATTTGATTGATGAAGCCCAGGTAACTATACATCACCATTGCCGGTCCTCGCTGCTCCTCTCACCCACACTTGAGCATCCGTCCAGGGGCGACCGCGTAGTCATGCTGTCGTGATGGTCGACATTCTCGCACATGCCTAGTGACTGTAACCGTAATGAGCATGTGCGAAAAGTCTCAGTTTTCAGAGGAACTGCATATTGCAAGTTTACATGACAACGGAGACGCTGCTGTTTCCAAAAAATTACACTCTGGAACCCGTTTTCAAAATGTTGTGTTTTCAGGC